ATATGAAAATGAAAAATCAAGTATCAGTGAGAATAAATAACACCAAAAAACTCGAAGTCCTTCATTTGTCGTTCTTTTTGCAGCAGGTGGAATTCTCGCAAATGCCGCTGGGCTAGAAATATACAAGAATCCGCTCTTAACACTACCACAAAACGCACCACAGTAGTCTGAACACATTGTTGCAGAAGCGTCGTCTGACAATTCGTCCCTCTTGTTTTCAGGAACGAGATTTGGATGTAAACATAAACATCCTTTTTCCAAATTATCCAGATGTGAATAAGAGAGCTCGCTGTACTGCGGTAAATCACTGTCAGGACTTGCAGGAGAAACTTGACAGGAATATTCGGCTGCTTTGGCAAGTCCTAGTAGCTTTTCATTCTCTTTTTCGTTCATTGTTTATTGTTTAAATATAAAGAATCAAACAAACCATCAATTGCCCTCTACAAGGCTCAGAAGCGAGCTATGAAACCTATCGAAGTTTGATAGTAAAAGACCAGGAAGCGCACAAAAGTCCAAAGTAAAAGCACCTTAATTTAAATCCTCTATAAAAACAAATAAAATCCTTTCATTACAGCTCTGAGAGACGAAAAATACAATGGCAATGGCAAAGGCAAGAGTTTTGCTGAGGTGAAGTTATCATCAAACCAAATAAGCTTTCTTTTGGTGCCTTTCGCTATTTCGTTTACTACTTATTTCTAGGTATCGTTATACATATGTTACTTCAACATTTGAGTAGCACGTTACTTTCTGAAGAGACCGTTACTCAAAATGCATTCTAGGAAAACATATCTTCCAAACAACCAGTGGTGAACTACATTCGATAAACAAAATAAAAAATAAAAATACATCATCTTTTCAAGTTTCAGAGTCTACGGCCATACCTAGGTGAAAACACCAGTTCCCGTCCGATCACTGCAGTTAAGTGAAAACGTCTGAAGGTCTCGTTCATACTATGGTTGGAGACAACATGGGAATCCGGGGTGCTGTAGGCTTTTCATGATTCATAATAGACTTTTATTATAAGCTTTATTAATTAATTTTTAAAAGACGTGCCATCGATTAATACACCTTTTTAATCTTGTTTTTGAATAAAAGCGTTCGTATCATAATCGTGTGATTAACAAAACTACAAAGATTCTGTTAGTCGCGAAAGAAAACATAGTAGCACTGACCGGAAGCAAGGAAAAAAAAATTTCCCAAATACAAAAGTGTTTCCAGAAGCTGAAGAAAATTTGGCAATATGCACTCTGTAGGGACAATAGTCGGGTGTCAGAAATAAACCTGAATGAATCAAGGACTACCAGCTAACTTTTTTCATAAAGTCAGGAACAAGTACGAAACTTTGATCATTTGGATCTCCTAAAGTTATAAAAAGAGCTAGAATTGGTGACTCTCGGTACATCAAATTTCCCTCCTTTCTTCCCAACTACGCTTGGTTACAAGAAAAGCTAAATAGCAAGTAGTTTCGTTCGACAACAACTGTGAAGAGCCATTGAAAAGAAGGAACTGTATCTACAATTGTTGGAAAGTACATTGTGTCAACCAATTGGTTTTTAATTCTTTCCTGCTTGCACCTTCACCTGAAGAATACAAGGGGCACGGTCAAAACACCAACAAAAAAGCCAAAATGGGTTTGTAGAAAACCTGGAATCAATACGTCTCTAAGCTTCCATAGAATAAAAATTCTACAGACCAGAGCATAGTCAGCCAACGTATGTTTCTTTACAAAATTATGTAAAGAAACACTTGTTGCTACTACAAGATCCTATTTATGAACCTTGAGAGTAGGCTGAAAAGTAAAGCAACAAAAAGGCACCTTTTTTCTGTCATTTCATTCTCACTCAAATCAAAGAATGCCTCCTGCAAAAAATACACTGCGATCTGTGCGAGTCATTTTCAAGCCCTGCAATAGCCATCGTATTTCTCTCGAGAACTAGCCAGGCATAAAAACACCAAAGCTAAGAAAAAAACACTGATAAAGCAGAAGATCCACATCTGCCAACCCGGCAGTACAATTGGTATCCAGGCTCTCTCAATGCCTCCCTCAAAGGACCATACAATACTACTGCAAGTCATGAAAATGGTTTGAGAGATCAAATTTATAACAGACTTCATCCAAGGGTACAGTGATTCCATGGAGAACATCTACTGAGGAAACTGTAAAGACACAAAAAAAGATCTAGTATTCTTTACCTTTTGATCACCTTTTCCTTCGCAGCACTGAATATAAAAAGAATACTTGGGTTACACAAAGTGGTTGCTGGACGTCCCGTCCAACAAATGAGGTTTGAGAAAAGGATTTTCCTTTTTCATCCTCAATCCCTTTGTATACTAAGAAGACAGTATACTGCAAACATCAAATCATAAACACCATTCAAACTTTTCTTCCTTGCGTTATTCGACTTTCCATGTAAGCCCTAAAGAATCATAAAACCAAACTCCTCATAATTCTTCTTGAAACTGGGATTCTGGTTCTTGTTTACTCTTCACAAGGACGCGACTTGCTTACTTTGCGGTGTATTCTCAACGAACTATGTTTTGCTTCGTATAGGTAACAGTGTAAACAAAAGACTGAGTCTTTGGAAAAGTACGAATGGCAAGTTTGAGTTGTATTAAGGAGTAGGAAAAAAGGTAAAGAAAGTTTCATTTATAGAAATAAAAAATTTTCTTGGAAAAGTTAAACACAATTGCGTTTTGTTAGTTAAAAGTACCTACCAGCGAACTAGGCGAGGAAACAAGTTGTCAATTTTGGGGGTTTTCTCTTCTTTCTAATTTGCAAAAAAAGAATTATTGAAAGAAAAAGGAACCTCACATGAAACAAACACTTGTTTACTCGAGCTTACAGTCAAGTGGAATCAACTTGTCTGCATGTGGGAATATTCGCACATGAAACTTTTCAACCTTTGTAGCTTGTGAGTCATCTCAAATTGCTCTAGGCTTTTTCTTTTATTATCTTTTCTGTAAAAGATATTCATAATGCCTTATACAGGACGCTACATTAATGTTTACATTCGCGTTGTCATGGCAATTTAACTGCAACGCGACTTATTCAGCGAAAACAGACCAATATCAACAACTTTGCTTTTTCCATACTTTAAGGATGAAGAGCGGCTCAAAAACAGGTTTGTATTGACGAAACGATTCGTCTTTTGCTTTTGTGTGTCCCTTTCTAACCAAAACTCATTTTAGAACATTCAAAGAAACTTGTCGTTGTTGGAGACGGTGGTTGTGGTATGTGTTCTATGAAGCATTATGGCTTTTTTGAGGATTTCTTATTGACGGTGCAGGAAAAACTTGTCTGTTGATTGTGTTTTCTACCGGAACGTTCCCCGAGGTAGGTCTATGCGTAGAAAATTCAGGTTCAATTCCATCCAATTCAAAACCTTTTTTGCTAACTATTGGAATAGAGGTACATCCCTACTGTGTTTGAAAACTACATAACACAATTCTCCTATAAGCCTAATGGCAAAATCATTGAACTCGCTTTATGGGACACGGCCGGACAGGAAGAATATGATCGTCTTCGTCCTCTAAGTTACCCAAATAGCAATGTTATCATGTTGTGTTTCTCAATTGATTGCCCTGCTTCATTGCATAATATTAGCGAAAAGGTAAGCTACTAAACGATATAGGCTAGAAAGCACATGCTTGAACATCTTATTTTTTACCTACGCAATGCAATGCTTCATTTTATATCTAACTTTTGTTCATTGAATTTCTTGTATATGCTAACATTTCGTTTTCTAGTGGTTTCCGGAAGTCCAGCATTTCTGTCCCCGGACACCCACAATGCTAGTTGGTCTCAAATCTGATCTAAGGAAGGATAGAAATGCTGAAGAGGTTCTACGTACTCAAGGTCTTACGCCTGTAACATATCAACAGGTATGTTGTATTTTGTGTAAAGATTAATCTTTCCTTTTTCTAACAAAGTACTTAGGCTCAATCTGTAGCATCATCCATAAATTCACCTTATGTGGAATGCTCAGCAAAGGAAGCATCAGGAATCAATGATGTATTCCATCTCGCTGTAAGCTTAACCATGAAAAAGACATTTTCTTTTTCGAAAAGATCATGTGTCATTCTTTAAACCTTCCCTCTCTCTCTCTCTTTTTCCTCTTCAATTATTCAGGTTTCATGAATTGTTTTGGCTCCTCCATTTATCTATTTTAATGACCAATATTTTTGTTGATTGATTTGGGTCAACTTGCTTTCCCCTTGAAACGAACGTATGAAAGATGCTTTCCTTTTTTTTATTTTTTGTTTTGTATCGTTTGCTCATACATGATTGCAAGTCCAATGGCTTTGTTTTCTATGTTGTTTATTTTAATAACGGATATCTATTTTTTGTTCTTTTTTGATCCTGAAAAAAGTATAGCGTCAATACATTCATAGCTCTTCATAACCCTTTTTTGTAATAAAAGACCTAGTTTATAATTCCTGCTGATAGAGCGAAGCAAGGTTAAACTATTAATAGATCAAAATGTACATAGTCTTTTATTCCTCTTTAAGAGTCGTGAATTCATTAGATTCCCATGCTGTACTATTTGTACCGAGGTAAATTAAGACCTAACAAGGGAAGTGTGATTTTGAGAGCTTTGCAGAAAGTGATTTATATCCAAATGAATAGTAGAAATGAGCTAGAAAAAACCTGCACCTCGCTTGGTGTATACATATACACAAATGAGACTCTTTTCCAGTTACAGTAGCCCAAACGACAAGGGTTAGCAATCATTCAAAACAGCATTCATTCTCATTCTTAGAAGATATGGAATTAGCTATTTGTTTTCACTGAATATAAAGCACTGTTCGTCCTTTTATACTCTCGGACAATTCTTTAGGTAGCGTCCGGCATATCCAAGTCTTTTTTTTCTAATATTGAGTCGTGAAATCCTTTCCATAATGAGGCAACGTTTTCAAATTCCTTTCCAACCCCGTTAATGCCTTCCATATTTTTATTCAAAACAGACATCAAATTCACGACTTCATTCATGCTTTTGCCGATTTGTAAAGTCAGTAAACGTCGCTTTCTTTCAAAAGTCAAATCATCCATTGGCTCATTTTGATCCATTTTAAATGTTTAGAGCGGTTGGATGTATCATCGATATGCGTAAGTTGAAAGAGTATGGTAGACACTTAATTTGAAGCATATAATGAAGAAAGGGAATTGAAGTCATCTAAAGTATGTGATCTATATTCATAATGGATTAAAAGGAAATAAAATGGTTACCCAAATTCAATTAGACTACTTCATTATCATGGGTATAAAATTCATATTACTGACAAGCGTCAGTGGAAGACGTTAAGAAATATATGAGTAAAGGAATACTTAAAGAATAAAGAAAAGCATAAAAATCATGAGTCCTCTCTTACCAGCTCTTGAAGACGGCGTAACCGTCGTTCAAGAACAGGATCTTCTTTCAAGTCTGATTTTCGCAATTGAGCATTACAGCCAACGACTGGACATCGACATCCACTCGTTCCGGTTAAAGACTGTATAGCACCTTTCTCATAATAATGACCACACCTTGTAGAAATGATGGGATGAACTATTGGTTGTAAAGTCAATGGACATCGGGTTTCGATTGTGGACGAAGAGATAACAATATCTTCATCTTCAGCATTTTGTTGTAGATTTGGTTCAAAGAAAACCCGCATTTGTGGGAATTCTTTTCCATCAAGATTTTGTTCATGCCAAATGGTCTTTCGGAATTCAATGTATTCGCCTTCATCCCCGTATTTTTCAAAGTCTGATTTTGATTCGTAAGCCTGAAGTAATTCTTTAAATATTTGCGTGAATACATCTAACATGCTCGATCTCTATAATGATTATTAGCTTCATTAAAAACACGACCCAAAACTCTCCTTAGGAACGCCCTTACATCTAGGAATTCGAGATTTCTATTAACTTTAGCAGACAAATCATTAAAAGCATTTTGCATCAATCTCAGCCTTTGCTTAGCGTCTAGTAATTCTTTTATTGATGCGTCCAGGGTATCTAAAGACTAGCCATGCGTTAGCTTTATTGAAACAGCAAATTTGAGTTTTTAATTTCATCCCAGTGGATCCCATTTTCATTTTCGCTTCCTCAAAAGAATCAGTGAAGAAACATTTCGCACCTGAAACGACATTTGTTTATAGTGCCTTTAAAAAGCACAGACTTGCGGTAACTTTTAGAAAATCTTTAAACTCTAGGTTCTTGCTAACTTTATGCCTTCCACTCAAACCTGCTTTTTTGAACCTTGAAATTGTAACTTTTGAAGAAAACCTGAATCGTTTTTGAAATCGTCTTAATTGCTTACCTCATTATCATTTAATTCAACAACTAATATAGAAGCACGAATGATTTGCTTGATTGACTCTTCAATATTTTTAAAATGAAATTCAAAACTAGCAGATTCATCTAAACCAGGAGCCAAAACCTGATGGATTTTGTTTATAGAACTTTTAAGTTGAGCTTCCGACATTAATTTAAACGAACTCTGAGTTCTTTTAATTTTTTTTCTCAATCTATAGGGCGTTGTATGATTTCCTTGTGCAAATTTACAGATGAGCTCCAGAGTGGTTGATCATGACACTTTTCGAATTATTAGGGTTCTTTTTCCTCTCATTTGCTTACAATAAAAAGATAGTATACTCTGTTTACTACTTTTTCTGTATACTGTATTATACGCAGAGAACTTAAGTATATATATACTCGTTATAAAGACTAGGGTAATGCCATCCTTTTATTCTCTCATAAATTGAATAAATTAAGTAAAATGATAGAACATAGCTAAATTTGTTCGTAACAAAAAAAAAACTTGTCTAATGGCCTTTTTAACCAGAAACAAGATCAATTATGTTGAAACCAATGTTTAAAGCATTAAAGAACTAGAAGGATTTTCATTTCAAAAAGGTCCAAGAAATTAAAAGTTCACTGCGTAATTGAAGCTTCTTTGGTGTAAGGAATTTTATGGATTTCACAATATGCCGGTCCGACTGTAACATACTTCCAGTTGGGCGAATGTTGATACAGATTCTGAAGACGATTTTGTTTCATATAGCGAGCTTTAATTAGCCTTGCTTTGTCCTTAATGTGGGTAGGTGCGAAATCATGTAAAGGCCTCTTATCAATTCTTTGCATGTAAACAATTTTTGACCAACTGCAGCCGTACTGTTCTATCATGTCGAATAGTTCACGCTCCTGCTCTTCCGTCCACTTTCTGCGGAATCTGTAACCTTCATATGGAGAAACCTGTCGCCGTTTATCAGAGCGTCCTTCAGCCTTTTCTGCAGATGTCCTCATTACAGTCGCCCTATTAGAATCAGAAGGGGTTTGCAAAGAAGCATCTCGAATAGGAGGAAACTCCTCATCATCTTCCACACTAGAAACTTCGGATACAGCACCTGAGGTAGTACTGATTGGAACTTGAACTGAAACTGAAGGAGTTGTCCGTTGTTTTCCTGCATTTTGCTCATGTAAAGCGAAAACTCTCTCTTCGATTACTTGTATGAGCGAAGATGTCTGATTATGAACAGAGGTAATGGTTTGCTCAGACAACGATGCTAAGACAATGGATAATTCTTCGGAAATAGACTTTAATACTTCTATTTCTGAAGCACTCCTATTTTTAATTTTGTCTCTGTTACTACTTGACGATTCAATTGTTTCTTCGTGTACAATAGGTGGTGGTGCCTCTTTTGGTTGCACTTCTGAAACCTCGTCTATTTGATCATTAGCCTCCTCGTCTTGAGGTTGAAGCACCGTCAAGTTTTCGGTTACAGAATCGTTTTGATTCTCCCCGCCAGCATCCGAAATATCTGTTTCCGCAGGTTTTTCAGGCTCCCGTCCTGGAGGACTCCCTGACATGGATACTCGCTTTCGTAAACGATCGAGTATTTGATCGCCTTCTGGATGGGTAACTAAATTTTGAGCACTAAAAGGAGCATGGTGTAATCGTTTTACATTCTGGGATTGAACAAGAAACTGAATGACAGCAACCACGAACGTCGGGTATGGGGAAAAGTGTTTAGGAGGAGAGGATATAACTTTTTCAATAGTAGTTTTTAAGAAATCAAAGATATTTTGCTTTTTCCAAACAGACCTCGCTACGCTATTTAAGGCATCAACAGATTTGTAAGGAAGCATATTGAACAGAAAGTTGATGGGATTCTTCTTGTAAGGGAAATTATTAGAAGCACAATAACGTACAAGCAATTCCTCAAACAACACCAATGAATCCGTGTAAAATACGGAATCTTCGTCAAGCACGAGTAAATTGTCTATGACGATTTCCATTAAAACGAAATGTTTATTACTTACATCAAACAAATCAATCATCCCTGTAAAAAACTGAATAGTACCCAAAGAGTCTTCTAAATGCTCGAATAATTTCCGGTAAGCTTCTTTTGCTTGAATATAGGAAAGGAAAATCGTCAAAAAGTCTAGGCCATATGTTGAAACCAGGTCATTTGAAAATTCTCGTACCTTACCAAGGAAATTATCGTCAAATTTCTCAAAATATTTTTGTGGTCCATCAATCTCCTTACTATGCTCTGCAAATACTTTGCAGAAAACCTTCGACATTTCATCTGCTAAGCCGGCCAGCAACCGACATTCCTTCGCCATTTCCAAAGCCTTCTCATATTCCCATTCATAGCCAGAATCGGCATCCATCCGCTCTTGCTCTATCTTTTTAGGACTACTTGATACATTTGCTTTTTCCACTGGCCCTAACTCGCCAGATTCATCATCATTCGCGTTTTTTGATGAATCTGATTTTTCCCGTTTAGGATGAATGCTCTCAAGTTTCCCACTTTTCCTACCTTTTTCATTTGTTTTCCTCGATAACGGAGAGGCTTCTGACATTCTTCTTTGTTTCCACTGTTTTAAACCAGTTCCAATTCCTCTGAGTAAAAGGTTCTTTTTTGATTGTAAAATGAAGAAAGAAATCAACTATACAAAAATGTCTAAATGAAATCATCCATCTACTTAATTGCTCTGACACTCAATTTGGTGTTGTAATTCATTGCGTTGCATGTCATCAAAGTCGGTTTACGAAACGAAACGATTCCTAGTGAGACGTTGTTTGTTTACATTTTTGTTTACACTGACGAAAGAGTACAAAATGAACGGAATTTTTCACTTTCATGTAATTTGCTTTATGGTTTCTGTACTTTTTAAAATATAGATAATCACTTATTCAGTTACTGTGAACATACTCAGTTCGTATAGGTACATAAATTGGAAACTTAATAGTTAGTTGAACGAGTTGAATGGAATGAAACTAACTTATGAGCCCGAATCATTTGTCATTTGTCCATGACTAACTACTGAACTAAAGGAATGCAATGAAGAAGGGACGACGAGGGAGGTAGAAGTGAAAGGGCAGGTGAAAACTCCTCTAGGCAGTAACATGGTTTTTAGTGTACTTTGTACCAGTGTCATGCCAGGTGAGATGATTGTAGTTGACAGCTTTTAGAGTTGTTAATGATTTCTTGGTGCTCAGCGAGTGCATTCATAAACAGTTTCTTTGCAAACTGAAATTCATTTCGCAGGGTCTTTAATTGAACCTTCATCTCGGCAATAACTTTTTCATGATTTGCGTTCAAATGCCTCTCATCAGTTAACATTCGCTCAAGCTCGTGAATACGAAGAATATACTATTTTAAGTTAGTTAGATAAAATTAAGTAAACGTCTCGAAACATTACCTTTTCCATAGAATGATCTTCATCTAAAAGGGATTTTGGAGTTGACACTCGATTATAAGGCATAATTGAGGCATTTCTTCCTCGTGGTGCCACAGGAGTAGATGTTACACAAAAAGAACTAGAATTAAACATAGGGTTTGACTTTTCATCTCTTGAGTTGAGTAATGAGTTTCCAAATAATTGTAAGCTCGAAAACGGCCGATGCTGATCACTTGAACCAAAATAGCTTTGTTGCTTTTGAGAGCAGGGTGTATAGGATGAAGAGTTTTTATAGTTTTTTTCCTTTTCCTTTTCCAATTTCCTTATTCTTTGTTTATCCTTGTACAAGTTGCTGTCGCTCATCGTAGGATCCTCGATTATTGGCAATGAAAAATCAGATTTAAGAAACATGCGAGAGTTCTTATTCACTTTGCTTTGTATGTTCAGATCTTTTGGAGAAAGTACCGAATGGGTGCTCTGCTTGTTTTTAACCGGTTCATTATGTAAATAATTATCGTTTGCACGTAGAATACTATCCAGTTCTTTCATTTTATCCTCCAAAAATACATCTTCCCGAGAAAAGCTTCTGTTGCTTGGTTTTTCCTTCATTTCATCATGACGGCTTAATGCGCTTTCCAGATTTTCATCCGCCTTAGATCCGTCTTTTCCTACGTTTCTTTTAGTAGAATAACCTTTAAAGTATTTTTTCATCCTAAATATGTTTGTGCAAGGTAACTACGAATGAACGACCATTTATATGTTTGCCGGACATGTAAACAAACTAAGAGGCTACTAAAAATTAAGGACCTCAACACAGCTCAATCCTTTCACATCATAACGGAATTAATAAATAATTAATATATAAAATAAATTAATTTTGCCATAATTTCAATGATCATCACCGCTTAAGTATTCGAGCAATTGTCTTTGGTATAGGACAGTAGATATGTTGTGCGGAATTCGAATTGAGGAAAAATTGTTCTTTCTAGAAGTAAAAGACATAAACAAGTATTCTCTCAGTATCTTACGCAATGCAAGTACTGGCTCGGTCTGCTTCACATAAAATAAATGTATATCTGCAATTGGCACAACATTTCCACTTTCACTAAACCCAAGTGAACCATAAGCTAAACAAGGCTTGATATCCAAAGTAGTAAAGTGAGGAATTAAAGTAGCAGCTTCTCTCACTATACCTACTATTTCGATATTTTCTGAGATCTCCAATGAATCATCAGGGTTGTTACTAGATCTAAAAAACATCCTTAAATATGGCTTTAACTGTGGTTTAGAACTTTCATGGATTAGGCAATTGCCGATAACCAACGTCGATTTATCCATGAACTCTTGGGATTCCGCTACCTGTTTCCAGTCATTTAGTTCCTCTAACGATAAAGCACCAACTTTCATAATATTTAAGCTCCAAGTAAATGAGCCTATCTTCATAATCTCGCTACTGGTTTTCCAAATCTTTTGGAATACATCCAATTTCTGATTTGTTTCGCTTAACAAAAACCATTCACAATTTTCGAGCTCGCCATACGTATCGTTCCACATGCATATTAAGAATTTATCTCTGATAACTGTATAAGTTACATGTAGACTATAGTCATTAAAAACGGCATTCGCAGAAAACGTATTGGATAATTTATAATTTAGTAGAGAAATAACGGGCTTTTCCATAACAAAAGGGGAATATTTAACTTTCAAAGAAGGATTTCTCAGTGGAGAAGTACTATATATATCCATTGCAATATTCGTAGGAGATAAAGTCTCTGTCGCAAGAGGCTGGCTGATGGTAAAACCAGCAGACGATGGTATTATTTTAATAAACAGTTGATTATTGAACAATCCATCTTTCTTAGTTTCAAGAGAAAAAACTTCATTAAGCAATGTAAAAGATTGGCATACTGAAAAGAAAGAATAAACGGAATCATCAACAAAGAATAGAAATAAAAGATCGTCATTGGCATAAGCACTGGCGCATTCCTTGGCCAAATTTGTAAAATTGAGTGTGCTTTTATGTTCAGTAGCTTGATCACCAGAGTCACAGAAAGATGACGAAAACAGTGAGTTATAATCGATAATCCCATCTTCCTGAAAGGTTATAAGGTTTCCTAACTCGAGTTTACCAAATTGACAGTTTTCATATGCATACCGAATATCATCAAAAAGAGATTTGACTATTGGAATTGATTCAGGTTTTTTCTGGGAAAAAGGCAATACAGTATAATTCCGTGTTTCATTATAAGGCTGAAGGTTCAGAGATGACCAATGTTTTGTAGCATTGTAATCAACTGTTAATTTCTGATTATTAGACTTTAATATTACACCCGGTTGATCCACGCTAGTTATATATGTATTAGCCTTATTAACATCTTTTGAATTGTTTCCATTGATTTCAGTTTCCCACGAAGTGCAAGAACTTAATGAAATAGCTCTGCTTAGTCCTGAGAACAAGCCTTCAAGAAATTCTTTAGTGGCTTCCTGTATGTAAAGAAAATCACACGAGTCATTATAGGAGTTAATATATGAATTTTGATTTTTCCAAAAAGGTAGCAAATAAAAATAAAACGGCTGACTCATTATTAATTCTAATAACGCCTCCTTTTCTACCATTTTTAGGTGCTTTAGCCCATACTTTTCCAACAAAGACTCAAACCCAAAAGAATCATTTACTCCAGTATCAACCCCACTGCAATCAACAGAAGCAGAACTATATAGCTCGGAGCCTTCTTTCTCAAGTGATGGAAATGACACTTCAGGATTTATATTATTTTTCATTTCAGAAACAGGTTGACGTTCAACTACCTCTCGAAGACCATCATAAAAGTGCTTTTCTTCTTCGACACTGCTAACAGAGCCACTTAATGATCCTAAACTGTCAGATCGATGAAGCAAAGCAGAAGGACACCAATATTTCCCACCAATCGAATACTTTTTAGCAATATCGACTGACGAGGAAGGGAATGGAACTGCATTATATAGCGGTGGTACAACTTCATCATGGTAATACTTTTCAACTATCAGATCATCCATAATAGAAAGTTTAAAGTTATCCTGAGGGATTGTAGGTTCGGAGATGCTTTTAGTTGATTCTTTCTTTTGTATACTGTGTTCACTTTGAGTATACGTATCAGGTGGTGAAGGAAATTGCTGATTATTAAGCTGTTTCTCTTCCGAAATGGCTTCCAAATCAACTTGATTCAAACTTTCAGATTTCTGTTCTATCACTTCCATATTTTCAGAGTAAGGTTTCACTTCAGGATTAGGTAAATCAAAATAATCAAAATCAGCTTCCGTAATTCTAGCGTCCTCAATGTCTTGCATGAATAAATCATTCTCTCTATCACTTTCTTCCATGACTCTTTCTGATGATGGAAAGGGAGAATGAGTTACGCGTATTGGCAGTTCAGGACTAGAAGGTATAGCTAGAGTATTTGGCAACACTGGCGTCACAGCAACATTGGGTGATACGGTATGATCCAAGTTATCTGAATCTGAAATGACTTCTTTATTTTGATCCAAATGAACCTTCTTTTCTGATAATAGATCTTTTGACGCGTTAAATGGAAGAGTATATCCGTTAATGGTAAAATGTTTATCAAAGTCATTCTGCAAATGCGTAGGAAATGGTGTTTTTTCTAGAAAACAAAGGCTTAAAGGCCATGAAAACGCATAATCAAAGCAATCAACCTGAACTCCAACCCATTTTTCAGTTGGTAGATTGAAAAAGCCGTAACGACTTTTCAGAATTTCCATTGTTGATAAAGACGAAGGAGCTTGAATAGAGATCAATTTCGCATTACACCCAAATGGCAACAGAATAAGCCTCTCTACTACATATTCTTCTAAATTTGCTATATTTGACAAGCAATATAGAGACAACCCTACGGGTCGGAAAGAAAACTCCATGAAGCCATCTGTCAGAAAACCAAGATGTAAACCAAGAAGTGGAAATTCGTGAACACTCAAACCCTCTAAAATGAACTTTGAGGCTGTCCTTATTGGGAGTAAAAACTCCTTGAGGGAAAGAAACCCATATTCTTTGCAAAGATGATACACGGTAAGACGCCGTAAGGCTCGGATTAAATTGAGCTGTATCGAAGAAGTCCTTGGATTAGATTCATGGTGAAAGAAAGAAGAACGACCAAAACTACCAGAACTATTCAGAGTAAGCGTAGAAGGCCTCAGTCCAGGCAAAAGGGGAATGGAATCAAACGAGTATAAAAACAATGACCCATCTAAGACATAAAAAATTCGACTTTTTTCGCTTAATGAAGCCTCTAATTCGTAAAGGTCCTGTAAGATAGCTTCACTTTCAGATTTTTGTAATTCATATTTGGCATAGAAGATGGTTTCTGGGCAAGGCTAAATTAGTTAAAATTATAATAAACTACAAGAGTAAACTGACAAGACATACAATCGCGGAAAGATTTAGGAATTGAACCTCATCCTGCTGCATTCCTGGTTAGATGGTATAACTACGAAAGACAAAACTTGACAACGATGGTAGGTACATAAGATCATGATAAATTGGCAATAAAGAGAAAGTTACAAAAGGAAAAGGAATAAATAAAAAGTAAAATAAATAGTGAAAGAACTAGAAATGAAGGCGTACCGAAAAGATTAGGACTTTAAAGCAATTCCAACTGCCACTTTCATCCACAAGGGCTGTTAGCTCTAAAATTGAAATGAAATTCTTACAGATCAAAAATACTCTTCATCTTAGACAATAACCTGTTTCCAAAACCTTTCATTAAATGGACCGAATAAATTACATATTTTAAGAAATAAAAATTAGTAACCCTAAAATAGAACCTGTAAAAGAATAGTTTTCTTAGAACGAAAGAAAAGTAAGCCCTGAATTGAACGAGTCAACAATAAAGACAAAAGACCCGAAAGAAACATAAAAGAAGGGAACCAACAAGGGCTTCTATAACCATTGTTATGACTTGTTGGCTTATTTTTTCTCGGCTTTATCATCATCACTTTCCTGATCGGAAGCATCATCTTCCTGTCCACTTACTTCTACGTCCGAATCTGGAGACACAGATGATTCTTCGCTGCTTCTGTCTTCGTCAGATTCTGAATCGTAAGCGCGCTCATCAAACTTATTCTGAGCGAATCCTAGCTGACTGGCAAATTTGGATAAATCTTGTAAAAGCTAAATATGTGAGTTAGCGAACTTGGCCCAAGGTTATTAAAAGGGAAGCGTACATTAGGATCAACATTATCACCTGCCTTGGAGGATTTATTATTTTCCTGTCTTGGGTCAATCTCTTCATCACTTCCAGCGTCGTCGATTAGTTCCAAATCCTTCTTGGATCCTCCTAATTCCAAAATATCCTTTAGCAATGTTTCATCCTCCTTTTTTACTTTTTTGGTTTGGCGCTGTTCAACACTTTTCTGTTCCTTCTTGTTCGTTTTACCATCAGAAGGAGCTCTCTCTTTTTCCTCTTTTCTCTTTTTTGCTGGATTGTTTGTGTCCTTCTTCGAAGGTCGGTTGGCTTTGGAAGAAGGTTGACTTTTAGCTTCCTTATTGATTGACGATTTAATATCCGAGAACAAAGACAAATCCATTTTCACTGTTAAAGATAAACGGTTCCTTTTGCGTATTTTTAAGTCCCTTTGGATTCAAGTATGTGAGCAAGAAAGCTAAACTGAGATTTCTTTTTTTGCCCTATAACAATTAAAACAAAAAACAAAAAACCTGATATTTCTTTTAGTAGAAGACACGCAATGAATGGGCAGACGACAATTCTAGGTGTTGGTGGTAATTACAGGAACACCTTCGTGGTGTCAAACACTTGATTTTGGGTAAAAAATGAGTTCTTTGGCGAAAATAAGCTCTTTTTATCGCTCTATATTTAAAAATTTTCCTTTATTTACATTTGATAATCCTTATCCTGCAGTAAACGAGAAGTTGAATACGAAACCGGTCTTGTATGTTAGTGACTGGAATGGCGAACCAATTTCAGAGTCATTGGATTTAGAGTCTCTACAATGGCAAACGTGGGTCAAAATTCACGATCCAGAAATCATTTTACTCAATGTTTCAAATCATGCCTCTCCCGACCAAAATACACCTTTTCTACAAGTCGTATCTCACAAAGTCGTTTTGAAAAACGCGTTGTTGCTGTATTTAGTGAATGATGAGCAGTTACTACAAGCTATAACTCCTTGGATGAGTCTTTTGACTGGTCCTGTCCAGATTGCTTTGAATTATAGCATGTATCTAGATGAGACGAATTTCCAAGAATTACGAAAAAATTGGTTTGCAAAGGCTACTTGGCCTTTAAGCTTAATAAGGAGTATAGCTCAACCTCTCGAAAAGAAAAAGCAGCTTCGTATATTGACAGAGGAAAAACATCTAGACGCAGATACGGTAAGCACTTGATTTGAATTCTAACTGTTTATTTTCTATTAGCGCAAGATTTTATTATAGAGCTCAACGCTAACTTACCGTTTATTTAGATTTTTGAAGATGCAGCCAGAGCGTTTTCGTCCCTTTCAGAATTCTTAGGCAATCAGATCTATTTTCTTAACAAAGAGACTCCTTCCATTCTAGATATTTCTGTATTTAGTTATGCAGAAATTATCCTTCATCTTCCGTTGAGGAATGATCAGTTACGTCTCTCTTTAACGTCTAATAAAAATCTCTTAGAATTAACGAATCGTGTACGTGCTTTGGCTGGTTACAATTCTTATGGATCTACTTTAATTGATGATGAGTGATGCAAGAACTAGGGAATGAATTTATCTGATATTGATATATACCACCGTCTCTTGTACTGTTGCAATAAACCTTTATTCCCTCTATACCCTAATTAACAAAGAATAAAAAAATTCTTTTCTTTAAATGAATTTAATAATATATACTTCGAACTCGAATTGAAGGAACAGAGCTCAATGCTCGTTCTTTGTTCGGGGAATATCCAATAGTTTGCCATTCTTTTGCTAGATCCCATAAGAAAAAATCTATCATAATTGCATTCAAATTAGGTCGATTTACTGCTAGACGAATCAATTCAACTGCCCATATACTGCATCCACGCATTTCTATTTCCATCGGGTCATTATGAGCGATTGTTTCACTTTTGCGTAGTCGACTTCCAAACTCAGGAGAATAATCTAAGCATCCAAGCTGCCAAAGGATTTGTGGAACTCGGTAATCAGCAAACATAGTAATGCTATCTATATCGTCAAATTGTCCATATCCTTGTCCATGGAAACATGCCCATGTTTCAGCTATTAATATTTGTGCACGCTTCAATATGTGACATTCACGACCTTTGTAAAAAGAAATATCTCGAAAATCGGGAAAATCCCGTAAGAGAATTTCAAGAAACTTTTGAGCGCTGTGATTGCATTTCTCTAGGAGATGAACAAATCGTCCCCCATAGTACTTTACTAACGCCTTCCCACTAGCTCTCATAATTCGTATGCGCTCAGATAATAAAGGGATTTGTTCTTCTGTGTCACTAGCAAAGATGGAAGCAATCAAGTCATCGGGACAACAAACTTCATCTGCGTAAAATGAAGGAGTAGTGATTGGAATACTATTGTCTAAGGCCTTATTAACGGCAGCACAAAGACTCCAGTACCCCATGTATAGCTTTCCTTTGTACCGTATACCGAATCGAGCAGGATGGTTGCCCGAATCCTTGGTATCTGCGTCTGACCAAAACGAAAAGTTCAAGATATCAATCAAGAAGATCCTAAATATCCCTAAGGTTAGTAAATTGTGTTTTATTTTGGTAGACACGATCTGTCAAGAATTAAAAAAAAAAAAAAATCAACAAAACATACCAATCCAACGTAGAAGAGTCCTGTAGCTTTGGGTGTAACTCATGATCTTGCCAATTTGAGAATTTCGTTCCTAAAGTGTCCAACTGTTGTTCGATCCAAGCAGCTACTTGATTACATCCTTCTTCGTTCACTTGAACATCTCTTGAATTCTATAGAAATATGAGACAGATATCCTTAAAAGTTCTTTTCTTACCAAAGCGATGAACTGGGAATCCTCTAGCACTCGAGACATAATAGTAATTTCTGGTTTTCTAAAAGCAGAAGGTCAAATGAATGAGTATTTGGATGATAGGAATGATTGTCGTTCCAAGAAAACGAATTTATTTAGAAAAGTAAAAAAAAAAAGAGAAAGAGAAATCAATCCTACAAGATTGTTCTTGAGGCTTTCTTACTGAACCGAAACTACATCTGAATTTGTGGAAAGATGTCGTTTCTGAAAACATACAATGAACAAAAACATTCATATTGTTGCTACAAAGTGGAAAGCAATCTGTTAAAAAAAAAAAAAAAAAGCATAGGTTCACTCATAAATACATAATGAACAATTGATTCAACTTGACATATGGTGAAAATGATAAACATTATATAGCTAAAACACCATAGGAGAAAAATATAAAATAAAAAACAAAACCCATTGAATTATTTTCTTAAGGAATCTAGACATGTTCAGCGTTCAGAGACTTTATTTAGGAGGTCTTTTCATCATCTTTCACTTCAGTGATGGTAGGACCCTCGGAGGGAGAGGCATTAGCAGCAGGGCTGCTAGAAGAAGGTGCAGGCTTATTGGTGTTATTGAACATTCCACCAGAAGCAGCAAAAGGGCGAGCCAAACTGCCTTCAGCAGCTTTTCCAAGGATGTAGATAGAAGTCAATTGATTTGTGAACAAACTGATCAAAGGGAGAATGGATTGGAGTACCAAAGGCTGAGCATAACCCATGTACAAGTGCATAAAGGCCATCATAGCAACACCAATCATAGAACTCTTCTTAGCCTTTTGGAGTTGGTCATTGTCGTAATCCTTGACAGTAGTAGTGACACGCTTTCCACTCGCTTGTCCAGAAAAAGGAGCAGGTGGCTCTTCATAAACCAAGGGAGTACGATCATTATTAGAGCTAATTCGGGTCTGAATAATAGAATAAACACCAAAAATGATAGCGTTGGAGATCACATATGCAGCACGAGCATAGTAAACAATTTGAGGATCAGTAAAGTCCAATTTTTTAGAGTATTGCATAACACCTAAAGCGGCGACAAGATTTAAGACCTAAAGACAAACTAAATTAGCACAAATTCCGAATACAGAGAACACGCAATCGGTTCCAACAATTAAGTGTTGCTTTGCATACCTGAGCGTTCATTTTAGTTTCAATTTAAAATAAATTCAGTGTAGTTTATTTATATAATAATATGCAATTTTACCCGATCCGAATATATAAAGGTAATGGCAGAGGGCAAGTTTATATACCGAGTTCAATAACTGTAACTTACATTGTCGTTAGGAGATAATCAGCTAATTTACCGAAATCAAAGATGGTAGCGTTATCAGTCCAGATACTGTAACAACGAGGTTTGTAAACAAACAGCTGGGTTGAAAAGAAAAGTGTAGAACATCGAAGAGAAAAGAAGAATTATTTCACTGAAAATCGATTCATAAAGGAATCATCAAGAAGGAGTCTTTGAAAAGTTGATAGGTATTCATGGCGATTTATTGAAAGGATTTATCAAGCCGGAGTCAGGAATCACCTCGATTCAATGAACCAATTCTGGTTGATTCAAAGAAATGCAAAGGGAATGGAACAGTGGTTGTTGAATAAACAAGCAAGCAAAAAGCTAGACGATTTGCCGTATCTCCATTACGCTGTAGAAATGCATCCTTTTATGAGTCACTAAAGAATGCAAAGATGGATATTTTGAAGAAAAGATGAATAAATAGATTGCATGGTAAACTTGCAATGGATAAAGACAGCTTAATTTATGTACATTCAGATTTAGATTATTAATGAATAGTAAAAAGTACAAGTACCGCATCTTTTCAAATCATTATAGTGCCTATCCGTGCGTAAAGAAATCGATCATGTTTTTGAACCGAATGAGAGACGATCTAAAAAGTAAAACATAAAAAATAAAAACGAGGAGGAATTGTTTTCCTTTTTTTTTAAGCTTGTTATAATCTAAGTAGCCGATAGGCCGATCCTTGAATCAGTCAGTAGTCTGAATGAAAGAAGAGATAATTAGGAAAACGTACGAAAAATGATTAATAAGTGAACATTCCCCTCCAGTTGACAGATTCATTCGAAAAGCATACAGATTTCCATCAAACGTAGCAACATTGATGTTGGAATTTTCGCTGCTAAATGCTACCACTGAAGAAACCTTGTCACCAGGTATGTGAGCAAACGCAAAATCACGCTCTGGATCAAGCATTCCCGAAACAGATTGTGGCAGATAACCTCCAACAGTTCCTACAATGCTGCGCGAAGACCTCCGGAATAGACTAAATCCATGTTAGCAAGCTATTAGATATATATGTTAAGCATAAATGAATGCATGCAACGTACCTCTCCCTTCGTGGTGGAGTAGCAGACGGAGATGCTGGCTGAGGTTTTGATGGTGAGCTATGGCTGTTAAGTTTAAATATATGGACGGTCTGGGTACTGGAAGAAACTGCTAAAAGGGTGGAATCGGGGTGAAAAGCAATAGAATAGATTTGAGCGGGTAAGGACCCTCTTCGAAATTGATACAGACGTTCTCCTGAAGGAACAGAGTATACACGAATAATTCTACCATTTTCGGATGCAGTAGCTAACATGGTACCATCTGTGTTGAACGTCAAAATAGAGAGAGGATCTTTATGAGCTTGGATTACTGTTATTTCTTTACAATGGACTGCGTCCCAAAGAATGGCACGTCCAGAAACAGTCGAATTGGCAAATGCTGTTGAAGAAGAATCAAGATCTGGTTTAGTGTCTTTGGTTTCAGTGTCGGGATAAGCTAGATAGCAATTCGCTGAGTTTGGTGAGAGCGCGCATACAGAAAACAAATTTCCGCATGTTTCAATCGTATGCAACAGTAGCATATTACTGATATCATAAACATATATTTGTTCCTCCAGTACAGCGAGCAAGCGTTTTCGATTCAATTTTACCGACAGCAGCGGTGTCGGAAATGTCAATTCACAAATTGTAGTACTCTTCTTTGTGTTTACTAGCTTTAACTTGCGATTACTTCCATCCTCCTTCTCAACAAGTGCAACGAGCGACGTACTAAAGAGCATTTCAACAATCGACGTGGCGCCTTGTACTACAAACCATTACGGTCAGAGTAAAATTATTACAGCTCTCACTTTTTAGCTCACATACATTTGAAGAAACATTTCCCGAATGGGTCGCAATTGTAGATTTTGTATCCATCATACGTTCCTACCGATAATAAACTAAAACGTCAGCAACGAGTCTACTTGAACAGTTGTATACTTGGAGTCTTGATTGAAGCCGCAAAATAACAGATGCGACTTATTTGATGCCATTTCTAAGAAACAGAATTAGAGAGACGTTGTTTAAGTTGTTCTTGCTCTAAACAGGACAGGTCAGGTCAATCGGCATCGTTCTCTGTGACCCGCGGCAACGTCTGGCTTGCCGCGGTAACATTGAGTCAATCATCTTAAAGCAATTTTGGGTTTCAAGACGATATAACAAAATAGAATGGATGGTCCATCTTTCTGGTGACATTCTGTAATTAATTTACAAAAAATATAAAAGCTTTTTATAAAGCTCCATAATAGGTTTGTTGAGAGTTGCAGTGCTTTCATTGGCGTTGATGGTTTTGTATTCAAGGGCATTGAAAGGCAAGATAATTGTGCTGTATAAAACAAACGAAGTCCAATTCGTTCAAGAAAAAGAAGGAATAGTATAAAACAGACATCGTACTACATTTGGTTCACACATAAGCAAATAGGAAAAATATGATGTTTGAGTATTGCTTCCCTTGTTTGTCGGTTCCACGCGTGTTACAGTCATTATATCAAATTTCTAATGCAGAGTAGTCATAAGGAAAAAAAATAAAAAAGGATAGCTCATCGAGGTACTGGGAATGATTCTGGGCGTTCAATAAACGATGTATCATTTGTAGTAAAAGTTTCATCAAGCGTCGAAGCGTTGAACTCATGCGAATAGCCGCTACCAATGCCGGCAGATGATGGGGCACTAAGCTGACGTTGCCTCGATGTTATTTCCATTTTCAACTGATCTTTAATTTTTTGCAGAGAAGCACTTTCAGCTAGAGGTGCATTTTCATAATCCACACAAAAGGCATTAATTTGCAAGCCATATAAAAAAGAAGCAAAAGATTCATTAAAAGAATCTAAGTTTTGTTTAGTCACTGAAAGTTGATTCATACGTTTACGAAATTCATTAACACCATCATCTAAAGCAGCTAAGGAATTTGCAAACGTCTGTAGATTCGGTGGAATAGCATTTGGATTTTTGTTTTCCGCGGAATTATTATCATCCGTTAACTTTAGAGTCTCTCTTTCGTAGTTTTCCATGTTTTCTTCTCGTTTGTGGTCGAAAGGAAGTTGCTCGACGGTCGTTTCTGCCCTTGCTGCTGGTACGTTCTTTTTTCGTCGCTCACAGCCTTCTACTGAACAGGAAGATATACTTGGCTCGTTTCAGTATGCTACATGCTCTCCATTAAAATCTATGATCCAAAAGACATGGCCTTCTATTCAGGAAAACAAAACCTACCGAAATTCCTTCATCCATCTCGCCAAATGTGATTCTCCAGATGCTATTCTTATACGATTTCTTAAATCTTGTCGAATGGATCCAGATCAGGCTAGTGTGAAGCTACTGAACACCCTGAGATGGCGCATCGAATCCAATGTCGACCAAATAGTAGAGCGTGGAGAACTCTTTGCTAAAGAACATCATGATGATCAGTTCTTAGAACAGCTTCGTACTGGAAAAGTCATCATGCTTGGTAGAGACCTTAAGGACCGGCCGATTTGTTACATTCGTGCCCACTTGCATCAGCCTTCGAAGTTGACACAGAAGTCTTTGTGTGAAATGACGATTTGGGCTATGGAAACTATGCGTCTCTTTCTGCATTCCCAACCTACCTTACCAGCTTCGTTAGAAGATCCTCAGAATGTCAATGTTTTATTCGACATGAGTAAATTTTCCCTTAGCAACATGGACTACTCATTTGTTAAATACTTATCTTCTTGCCTCGAATGCTACTATCCCGAATCCCTAGGGGTGTGTATTTTGCATAAATCTCCTTGGATTTTCCGAGGTATATGGAACATCATCAAAGGTTGGATTAAACCAGAAATTACAGAAAAAATTATTTTTACTCAAAATTCCAAAGATTTAGAGAAGTATATTGGTCGCCATATGATTCCTGCTACTCTGGGAGGAGACAACCAAAACAGCTTTGAGTATGTTGAACCAAAGGAAAATGAGAATCAGTCTGTTGTTCAGGGAAGTTTAGAAAAAGAGACTGCACTTGCTCATTATTACGCGTATTATAATGAATGGGAACAGCGTTCTCTACAGTGGGCCAAGACGCCAAATGAAGATCTACAAAATGAAAAGTTGCGTTTAAGCTGCGATATTGCAGGCGCACAATTCGCAAAAGATTATTGGAATGTAGATAAATATCTGCGTGCAAGGACTGTGTATGATCGATTGGGATGGCTTAATTAAAATTTGAGCTAACCAAGCCGCCAAAATTACGCTTTCTTCATATTCAACGTCTCTATCCTTTGTATCTGATTTTTGCTTTTAAGATTAACAAAGCTATGTCACGCCTTTTTTGTTAAATATCTTGCTACCGAACTATTTAAATCCCCCATTTGATCCTTGGCCTATATACGATCGGTATTATGCGTTTATTTATTTTGCAATGGTATAGATTATCATGCAATCGCTTTTTCACAAAGATATATTCTATCAGGTGCTTCATTTTTGTTCATAAAATAAAATGGTAAAAAGTCTAACATTGTATTAACGCATTCATGCCACGTCGTACTTTTAAGCTACTTGAACAATGTGACAAAAATACGATTTCCACAGCTAAAGCTAATAAAGAATACAACAGTGATAATACGACTTGCTCATAAAATGAAAAACCTCAAGAACCAAAAAATTTATTGACTTATTTAAGCTTCCAACTTGAGGGTCAAATGGCATCTACCGCAGTAGAGACGATCACCATGGTTGGCCATGAAGACAGAGGCACCGCAAGTAGGGCATTCACGACGGAGACGCTTAACGCTGCCATCATCTTCGACCTTGTAGTACTTGAGGACAGCAAGCTCAACCTTTTTATGCTTGTGCTTGATCTTCTTGGGGGTAGTGTAAGTTTTCTTCTTACGCTTCTTACCACCACCACGAAGACGGAGGACTAAGTGAAGAGTAGATTCCTTTTGGATGTTGTAGTCGGACAAGGTACGTCCATCCTCCAATTGCTTACCAGCGAAAATTAAACGCTGTTGGTCAGGGGGGATGCCCTCCTTGTCTTGGATTTTGCCCTTGACATTGTCAATAGTGTCAGAGGACTCGACCTCAAGGGTAATCGTCTTACCCGTGAGGGTTTTGACGAAAATCTGCATGTTGGAGAGTGCAGAGTTATTTTCAATGTTGGAAATATTTCTTTGGTAATTTGGAAAATTGTGACTGCTTGAAACAAACCCAGAGCAACCTCGCTAAATGTATAACCTTAATTTTTAGGAGAATAAAACAATGGAAATTTACGAAGTTCATTTCAATATTACGGCTATAATTTATCAATTATTATAGATTTATGAATTAAAAACGAGCTTCCCTTTTTTTCTTATAATCAACTATAAGAAAAGGAAACGACGGAACGATGATAAGTATAATCTCTACAAAATGATGGCAAATGGTATTGTTTGGCGTTCTTTTCAGAGCCGGTCGCTGTTCCATACATACTCTCTAATTCTATTTCCAAAAAAACAAAGTCGGCCAGAAGGTTTTATCACCAAAGAACAAATGAGCGAGTTGGCATCCTTTCTCAAGCAAAATTGGAAACCAACAAAAGGTAAGAGAATTATTCCTCAAAAAGGAAGAGCAATCAATGTTAAGATTTAACTCAACCCCATTCATTATGCTGCGTTTTGTAGACGAAGATAGTGAATGAAGCGACTTATACGAAGATAATAAAGTAAACATGACTTTACTTTCATGCTAAGAGTGGCTCGATTGTTTCAATTTTGCCGCAAAGACTAACAAGGATTATAGACCAAGTGGAAATCAAGTTTGCTCGAAGCAGTGGACCTGGAGGACAAAATGTAAACAAACTCAATACCAAAGTTACGGTCTCATTACCTTTGGAACACCTGCGTTCTGTTGTCCCATCATTCCTACTTAAACATTTTTATTCGTGTCAAGAGCTACGACGGTTTCGAGTGGATAACCAGCTACAAATTCAATCCCAGAGAACTAGAACACAATCCAAAAATGTTCAAGATGCACTGTCTCGAATTACTAATTTGCTTCATGAAGTAGCAAAGTCTCTCTATATCGCTCCAACGTCGCCTGAAAAGGTACAGCGGATTACGGCTCTAAAAGAGAACGCGAAAAATAAACGTCTCCAGGAGAAGAAGAAAAAGAGTATGAAGAAGTCTTCTCGTCGAATCTCTATTGATTGAAGCCTTTTCCTTTCAGCGTACCCATTATTCACTCCTTCATCTCTACTCCAATTTTAACATAACGAATTTGATAATTTATGAAATGTTCGAGACTTTTCTTGTCTTTTAATCCTACGTAAATATCGATTGTTTACTTTTTGGAGTTTGTAATATATTACATTATATAATTCTAGACTTGTTTTGATATGCCCCCCGGCTTGAACAAATACCCTTTTCCTGCGTATTAGTTTGAACGTATATAAACACTCACAATCCAAACACCACTACCATTCCTTCGTTTACCTTGCTAGGGAATGGCGACATCAACTAAGTCGTTGGCATTTTCTGCCCAGTACGTTGCTGCCGTGCATATCATTTGTTCGCTAGCAGCATTCCTTGTTCCGCTGGGTTTAACTCTGTATTATCATTATCATGAGGTGAGTAGTGAGACGAAAGCTGTTCTGGTTGCCTAATCGTCCTCGTCTTTGTTTTCTCAAAAACGCATGTTTGTTTCTTGGAATACTAGGTGCTTGCTTAAAAGCATGTAATTTTTTACGGCTTGTTTACTTAAATACGGAGTACTTTTTCTTTTTATCTTATGTGCATCCCTTACAGCTTTCTCTCGCTTTGTCTGTATTCCAATTTGATTTAGGAAGACTAACACTTTTCAGGTTGTTAAAAATGAGTTCTTTTCGTATCCAGATGAATGGTTTCCCTCTGTTTCAGCGACCATCGGTGATTGGTATCCCGAGCGTGCTGCATTTCAATATTTAATTGCTCTGGCAGCAACTCCTCGTATGCTTGTCCTCATGTTATGGTTTTCTCTCAGTGGCTCAAAGAAGCCTTCTGTCGTTATTACCACTATCATCGGTGTACTTAGAACTGCACTTTGTGGTGGATGGGTCTATGTCACTTCTACAGATGATCATGATATGCATGATGTTTTCATGATTGCTTACTTACTTATGAATGCTCCTTGGTTCATTATGACTTCCAAGTACTCTCCACCAAACGCTAGTGCTTCTCGCGTTCGAAAATGTGGTTCTTTCTTGTTCGTCGGTACTGTTTTTCCACTTATTTATTGGTATATCCAACATAAATTCAAGCGAATTCCCGGCGCCTACACGATTTACGCATTTTTTGAATGGTCTCTTATCTTTTGGGATGTCTTATTTGATTCTGCACTTTACTTTGACTTTCAACCTATGCGTCTCAATTTCCATGTTGCAGACAGCCCCATCAAGTCTGTATCTTCAGGTGTCGTCCCCAAATCACATGAAGATGACAAAAAATACACATATGCAAAGGCTGCTTCTTCAAGTTTGAAGAAAAAAACTGAATATGAGCCTGTTTGCTCCAAGTCACACATCCTATCGAGCTTTATCCAATTCTCTTCCGAAACTTATTTAGCTTACATTTTCTGGAGCGTAATAACTTCATTAGGACTTTTAATTTGGTATTTCCCACTTTGGCATATGGGTATTTCTGGTTATGAGGCCTCTATTCTAGTTCAGTTATCCCCATTTCTGTTAGCGATCCCTTTTCTAAGACAGCTCACTTTTAGGGCTCCTTTTATTCCTTTATCACTGACTTTGACAGGTGTTGCTGCATACTTAGTAACTGATCCTGTCTACAGGCTTTTTACTGTCGCGTTTGCCGTTTTTAATGGCTGTCTTGGATGGTCGTCTGTCTTTTCAAAAAGTAAGGATTCCCCCGTTTTATTAGAGCGACGAATTACTACCTTTTTGCTTGGTTTAATTGCATCTTCTGTTGCCAAATATTCATTTTTCTCAAATAACCCAATTTGGCCTATTCTTAACGAACGCAATGGTGGAAAGCAACCACTTGCTCTCGGTTTAGGAGTTTTGGCAACTCTTGGCTTCGCGTTGTGCTCTTCTGGTTCTAAGCTTCCTGAAGCTTCTCCCCCGGAAACCAGTAAGGATTCATCAGCTTTTGCGTCTATATTCGGTTTAGGCTCTACTCTTTTTGGCTTGCACACTCTACTCTGTGACTCTACCATCCTCATCTCTTGGGCCTGGGATGGATATCCCATTAGAGGTCCTCAGCCTTATCCCCATGGTGCTATATCCATAATCGTTGCTTTACTAGCTATTATCATGGCACCTCGTTTGTACAGATCATTTTCATTTATGCTTTTCGGATTTGTAGCTTCCTGCTATGGATCATACGTCTTTTACTTGAAACATGGTTGGGAGAGTTACCTTGGTGGTCTTGTACTTTCTTCATACGTGTTGATTTCAGCCTTTCCTTCAATCCGGTTTGCAGTAGCTTCCAGTCCATCTAAAGTTTTTGGTGGTGCTTTCTTAGTATATAGTTTGTATGCCTTTGCACATGTTTGGGTGGTAGCATATGAATTTGTTCCTGGTGGCTCTGTCCTTCGCGAGAAGACCTCATATCTGTTAATTGCTCTTGCAGTCGGACTTTTCTGTCCATTACTAGGGTACAGCAGCTTTAGCTCGAAAAAACGGTCTACAGGAGTAAAAGCAAACACAGAAGAGACTCATGCTATCAAGCGTGGATTTAAGAAATCCATTATAATAGCAACATATTTGGCGTTCATGGCATTAAAGTATGCTAACATGTATAAACCACCTTATGACTACACACCTTACCATCCAGACGAAAAGATATTTACTGCGGGTATCTGGACAATTCATTTTGGGTTAGATGATTATATGTGGGGAGCTGAGAACCGAATCCGGGATGTTGTACGTGACATGGAGTTGGACGTTTTTGGGCTTCTCGAATCCGACACCCAACGTTTGATTATGGGGTTCCGTGATTTAACACAATTTTTGTCCCATGATTTGGGCATGTATGCCGACTATGGTCCAGGCCCTGATAAACATACTTGGGGTGCAACATTGTTTTCCAAATTCCCTATTGTCAACTCGACCCACCATCTACTTCCATCTCCCTACGGTGAGCTTGCACCGGCTATTCACGCAACTTTAGATGTTTATGGAGAACTGGTTGATGTGGTTGTTTCCCACAATGGACAATACGAAAACGCATTGGACCGTCACTTGCAAAGTACAGAGCTGTCAAGAATTATGAAAGAAAGCACCAGACCTTTGGTGTTCTTGGGTTATGTAGTTTCTCATGTTGGTGAAGAGCCTCAGACCATCCTGACTCGTGGTAATGGAATGCTTGACATTGAGCCCGCTGACTTTGATCGTTGGTGCCAGTATATTTTATATAGAGGTGTCAAACGCATTGGATACGCTCGACTCCATCGCTCAACAGTTACAGATACCGAACTACAAACCGGAAAATTCCAAGTTGCTTCTGATCTAGGAGCGAATGTTCGAATTGCCGCTGAAAAGATTCCCGAATCGCATCGTTATCCTACGAAGTTTGAAGGTAAGGGAATCAATGGACATTACTACGATAACAATAACGTAATTCATGAACCGTGGTATTACGACTAGCTTCACGAAAACAACCCTCACAGTTTTTAGATATTATGGTTATCAAGGATTGTTCTCCTTCGTTAAGACTTAGAACAACATTCTTGACAGATTTGAAAATAATGAGCTTTTGTCTGCATGGACTTATTTTCTAACTAGCATATATAGCATGATTAAGTGTTGCTTTCTTATAATAAATAGTTACAATATGAATAAGAAATGGCAGAATAAAGGTAAACGAACAATCGACATATAAAAGGCATCAAAAAAAAATAAAAAATAGGAAGAAGAAGATAAACCTTCCTATTGCAAAGCAAAAATTATAATGTTTTCTCCAACTGAGCAGTAACCTTGGGAATATTTTTCTTCAAAAAAGCAATTTTGGCAATAGTTTGTTCATATCTGTCAACGTCAATAGGCGGACCATCATTTTCTTGAAAGTCATTCACAGGATTAGATTCGTCAACAGTCGGGCTATCCTTTATCTTTTGGAGCGCGGTTAACTGTTCATTTAGGGAATTTGAAAAAGCTGATTCATATTGAACAGGTACATATTTTCTATACTTGGCAACTCGAACTTGAGCATCTTCTACATCATTAAATAATTGCTGGACTTTTGAACGAAGAGCAAGATCAAAAGGTTCGATTTGATCAGAGTTTTTTGGGTCCTGAAGTGCTGTCTTTGCGTCAAACCCATTAATCATAATATTGTCCTGAACAGTCATGAACGTGGACTCGATTAGCTAAAGATGATATTAGTTTACAAAGAGCTCTTAACAAAAGTTAAGTCAGTCAGCTACTTACTTCGTTGAGCATTTCTTTTACCCGAACTCTGAGGTGATCTTCTTTTCCCTTTCCTGTCTCTCGAGAAGCCTGTTCAGGTAAGTGAATTTCGAGATTTTTCTGAACAGCATGGCGAAAGACTGACTTTACATAGCTGTAATCCTGAATACTGAAACGATTAGAAAAGAACTAGTAAAAGCAAGACTTTATTCATTAAAGCACATTCTTTAAGAGAAGCAATCAAGGCACAGGGTAGGGTAAACTACGATGGACTTGCTCCAAGAACAGAATGTCTTATTTGCTGGTCTGAAAATTCATACCTATCAAGCATCACTTTTGGCAAAGAAGAGTCATCGTCATTTGAAGCCATTGGTGATAATATCGTAAAAATAAAGCAGCAAATTTAATAAACTATGGAATTCATGAAAAATAAACAAACAGTGGGTGTAGTCAAGGTTGCTTTAAGAGTCAAAAAGGCCAAAAAATTAAGCGAGAGTTTAATAGACTTAAGCTAAGAAAATAGCGATACAGGATTATAGTCTGTTGACAATTTTGAAGTATTCCTCAAACGAGCATTCAACTTGAGAAGATTGATACCGAGTAGCCTGAATCTTTAAATTTCGAGGGATTCCGTAAAAGCCTGACTTGCGAATCAAACTCAGCAAAGTCTCCTTCTGGGTCCAGCCCTGTTCTGCGGCAACAGAAGGTAAATAAGTAGCTGAATACCGTATTCTATCTACATAAAACTCAATCGATAAGCCATGAACACCGACCACCCAATCCAGAGGATCATCAATGGGCTCGAAATTCACTAGTAGGTCGATTCCACATTCCAAAAATGGTAATTCGGCCACCGTAATAGGATGAAAGCGGTCATCATGAAAAGCTCTAAATGGTTTCGTTGTTAGTAATTTCCTAGCGTAAGGATTTTGGGAGCCTAAACTCAATGCTTACGCTTGCTGGCTAAAATATCTAAGATTGACATGTAGAGGACGCGGTTGAAAAGTACCAATACAACCCCGTAATTGCTTTCTAAGACGTTGTTTGAAAAAGAACTTTACAAAAAGAGGTACCTCGTCTGTCCAGGATTTCCAATCCGCATGATTTCGAATCCTTCTATGCTCCAATGTAGCGGAAACCACTTCAAAGCAAAAATAGCAATATTGTTTTTCTTCCATGATTTTTCAAGAAGAAAGAAAGATAAAAAGAATGGAACAATCCCCTTCAAAGCGAAATTCCTAACAATGTTCTAGATGATGTCAAAGGACTTGGTCCTAGGCAGAAGAATAAAAATAAAGGAAAATGAGTGCTTTCGTCTTCTTTCGACGAAATAAAACTAAAATAAAAGAAACTTTTACGATGATGGATTTGATTTAAGAAAAAAAAAATAGGTTGCAAGAGCAGTTACAGCAGAATCGATACTACAAAAAATTTGATGGATTGTTAGAAGAACTCAATGTTTCGTAGTTTTCGAAACATTAATACATTTACACTACAAAAAGGGTTGCACACTTTCTTTTCTAAAAATTGTACAAATCTCTGCGTCTAAGGTATAATTTCAAATCGTATACGATCTTCATAATCATCATTAACTATATAAGTATGTAAACCAGAAACAAAAAACAATCAATGTATATTATATTGAATATTTTTTTTATATTCAAAGGGCAACGAATTCATGCAAGTGAGTATCCAAAAAAATTGCATATAAGCAAATCCATGTTATTTTTTAAGAGTTTTTCTCATGGGAATTTGTTTTATTTGCTTTTCGTGTTCAAAAATTTCCAAAAATTATCAACATTTTGAAATGTTTGTAGAAAAAAAATGACTTGCTGAATGTATCATGGGAAAGTGTCAGCTAGGCAATCAAGCAGAGATAGAGAAGGAAGAAAAGTCAGCTATTTCTTCATCCTTTCCTTGTGTCGTTTCATTTAAAAGTTGGAAAACCTTGTCATGAGCCTTATGGGATGCAACTTCGAAAGCTGGACGACTAGTGACTTCAATAAGCCAACGCTTGATGTTTGTATACGGCCTTGATTTCAACACTGTACTCTGAAGGCAAAGCAAAGGATAGCTCATCTGCACGTCGGCCGCAGTAAAGTGGTCGCCGGTGACAAACTTACTAGTGGAAAGAAAATCATCGACGTGTTCAAGGTTGAGGAATAATTCTTTTAGATAATAATTTTCATTAATAGTATTCGTGACTTTTCGAACCAGAAAGCGACTAACAAGAGGAGACATGTCTACAGCCTTGTTATTAACAAAAAGGCCGACGACTAACATCATTAAGGAACCTTCAGCGTAGTGCATCCAAAATTCATACTTTTCTAGAGCATCCAAATTATCCTCAGAGGGTTTTAAGTCTCTCTTATACTTGCGAACCAAATGCTCAATGACAGCAGCACTCTCAATGTAGGTTTTTCCATTGTCTTCGAGCGCAGGACTTTTACCTAATGGAGATAGGTTGTAGAATTCAGGAGGAGAGCGACCTTCTACACGATCATAATGCTTCAGCTTATATGGAACTTTCATCTCCTCTAGCAACCAAATAATTCTCGAAGAACGAGAGTCCGCCAAATGGTGAAGAATAATCATTTTCAATCAACTTTCGTAACAATGGTTACAAATTACTCAATGTAATGGTAAAACTTAGGTAAATATATATAAAGAGTAGGGTAAAGCAAAATTCAAATGAGTGAACACTGAATTTATAACGTCCTGACGTCAATTGAATCCAAATTACCGAAAATCAGTGTATTGCAAAGACAGACATTGAGGAAATCATAGTCGTTTTCATATTGTTTATTTTTTGTTATGTAGCATTTCGATGAGATGAAAAGCCACTGCTTTCGAGATATTTATCCGGTCCTTCATTCAGTGATTAGCATCTCGTACAGTTTACGTAAAAAGTTTTGTAAGCATCAAGAGATTTGTAGAAATTAAATCCAAATATAACCCTGTTTCTCGTATGTTTTAGTTTGCTGAAATTGACCTAGTTGCGCTCATAAACAATAATACCAAGTTCATATTCATAGTGGACAGCAAAACGCTCATAAACAACCATATACCAATGTAGCATTTTTATTCTTTATGAGGAATTTGAATGCCAACTTCCTTGCACAAGAACGCCATATGTATCGCACCATGAAAGGATGATGGCCGAAGACAAGTTCAAACCAGAATTACGAAGCCACAAAGAAAATTCTTCCAATGATATTGGCTCATAGTGCAAAATCTTTAGCCAAATCGCTTTGTCTTTAGAATCACGAACTGCCTTAGAAATTGCACGATGAGATTTAGCAACAATATCATCATAACTGGAAGGAGAGGAAGGGAAAAAGGAAGCCGCTACTTGATTGGATACATTCTTAAATGATCCTTGCTCTTTAAGCTTCTCGCAAGCCGCTTCACAGGCTTTCAAAGTAGTGATTAGCGCTCGCTTGCTCTTGGATGGTTTAAATCCATAACTCTCAACCATTCGACACAGTTCCTGTATAGAAATGTCTTTGTATTTTTCTCCATCCGGTTCTTTATGTTTATCAAACTGGTCTTGGTCTTGAAGAAGCGTTCCATATTGACATGGTCCTTTGTCTAGCGGCATGTCATTGACAACTGGCGAAACGCATCCTAAGTTTTCCTTTCCTTTTTCGTTCATCCATTTTGTAGTATCATTCATATTTTCTTTTTCAAAGACACGAAAATTGCTGACAGGAGCGAACGTGATACCATCATCGCGTTTCGTAGCAGCAGCTTTCTGGTCACCGTAGGGCCATTTCTCATGCCCCAAAACCTCTTCAAAGGCATGTATCGAGAAAGGACAGTGCTCTGTTAGAGATGAGATACTAGCCGAGGCATCATCTTCGCTAGCTAAATTTATAACGGATTCAGAGGAAGGAGAAGGACTAGCTGGAGCATCCTCTCGCTGTTCAAACCCATATATGGGAGGATCTTCATAGTCAAAGTCTTCCTTTCCCAAAGTACTTTCTGTAGTTGTCTCCCCGAGAATTGGGATGTCTGATTGCAAGCCAGACTTGAAACATGAAGATTCCGAAACGAAGGAATTTTGGTTATTAAAAACTTTCCTGTCATCTTCCATGTCAATTAGCTCATATTTTCTTTTCCTAGTGATATTTTCATGCCATTCTTGAAGGATATCTTCCTCCTCGGACTCTACAACCACAAAGGATGTTTTCTTTATTCATTAGTAAAAGAATCGTTTTCCTTAAACTTACAGCATGCGAACTTTCTGGGGAGGATTGGATTTCAATGGGAAAATCCTGAGACATCAGACACAAAGAAAAATCAACTGTGTATGTTTGTGTGTGTTTTCTTTATGTTTTTTGTGGTTCTCACAAACGAAAACAATGCATGGGAAACTTACTGTAGTTGTGGTTGTTGAGATGAAGATGCTAGTACATCTAATTAACAAACTTCGTATAGGCTTATGTTGAACGATAGCAAGAGTAATCCAAAGTTAAAATATTCGTGAATCAGTTATTCCTTGGACTTGTTTCACAGGATTTTAGCAAAGAATACCTCCTTTCGCAAACATTGGACGGTTTTGTATACATTTATACTTCATCTTTACACTTGCTTACGCATTCAAATAAGAAACTTGTGGTACCTACAGGTTTTAGCACAGGGCTATATCCTTCTGCAAAACATGTGGCTGCAAATCCGGCCAAGTCACTATTGGTACCATTTTTAAGAAGGTGTACATTGTAATTTGACCAAAAGACGCACAAGCTATCAAAGTTCCGGATATGACAAACCGACGTAGGCATAGGATATGCACAATTGACCCATCTTCTGGACGCACATGTGATCACGAACATCACGAACATCAATACGCAAGCCAAAAAACATAAACTTGACCATCCTTAAAACAAATGTGATAGAATTAGAGAAATGTAGAACAGTGAGTTGGCTAACGATATATGATAGTAAAAGCAGTATTGCTTTCTAGATTTTTATAATAATATGAATGATAAGGTGAAGTTGTAATAGACAGTAGATTCTAAAATGGAAGTTGTACGGTTGTTGATCTATCTAAGGAGAATTGAGAGTAATTTCAAACTAGTTTAAATGAAAGATTCTTTTTGCTTGTGTAATTCATGAGCTACTAAAGAACTGCTAGTATACTCATACACAAGAAAATTGAGGTAGAAATCAATTCATTATAGGCACCCTCCTAGCAAAAATTTCCTCATTATAAACATAATCATAATAAATAAAATAGAAATAAAAGAAATAACAGTTATAAAGTCTTTAAAAAAGGAGCAATTTAGAGCAATTTAAGGCTTGAATCCAATTTTCTTGCCAAAAAGCTTCTTCTTACTTTTTGAATCTTTTGGGATATTATCAGTATCATTCTTACCTTTTTTCTTAAACAAATGCAAGATATCATTAGCAGCGGATTTCGATTTCTTTCTAGCTTCCGCTGCGATATTATGCCTGATAGAACCTGAGGACTTTGCAGGACTAGGGGAACGAGTGGAATAATCCTTATTAAAGTCCATTTGAAGTGGTTTCGAAAACGATTTTGAGGAAGAGATATCGTCATTCTTTCTTTGAGAAGATTCAATCCAACTATCTAAGCCAGAATCATAGTTTCGTAAGTCCTGAATTTTGCGATTAAAAAAATTACATCTATGGTCCGTAGATCCTAAGCTATTCACTTCCTTAATGGATATTAACGGACTTTTTACAAAGGCTTCAAAGGAAGCGAAATAGAGAGGACTTTTGTCTTGTGAAACTTTGCCCGGCTTTTCTTCATTTTCAAAAGTCTTCAGTTGAGGTGCATTTGGTATCTGATCTTTCTTGCTCCTTGAATCAAGAGTGGGAATTCTCGCAGAAGGCTCATCTGCTGTTTTCTCATTTGTATTAGTAGGAATCGATGGTAATGAACCTCTAGTTAAAGCTGCCGCTTCTAGTTCTTCATTATTTATAGAAGTCCTTCGACTGCCTTCATAGACTTTAGGCAAAGACAAGGCGTTAGGTTCTTCAACGACTAAATGAGCAGACTCGGGAACCGCATTTTCTGCACTGATTTCCTTTATGGTTGGTAAAGGATCATGAAGGGAAGTCGCACTTTCGGTAGTCTTTATACCTTGAAAATCATCTTGCAAACCTTCAGACCAAAAGGGGTCATCCGCATTTAATTTGGATACATTGGAATCTGTCTCTTCAGATAAATAGCTATATAAATTCTCCAAGCTCTCGCCGTTTTGGTATGATTCAGTTTCAGGCAACTTAGATGCTTTTGAACTTATTGACATAGTCTCAGAAAATGAGCCCGTATTGATTACGGAGGCTTTCTTCTCTGTTAAGGGTAGATTACCGTTTTCATGAATTTTTAAGCTAGAGACATTTTTCTCGGCGTTTGACTTGAAAACATTAGAGTTACTTTCGGTTTTGCCAACCAGCGTGTACAAAGGATGGTGGAGAGGAGGATCAACAGCATCGTCTTTACTAACCTCCGAAACGGCGTCATCCGAACTCCCTAAATGTCTTGATTGAGTAGACTTTATGTCTTCATCAGCAGAAGAAGGTAATACATCATGTAAAATACTTTCGTGATCTGAATCCGAAGCCACGTCGTTTTGGAATCGACGATCCTCTTCCGTTTTATGGGGAGAGTATAAAAATGGAGATTCTGGAGACACTAGTTCTTCGTACTGCTGAACTGGCGAGTTATTTCCTTCAGCAGTAGGAGCAGAAGTACTTTCTACATAACGGTATGTGGAGCTTCCAGCGGGTTCATTCAAAGCTACTGCACTTTGCTCAGGAGACTCGACCAACGGAACATGTAAATCGTCTTCCTTCTGGAAGAATTTTTCCTCAAATGTTTCGGGTATCGGGTTTGAAGTCTCGGTCAAAGGTTTAGCAGAATTCTCTGGTTCAAATTCATTGAGCGAAGTTTTCGAATTTGTTTCTTCTTCGACCTTCAATGTAGGCAAAGCAAAAGAATCGTCACTTTCTGATCCTATAAAATTATGGGCCCCACCTTCGGGTTGATGCGTTACTAAAGAAGGAGTATCTTCAGACTCCTCAAGGTTCTTTGATACGGGTTCCTTTTTCTCTTCAACAACTGGTGGCTTAGATTCGGTATAATCTGATTGTTCTGAAGGTTGCTTCTGAGGGATATTTCGGAGAGTATAAGGGTTTTCCAAGAAGGATCCTGCAGAAGGTATTTTGGAATGGTTGGCGGTATCTACGGGTCTCTCTAGATAGTTCTCATGACGAACATCCTCGTCCTGGGCAACTTCGCTAGTATCGCTTTCCGTAGGTGGACGGAAATATGATGAAGCAAATTTTCCTTCGTCTTCATATGAAATAGAAGGTGAAAGCTTGCTGGTTTGATTTCCTTCAAAGGTGTCCTGGATAATCTTTTCACTTTCATCATCAAGTGACTGAGATCGCTTTTGGGAGTGCATTAATGATGTGGATGATGCCGCATTGTTCAACGTCGTATAAGGACCAGCTGGCTCTTCTCTGTTGAACATTTGGTTTCCAGCTAAAGGTGAAGAAGATTGCTTTACGTTCGCAGATAGATATGTTGCTGTATAATCGGCAGGCTTGGTATCAGGGTTCTTTCCTAGACGTTGCAATAATATTCTGCGCTTTTCTGCCCACATTCTGGCACTTTCATCAGCCGTAAAATTTTTTGTAGCAAGGGTTTCTTGGCTACCAGACGCTTCTTTGCGATAAACAAACGTTGAGGATTCATCGAATCCATAATCGTCGTCAGACGTATTATCATCAGAGTCTTCTTCCTCTTCCTCCTCTTCTTCTTCTGAAACCTCTGAAATTTGATCTTTGAGTTCGTGTCTAGTCTCCTCTTTGGATTTCAGATTCGCGACTGAATCGGCACTGGTGGGATTGCTTTCATTGTCTTCTGGTTCTGATTCTTCACTACTCCATTCATTTCCTTCATAACTAGGAACATTAGATATCCACCGGCCGGATATATGGCGACGTAGCCCAGGAGTTCCGGCGTTTGCAATTTCCTTTTTCTTAACTTCCTCCATCGATTTACCTGACGTTAATTTTATTCAACATCGACTTTTAAACTATTATAAATTAATAAAAACTCTGATTTTTCTAAGTATTGATCATAAAGGTACTGAATGGTAGAGTTTGAGTTCAGCTTGGCGTGAAGATATGACTTGACTATAACCGCTACAGTAATTTGCCAAGGATTGGTAAGAAAGAAATTTTAGTTTTTTTGAAATAGTGGGTTTTTTGAAGGAAATATTTGGTAATTTAACACCACCACATAGTCCCTTTACTGTTTGGTTGGCAGTGAAGACAACATATTAATACAGTCGATTTACTCTATATTTTGCACATCCACCTGATGGTGATTTATTAAGGTTAACTTTTTACCTGATTGTCTGTTAATTCTATTTATAATTTTCGAATGCCAAAACTGTGTTTCTTTTTTCGTTGATGTATATATTATTGCTGTTTATCGAAACTTTCGAGTTTACTTCTGCATTAAAGTTTAAATACAATTGACTACCTGGTTACATGCGAATTCATTCGATTCAATATCTACTGTCGATCACTTTACATACACCTGTCAAGGATTTGTTTCAATATTCCATAATCGAAAAATCGTTCACTATCTCTTTTTCCGTTCTAGTCTGCATGTGAAATCTTGGAAAAGCTTATCCTTTATGAGTAGTAAAGAACATATCAGTAATGCGGACGAAAGCAATGCTGCATCAATAGTTATGTGTGAGTTGGATTACCGTTCCAATCCTGAATCTCTGTTACATTACCTAGCAAGCAGAGAGGCATTACCGGACAAACGGCTTTATGACGAAAAAACGGACGCTCAACCTTTCTCTTCAGCTGAAGCCATATCCAAAGGACATGTATATACTTCCTGTGTAGACGATGAACGTGGTTCTGCTGTTTTTTCTATTAAGAATCACCTAAGGAATCCGATTGCATGTCGAAATCTTCATAAATACTCAAAAGCTTTACTTTCCTCCCAAACAAGTATTCCGTTAGGCTTACCCTATACACATTTTGACCCACCTCCTAGAGTTCGATTATCCGAGACTAGAAAAAATGCGTGGCTTCAAGATTTAGCGAATGATAAAATTTGCTTAAGTAGCCTTTCCAAGAAGATACCTCACGGTGTCTGGGGCAAAGATATAATTCAACTTGTTCTCGATTTTCGGGTACCCTTACCTAGAGCAGTTTGGTTTATTCGATGTGCCGGGATTAATGAAATTAGATCTTATTTCAAAAAATACCCCTGCAATTCTCCAAAGGATTGGGTTTTTTTATGGACGGACGTGATTGGCGACTTTTTAATTGATTTCTTCAGTAATAATCAGTCGAAAGACGATATCCAAACTTTCTCCGGTAATTTTGTTTATGTCAATAGGTTATTCGGGAGACTATTGACTGAAAATTTAATTGTTCCTTCTTTGTTTATTGCAAAGGTAATTTCCCTAATATCTGATCTTCCTTTGTATACCTGCCCATCAGTCATAACTTTCCTTGATTATTTTTCGCTTATAATAATTAGAGACACGTCGATCACAAGAAACTGTGTATTAGGATTATTGCCTGTTTTGTCGAAATTTAACGAATCACCGTCCATCGATCTAAATATTAAACGAAAGGTATTGAGCAAGGCTGCTGAATTCCTATATCGCCTTGCTTCTTCAAATAATTCTGGTTTTTACTTCCCTAATGAATGGGAAGACTTGTACCCTGTTTTATCTATCATTTGGAAACCAAATAAAACACACGATTCTTTGCTTTCCATCGTGAATGATCTGAACATTCGAGCTATTTGCATGGTTGATGCATCGACTACACCGGTACGATTTATGCAAACACTAAGTAATTTCAAGCCTTCTCTTAATGCATATTCGTTTGCCAAGAAAATATTGCATTACTCGTATACGGAAAGTATAACATTCTTTTTGCGTTGGAGTATACATTCCAAAAATCGAACGCCGGAACATCGTTTTTGTATCTTTTTATCGGTTTTACACTTTTATAAGGCGGATCATAAGTTGGCAACTAACATAATTTTAAATTATTTATTCCAAGTTTCTTCAATATCGAATGAAGAAAGTTTCATTATTGCCCAACTGCTAAACTACTTATCTTTGGAAGGATATTTTATGTTTTCCGGGTACGTTGCTAGGCTTGCTGCTTTAGGATATCTTCGAGAATCAATGCTAATGGCGGATTTCATGGATGTACAAAGAAAGATAATACTTCATCTTCCCTTGTTTCAGTTTTCTCGGCAAGTAAGAAGCAAGTTAAATTACATTTTAGTACGAGGAAGCTTTATCGTTGACTATGATCAGTGTAATACTTATGTTGAGCAGTTTCAGAAAAATCCTTCAAGCTTTGCATTCAAAAAAGGTGAGAGTTTTTCCATCATTGTCTATACTCTTTTAAAAAGTTTTTCAATATGTGACGATTCCGTTTACAGAATTTATATGGCACTGTTTAATATGTATCATTACTGTATGTTGAAAGAATTTTTTGATTGCGTTGTCTATGCTTTGAACAAGCCTCACATTCGCGCCTCGGCACTTTTACTACTTGTTAAGGCTTTTCCAAACATTGTCATGGATAAGCGAATTACGGACCGGATTGAAATGCTAAAACCAGAAAATGTAATAGAAACTTATTTACTTCACGAGATTAAGCACCTTTATCAGCTGGACTTTGATGTTGCTTCAGGATCTGCTGAGGATGAATCATTGTGTAAGCAGATACAAGACTTAGGCGAGAGTGAATTGTTTTTTAAAGGAGTTTTTGGTGATGACTTTCATTCCTTCAAAGCTTTGGTTTGCTTGTATGAAGAATTTTTCAAGATCGACGATAATACCTTATTATTTTCTTTGACGAATTCGTTGTTAATTTTGAAAAAACACCTTGGTCTATCAAAAAACTTTAACGATGTTAAATGTGATGTCGCTGATCTGTTACAATACAAACATGCAAATTATTCAGAATTTATAGTAAAATTATTACGGCTCTATGGGAACAATATTTTGACAGTCGGAGACTTGTGGATAATTTTAAATCGGTTATTAAAAACCTACGAAGAAGACATGAAAGGACATATCGTAGATATATTTATGGGTGCTATCTTTGTTGATGAACGGGATTCAGAGAAGGATCATTTATTTTATTGCTTATTATGGGATGCGAAAAGTTCAGATGTCGGACTTGAATTTTTAAAGTTTTTAATACAGTATTGCAGCAAAAATGAACTGACACTAAGGTGTATTTGGAATATTTTGAGAAGTCTCAATTTCCATGAGATCATTCAGGTTGTACCTGAGAAATGGTTATTGAGAACGATAATGGAAAAGTATTTGTCTTTTCCATTTCACGGAATGATTAATGAAAGCCTGATAAAGCACATCTTTGAACTAGATGAATTTGTCACACAACTGTTTGCAGCTTGGTTAACTACACTTACAAAGGAAGAACTAAGTGACATTTCTGAAGATGTAATGGAAAATATTTTGACAGCAGGATTGACTGAAAAGGGACTCCAAAGTTGGCATGTGATATGTTTAGGTCTTCCTAGTACTAAACAAATTTTTCAAAGGATCTTACTTTATTCAGTCAATAAGGATTTGGATTTGCCCTCTCATTTTCTACCATTTTTATCTACGATTACTGAATACATTGTACATGAAGGACCAGATAAGCTTTTCCTAGAACAACTGAAGACAAGGTTGCGGAGTCTTTTCTTCACGCTAAAGGAACAAGTTCTTAGTGCTGAAATCGAGAATGATTCGCTTACATCTAGGTAAGAGTGTTTATCGAACTTTGAAAAGAATACTAACTGTTTACAGAATTAGAAGGTTTTCCAACATAATCCTTCAGTTTCATAAATATTTAGAGGCGGATGAATATGCGAATTTTTTACGGATTTTATCAGCGAAAAAATATATTTATAAAAACCAATCTCTTTTTGAATCAATAGCATTCGTTATTGACAAGGTCAAAACCCAGCCAGTTAATGAAGATGAGACTTTTCGTTCATTTCATTCCTGGACAAATATTGAGTGTAGGTCATTAAGTTCAGACCTTCCAGAGGCTTTGAAAGAATTTCATCCTCGAAAAACGGTTATCGAACCTTCAATATGGTGAGACTAAAAGCAGGTAAATATTTTGTTTGTAAATAAGTTTGCTGGTAGTTTAATTATAATAGACTTTTCGCTGATTATGGTGTGCTATTGCTTTTGTTTTTTCGATGAGACGATGTTTATATATTTATTTATATACTATTTGGAGACCTGACCGATATCTCTTTTTTAAAAAATCTCTTTAATTTTAGTTTTGCATGTGTTTGATTATTTAAAGTTCTTTTTCTTCTAATATTGGCAGTGAATGCTGACGTCTCGTTTCGATTGAGTTGAGCTTCATCACATAAATTCGGTTCCTCCATTTTCGAATAGGTGAATTAAGCATAAAAATAAGTTTTATAAATGTATAAATGCAGAAAAAGTACAGAATAATGGAACCTTTCTATTGCTTTTTTAGCACAGATAATGCAGAAGTAACATAATAGTACGATAGGATGATATTTTGGTACGTTACTTGACGTTTGTTTACGGAAAGTACATGACAAACGATTGAATTTCTCGATGGAGATTTCTTGATAATAAAGGGTTTCCAGCTATAACAAATGATTTATAGGATAATACAGCTCTACTAGCTATATAGTTTTAGCTCATGCTCCCCAGAAAAAAATTCTCTATTTGTTTTTGTGCTTTTCTTATATATGTTAAATCAATTCAATGAACACTTCGCCGAGAGGAAAATTATTTCAAAAGATATAAATGGATTAAGAAGTGTTTCTGTAGTATTAGGTCTAAATAGAAATTTTGTAAACTTTCAGTGTTACAAAGTTTCAGCGAAACATTATTTTGTTGTAAAGAAAACAAGGTGAAACTAGAGTGACACGCCTTATATAGAAGCATGAATTGATCATCTCAAGTTTATATAGATTACAATATGGTTTATTCTAAAATATGTTTAATCAGATTAAAATAAACACTAGTTATATCAATGAACATTACTTACCAAGTAGCGGAGTGACGACTTCATATTAAAGTATGTTCATATGATTTCATGATCGTTGCCAAATAAATAAGAATTCGTGGGACTTGAACTTTTATTAGAATATATCAAATCCTTAAGTATGTTATTATGACCGTTCAACTAATTCGACCAGGAAAAGCTCCTGTAGATATTTCTCAAACATTGACCTCTTCAAAGTTTTTGAAAACATCCTTCATTCAATAAAGGAGGTTTTCCTTTCCTGGTTGCCTTTTTTTGAGCCGAATCCATCATCGAGTCTTTACGAAAAGTTTACACAGAGGAATATGTACCACGGTTTCAAGTTCAGCACTTCCATAGCGTATAACATTTTCGATTTTTTGAAAATGGGAATGTAAATAAAAGGAACTATGCAACCACTGAAAAGCGTAATGTTCATTGAAGGCTGCTCTATCTTAGTCCGCTCTTATCATAAAGTTTATTGTCATAAAGTTATCGACTGAATACGCAGTCTTAAATTTCAACCTCAATGAAGTCTTCTATTCCCAAACACTGTTATGACAGATTTCAAGTAGAATGGAATTCAGGCGAAAACCAAAAAATTAGCAACTGCAGATTAGATGGTAGATTTTCTATTTCCTCATAAAATTTCGCATGACTATCTTCAACCCTGTCTTGCACTTCTTTACTTGTTTGTTTCAGTGTATTCCGGTAAAGGCTGGCTTTCCTGAGGATGAGGGTGAAGATTTGAAGGGCCATTGGTTTGTACATTTGATAATTGCTGTTCCCTATCGCGCCTCTCCTTTTCCTTTCTTGGTGTCCGTGTACATTTGTAGAGTTTAAAACACACAAAAACCATGAGCACAAGATATACAGGAGCGGAAGCAAAATAAAGCCAATTGACTAATTCTTCTTTTTCGTGATACTTATAAGTTGATCCCAAGATAATAACCATCAAAGATATGAATAAAATACAGCAATTAATAATAAACATTAATGTATTTGTGTTTACTAAGTCTTCGCTGACTTTCTTGTAAGAATCATCTTCAGATAGGCGATATTTGCGTACAACTCGTGGTTGAAACATGTTGAATCCGCTGCTTTAAAATTGAGGATGGTTCTTTGAGGAGGATTCACTGTGAATTTGGAAGGGAAGGAAAGAGGATGGTATTCGACGTCAGTCGGAAAGGGGAAGATGGATGACATTGAAACCAGCTACTCCCATTCAAATTCACCACCATTTTTTTTCAGAATCTTAAGAATCTTAAGAATGAGTCAACCCGAAGAGGATTTTGAGGAAACTGCTCCTTTAACATCTGACGTTGCTCTTAATCCTGAAGAGGATTATTACAGGCGTCTTTGGGATTCTTTGTACGGTAGAAATCAGACATTGGCATGCCTTTGGATGTTTCCGACTGTATTTTACATAGTAGTTTCTTGTGCATTTTTCGCAGCGTATGCATTCACCAATGATTATGACGGTTTTGTTTACGCTGCTGTTATTATTTGCTCAATCCTCGCTCTTTTTTGCTTAATTACGATTTACATTTACTTTCGACCAATTGTTATTGAATATGAAGTTGATTCGATTCCTATGGAGGATTTGCCAAGAAAAGGCGATACAGCGAAAAGGTAGCTTTACCAATATCTCAACTATGGTTCCAATCAACGAACTGTTTCTTGCTGAGATATTACAAGGATGCCTCCTCAAGAATCTTGAAGGGTCGAAAAGGTTGCTGTAATGATTGAAACATTTCACAAGAAAGATTTCGGGAATGGTGCAAATCCTATTTAAAAAACGACGTGCCTACTGAAAGCTATTGTTTATGAAAATACATTGAAAAGTAGCAATCTACCACCTTTGTTAATAAACGACTTAAGCAAGTCCTATCCTGCACGAAATCTGCAATGGGTCTATTTTATTCTGGTATATATTGACGGTGAAGATTACGAGAGGGACCTAGGAGGTTATGAAGGATGATGTTTGAGAGCATAAATCATCATGTTTAAGAAAACTCTCTCTTCCATTTCAGATACAATATCCCTTTATTTGTCTTTTAACTCTCACAAGATGTTTGTCTTCTCATGCATAAAGATATAGCACGATTTTTACTCTTAGCGTATTTATCTTGTTATCTATTCGAGGTATACCAGAAAAAGAATAGCCAAGATTATTTGAAGACAAAAGGGCATGCAGACCATATATGGGACCGACCTTTGCATACAAAAGGTAAAAAAAGCTACACGGAACTCTATGATTTTTTTTATTTACTTATGTTTTGACCAAGTCTCATGTCTCTTAATACGTGCCGTACAGTATACATAACTTGTTTGTCGCTGCTTGTCAGATTTCATTGAAAATCCATTTTTTTTCAACTCGACTTTTTAGTTTCTATCTTCTATCTTTACTGTATGAGTGCGCTACGAAGCAGTCTCCGAACTTGCTCATATTACCCTTTGTTGAATAGAATGTTGACATCTTCCAGAGTGACTGATGTCCAATTCTATGGTTGGTAAGATTGTTCCTCTCATTGAACAGTAACCTTATAGTATGCAGATGAGATTGGTAGGTGTCGCCTATCATAAAACTTTTATGAATCGTCAAAGGTTGAGGACCGAAACTGTACTTCATCATAGCTCCTGACCTAAGATTATGTGGAAAGCTATCATCTACGAGAACTCTAAGAATTTTTTCTTTTTATTTTTAATATTTGCATATGATGATAATAGTTTAAGGAAGCTATCTTTTATGTAATGCAATTTTATGTCCCCTATCTAGTTTTATGCATAGAAGAATACACGAGCAAGGATTATATCTACGGGCAAGGTAATCCGCAGAATAAAATTTACAAATTATTCACGAAAATTTATGAGTTGGACGAATGATAGCATATTCAGCCCTGCAAGTAACTATACTTACCTCTATCCGTGACAAACAAATGGGGAAAACCGGTCTTTCACTTGAAGCTTCAGAAATCATACAGACTATTTTTTGCAATAGTATTTAGTATTTTCAGCTCTTGTAGTAAAAATGCCGTGATCATAACTATGTTACAATAGTAAATAAAACCAAAGACAACTTCGAAGCATCTTAGTTGATAAAATTTAACATTATTAAATACAAAACTATTTGTAAGAAGTAATAAGCTCTGTTTGCTTCTACCTGAAAATCCAATAACCCACGGGCGAAGCGGAATACACTGCCAAGAGCCAAAAATTAGAACCTTTGACAATGTCTCAAAATTCAGAGGCAATATCCTCCGAAAAAAATATTTCGAATAATCTTAATCAAATTGATAATAAAAGAGATGAAACTCGACGTGTTCCCTCGCCGTCGTCGCATTTTATTGCTGGAGGGTAAGCTACAATGTCAAACGAGAAAACATAGGAAAAATCCATGGAAATACTAACGAAACATAGAATTGCAGGGATGCTTGGAGCAATCGCTACGGCTCCTTTAGATGTTGTCAAGACAAGGCTTCAGTCAGACTTTTATAAGGATCGAATACTGAAGCAATTTGGGCCAAAGCATGGAGCTCGTGCCATCTACAGGCAATTTGTGGACACTTGTGTTATTTTAAATAATGTTCGAGTACACGAGGGTGCACGGGCTCTATTTCGAGGACTTGGACCTAATTTGGTAGGAACGATTCCTGCTCGATCCATCAACTTTTTTTCTTATGGAAACGGAAAACGAATCATTGCTGATCATTTCAATGACGGTAAAGAATCATCTCAAGTCCATTTAGTTTCTGCTGCTATAGCAGGTGTGATCACCTCTGCTGCTACAAATCCAATTTGGTTGGTGAAAACTCGATTACAGTTGGATAAACGAAGCGGACAAACTGCTCGCTATAAATCTTCAATGGATTGTGTAATAAAAACAGTTAAAGTAGAAGGAATATCTGGTTTATACAAAGGATTATCCGCCAGCTTACTAGGTGTTGGTGAAAGTACCTTGCAATGGGTTGTTTACGAAAAATTCAAGCACACGGTCGCCCTTCGACAGCTTCGGAGACGAGAGCTTGGTTATAAAGACACAGTATATGATAAATTTCTGGATTGGACGGGTAGACTAGGAGGTGCAGGACTTGCTAAATTTATTGCTGCTGCCATTGCTTACCCTCATGAAGTTGTTCGTACACGGTTGCGTCAAAGTCCTTCAACGAATGGGGTACCAAAATATACTGGATTGCTACAATGCTTTCAGCTAGTTTGGAAAGAACAGGGTGTTGCAGGCCTTTATGGCGGGTTAACAGCTCACCTACTTAGAGTGGTCCCTAATGCTTGTATACTTTTTGGAAGCTATGAGGTTATTATGCACCTCATTGGCTAAAAAAATTCTGCTAAGTTGATGTGATGGTTTAGATATGCATCAATCTTTACAGATTTCTTCGAACCAATTCGTTTCTTCGATAGTTCGTCCGTGTTTTTGTCTTTTTATTTTTTTATGACTTAAAAACATGACAATAAATGGTTTTGCTCTGCATGTCGTTTGCTTCTGGTAAACGATAAACATAACCTCAAATGCATTCAATTTTGGTTGCTTTAATTGAACGAAATTAATTAATCAGTTTTGATCCGGCGGGTGTCTGGGTTTTTAATTCCTTTCTTTCTCTTTTACTTTTGTGTCTTTTATAAAAATAAATTTTGTCATCTTAATCCGCAACTTAATAATAAATGCTTCGCCTTTGAAATAGCATATTCAATAACATCCGAAATTCATCAATTTGGCATAAAAATATATGGAAGTTAAATATCTGCTTATAAAAAATTAAAGTTATATCCAACTCTAATTATATTTATTTCTAATTCAATTTTACATCAGAATACATGACAAAGGAAAAGATTAAAAGTGGTAGACACTCTAAAATTTTCAAATTAAGACTAAGGGCTATTCAAATTATATAAAAATAACTAGAGAAAAATGCTACATGAAGAAAAATGAAATCATAAGGTTCGAAAGACAGTCGTTAAACAACTTACTTAGCTTCGGCAAATTGCTTGGCACGCTCCCAAAGCTTCGTGGCAGTGTCAACATAAGTTTGCTCTTCGCTGTAGTATTGCAAGCCAAGGGATTTGGAGAGCGAGCTGTCTACCTTGTGCATTTTTTCGTTAAAAGGGACATCAGAAGGTTCGGAAATTATATCCTTCTTTTCTGGGAACTTTTCAAGAAGAACTTTGCTTATGCGATTGGTGAATAAAGGACCTTGGGAAACGAGCAAACGACCATTGCTCAGTTGCTTATTCTCGAGTGCAAATACGTGAGCATTGGCAATGTCACGGACGTCCACTTGATAAGCTTGCACAGAAGGTTGTACCTTGGAGCCATTGATGAGTTTCCACAGAACTTGATTAGAAACGTTCAAGGATTCCATACTGTTCATGGGATGGATGGGAGGACCTAACACATAAGGAGGGTTGATGGTGCAAATATCGAAATGAGGTTGCTTTTCCTTGACAAAGTCACGAGCAGCCTTTTCGGAGAACTTTTTAGAGGCAGAGTAAGCACTGAGACCGTTCTTAGTACTTACAGCCTCCTCATAACTAACGGGATTCCAGTCCTTCTCAGTATAGTTATACCCAGCATTGGGGTCCCTGCCTCGATTAACGACAGCAGCAAAAGAAGATGTGATGACAACACGCTTTACCTTGGGTTCAGTGATGGCTGCCTCCAAGGCACTGAGTGTACCTTTAACAGCGGGGTCCAAAAGTTGAGTCTTGTTGTCTGTGATGTTTTCGACAAAGAAAGGAGAAGCAACATGACAAACATAGTCACAGTCCTTGACAGCATCCTTAAACGCATCGGGTTCTACAATGTCCTTGACGATGACAAATTCGATCTTGTCTTTGAGCTCGGGATTTAAGCGGACAAGCTCATTAGCCTTCTCCATGGAGCGGACGGTACCACGCACACGGTAACCTTTGTTGAGCAAAGACACAGCAACATGGGCTCCAATGAAGCCTGTAACACCAGTAACTAAGACAAGTTGTTGAATCGACATGGTTCCTAAATTGAACAAGCTAGATATGTAAGATAAATTAGATATTCGAGTAATCTATTGAACAACTGTTATTGATTAATCGAGCTTCGTAGGTTTATTTGACTACAGATGATGTTTCCACAAAATCTACAACAAGGTGAGCTGCGGTGTACATATATAGCTGTTTTCGTCCTGGATTAGTAAGCATATTAAATATTTCCATGCGGTTCCACAGTTCCTACAAGATAACATACGAGCTTGCTTTCTACATTATCAATTAACTTATCGTTAGTGTCACGATAGGTGTTTAGAAGTATTACAGTACGCTGTAATAGTAGGATAGTAGTAAATATCATAAGACTAAAGGATATTACAATTAATAAACAAAGCAGGGAAAACGCGCTATGTTTTCTTCTGAATACAATTTCGGAGAACGGAATCAATAAAAAAAACGAAACTAACATTTACAGAAAGGTATTTGACGTTGACTATACCAGATATAAACCTTTCAGTTTGTAGTTCAGAATTTCAGATTATGAAAGATTCGACTTGTCGAACTAACTAGCCAACTAGGTATATAGGAATTGACTATTCAGCTCTATATAGTAAATAAGGTCAATTGAAATCCTATATGGAAGAACAAATACCTATTGCTTATTTCCTCCTTAACTAGATTAATACTTCTTGTTATGATGCTATAAATGCTATGAGTACTGCTGAAACTTTCAATTTTAATATTGTTTTATTTAGCTATATATTTTTCTAAAGGAAAGGGAAAGAAGAAGAGATTGGGCGAGTCAGAAGAATGTTAATGCATGCATCAGTCTTTTTTTTTTATTCTAAGGAAAACTTGCAGATTTCAATACTATAACTTTGCAAATTACAATATCACAATCTTAAGCAGAAACGTTCTTAGAACCCCTAAAACTAAATGATAAATGATGAAGAGCAAAACATTTCTAAATTGCAACCTTTAAGCAAGTTGCTTGGCTTTAGCTAATTGCTTAGCACGGGCCCAAAGCATCAAAGCAGTGTCAACATAGGTTTGCTCTTCGCTGTAGTATTGCAAACCAAGGGACTTGGAGTAAGAATTATCCAATACATAATGCTTTTCGTTAAAAGGGACATCAGTTGGCTCAGATATGACATCCTTCCTGTCAGGGAATTTTTCACGAAGAATTTTGCAAATACCGTCAGTTGTGAAGCTTCCTTGAGATAAGAGCAAACGGCCGTTACTCAATTGCGGTTTAGTCATAGCAAGGATATGGGCATTGGCAAGGTCACGAACATCGACTTGAAATTGTTGGAAATCGGGTTGTACCTTGGAACCATTAATGAGGTTCCATATAATTAGGTTAGAAGTGTTCAAAGATTCCATACTGTTCATGGGATGGATGGGTGGTCCAAACACAAAGATTGGGTTAACAGTGCAGATATCGAAATGAGTTTGTTTCTCTTTTACGAATTCGCGGGCTGCCTTTTCAGAAAACTTTTTAGAGGCAGCATAAGCAACAAAACCATCCTTAGTACTTACAGCCTCCTCATAACTAACCGGATTCCAGTCCTTTTCAGTATAGTTATAACCCGTATATGGATCGATGCTGAAGTCTGCCATAGCAACAAAGGAAGAAGTAATAACTACACGCTTTATCCTAGGCTCATTCATGGCAGCCTCCAAGGCACTGAGTGTACCTTTAACAGCGGGGTCCAAAAGTTGAGTCTTATTATTATCTACTTTGTCAAAGAAAAAAGGAGAAGCAACGTGACAGATATAATCGCAGTTCTTGACAGCATCCTTAAACGCATCGGGTTCAACAATGTCCTTGACGATGACAAACTCGATCTTGTCTTTGAGATCGGGATTTAAGCGGACAAGCTCGTTAGCCTTTTCCATGGAACGGACGGTACCACGTACACGGTAACCTTTTTTGAGCAAAGACACAGCAACATGGGCTCCAACGAAGCCTGTGACACCAGTAACTAAGACAAGTTGTTGAATCGACATTTTTTCAAGCGTTTTTGAAAGGCGGCCGGATATCAAATAATCAAGAAAGGTAAAAGATGTTTGTTTAAAGCAAACATTTTTCTTCTCACATCCCTTTTTTATACCCGAATTTTTTCTTTGTCCAAGGAGTAATTAAGGAGTCAAGGAATCAAGGAGTAATCAAGGAGTAATCAAGGAGTAATCAAGGATCCACTACCCGCGTTCCATCACCTGACTCTCAAAATGTAATATTAAGTAGTATATTATAATGCCGTAGTCACCTTGGATGTCATCACATGTAAACAGACGAAACATAAGAAATGAACATTGAAATTTCCATAGTTTTTTCGAGAACGGATTTCAACGGATTATAAAGCTTATTGGATTGTAGGAAATATCGAGAGGATCGCGTATTAAGTAGAGTCAGCGAATCTGACTTTCCTCATTAGAGTATGGGTCAATCAGTAGTACGAAAAGTCCTAACCAATTCTGTTGCCATTATCTTTGAAGAAGAACGAAGAAAACAAAAACTCATCGAAAAAAGTATTCAATGAGTAAATGTTGCTCTGTGCCGTATGTCGACAGAAACCCAGTATTTTCTGGCATTGTCATGTTACTCGAAGATGAAAATAAAAAGTAAACGAGAGAAAAGATAACTATACGAAGGATTCTTGGTTAGGCTTAATGGAATATGTTTCTAACATTTCAAGAAAACCATAGTTAATATTAAGGTATCAAAACGCTGTGTTTCAAAAATATGTTCTGGCTCATAGATAACTTTTTCTAGTCGAGCAGACTTAACTAGTTCCTACTAGCCTTTGAAATTAATCAACTACAACTAGGTGTTTAAAATTTCTTCATTCTTCAGAATTTAATTCTCGATTTTAAATGAAGAACCCTCATCCTTGATACAATGCTCACATTTATTCTTAAAACGATTTGCCTCACCTTAAAACGATATCCAAATAACTCACCATCTGAACACTCTGCTTTTGTCAAACATCTCTTTTTGGACCAATTCGCTCCGATTTCGTTTTGTTTTCCGCTCATATAAGAAGGTAAGAAATGTTTGGAATACCTTCGTAGACCACAAATCAATGTAATTGAAACCTTCATGAAAGTACGCTTTGGTTCCAATTGATTAAGCGTTGTTCAATAATTTTATAGTTCATAGGTGATATATACTCTAAGGTTTGTGGTATTTCGTTTCTCTGCGAAAAGGCTTATATATCATTTCATAAAGGTCGTTCAAAATTGCTAATGTGTAAACACATCACATGAATTTCTCGCTGGAGTACATTGACTGGGAATTGGAACCTTATGATCCTTCCTATGATGATTTGGTTGATGATTTGGACAATGATGAAGGCAATCTTCCACTGTTCCCAGTCATTCGAATTTTTGGAATTAACGAAAATTCAGAAACAGTTTGCTGCTTTCTTCATAATGTATTTCCTTATCTCTATGTTGAATATTCCGACTTTTCGAATGAAATTGAAGAGCAGGGAAGCATAACGACTTTCCTTAATATTATGCACCTTGCTATTCATCATGCCCTTGCTTTAGCTGCTAGAGCCCAGCCAGAAAAATATAGACCTTCTGTTCAAAGTGTTCAACTCGTCAAGGGAATCCCATTTTACGGGTACAATGTCGGTTATCGACGGTTTTTAAAAATCGCTCTCTACAGTCCCAAAAACAGGGATAGATTGGTGGATCTTTTTCGTCAAGGAGCAATCCTAAATAAAGTTATTCAAGTCTATGAGTCTCATCTTCCCTACCTTTTACAATTTATGGTTGACTATAACCTGTATGGTTGTGCTCCCATTCAGTGCAATGGTGAACATTTACGAGCTTCGAAAGAACGAAAGTCATACTGTGAGTTAGAGTTTCATATGACCCCTCAAGCAATCCTTAATTCTGATTATTTGGTAGAACGCAATCTTCATTCTTCTCTAGTTGAGCCATCGTCCGCACACGATTCTTTGCTTATTACTAGTCTTTCCGAAATCTGGAAATCGGAAGCTAAAAGACGAAATGTTATTAGTACGGATGAAACTGTTAGCTTCTCAGAATTACAGCAGACTCAATTGTCTTTAAAGGCTACCGCTGATAATATCACTAGATGTTCTCCACATTGGAAAAACGAAGATCAGTTAAAAAAGGATTTCGCAAAATCATTAAATGAGGCTAGTAGGAGGACTTTTCAATTGGAACCATTGAATATTTCTGACCCGTGGCCTGAAGTACCCACAGTTTTCGTTGCCCTGCATTTCATAAACCCTACTTATTCCTCCCAAAGTCTAGCCTCGATTTCTCAATTATCAAGTGAAGATCGTCAAGTTTCTTCTAATATACAGGCTCCATCCCAAGAGAAGATGAAAACAAACAATGTTGAAGTTGAGAATTCCTTCGAGCAGTTGGATTCCGAGTTGGAGCGTATTATGGGAGACTCCATCTTTGAATCATTCCCATTCGTACAGCCGAATTCAGATTTGGGAGTTGTTTCAAACTCTTCATCTCCGCCATTATCCGAATCCCCGTTAGACTCTCCCAAATCAAGCCCTCCTTCATTGAACGAAGCATATCGGGTTCTCAGCTCCCCTTTGAATTCGCCAAATTCGAATTTACGCCTTAAAGGAGGTGGTAATGTTAGAAAACGTCCAGTTGAGCTTATAGCTTCATCCGATGAGTCATCTTCTAGTTCACGTCCTCTTCCTTCTAGCAATCCTGAAACTGGTCTCGTCCGCTTTCAAAAGTACAGAAAACCACCTATCAATTTTGAAGAGGTAACTAGGTGGACACAGCTACCAAAAGAATATTACTTACCCTATAAGCCTCGCAGAGAAGAATATATTTTTGCTAAAGAACCGCCATCTCATCAACATTTAATTGATACGCTAGTGTCTGCTAATTTACCAACAATACTGTATCCCTATGTACACTACAGTCTGGCGAAGGATATTCCTTCTGGTTATCAAGAGTATTTAGGAAATATATATTATCCGCGAGGCATTACAGCAAAATACCTTCAAGATTTTCACTTCGATGGTCATGTTGAAGAGGGTATAGTGAGTACATCGCTTAAGCTACCGTCTGTTAAACCGTCTACGACATGGGAATATGCTCTTCCTCCTCCAACCCTTTCTGAATTGAATAATTGGTCTAAACAAAAACAAATAAAAACCAATATTGATAAAGCTCCATCTGCTAGTCAGCGAAAGGTCTTTAGCAAAGATCCCTATGCTTCTATACGTATACTATCTCTTGAATTGTTTTGCAGCAGCAAAAATGGACTACTTCCTGATCCTTCCAAAGACCCCGTAGAAAGCTGTTTTTGGGCTTATCAAGAAAATGCCAACATTCGTTCCATTGAAAAATATGGATTTATTGTAAATTCTCCCAAAGTAGAAAGCGCTGCTTTTGAAAAATCTTTTCCAGGTGCTACAGTTTTAGTGGTTTTCTCTGAAATTGAGTTACTGAATGAAATAATTTCCCTGACGCGTCAATTAGATCCCACAATATTATGCGGTTACGAAGTACATAATAGCTCGTGGGGGTATCTTATTGAAAGAGCGGCATACAAGTTCAATTATGATCTTCCGGAGCAGCTTTCACGGTTGGCTGATACAACGAAGGGAGCCTTTGCGAAAAAGAATGATGCTTGGCATTATTCAACGACATCATCAATTAAGATTGTTGGGCGACACATGTTAAATATTTGGCGGATAATGAGAGGAGAAATTAACCTTTTGAACTATTCACTAGAAAATGTGGTCGCTCACTTATTTGGTATCCAAACACCTTTCTACAGACAAGGAGATTTAGTACAACTCTGGAGTACACCTGTTTATCATGACAAACATATTCTGTTTCAGTACATGTTGAAAAGAACAAAATTTACTTTGGAAATACTATCCTCAAGATCAATCATTACGAAAATCCGGGAGCAGGCACGAGTCGTAGGTATTGACTTTATGTCTGTTATATCGAGAGGTTCACAGTTTAAAGTCGAAGCAATCATGTTTCGTATTGCAAAATCCGAGAACTATGTGCTTGTTTCTCCAAGTGCTAAGCAAGTAGCTGAGCAAAATGCGCTGGAAGCTTTACCATTAGTTTTGGAACCCAAATCCAATATGTATCATAATCCTGTGTTGGTACTAGATTTTCAATCCTTGTATCCTTCTATCATCATAGCATATAATTTGTGCTATTCCACTTGTTTAGGACCGATAAGATCTGTTAACGGAAAATTTAAACTTGGATTTATGTCTTATTCTGTCGATCCTCGTGTATTAGACTTTGTTAGAGACAACATATATATTTCACCAAATGGATACGCATATGTAAACAAAGATATTAGAAAGTCTTTGATAGCCAAAATGCTTGAAGAACTTATCGAAACCAGGGCTATGATAAAAAAGGGAATGAAAGAATGTGACTCTGCATATGTATATCAAATTCTAGATAGTCGGCAATTGGCACTAAAGTTGATTGCAAATGTAACATATGGTTATACGTCTGCTTCCTTCTCAGGTCGAATGCCTTGCTCAGAAATTGCTGACACGATTGTCGAAACAGGAAGAGAACTTCTTGGAAACGCAATTTCCTACATCAACAACCATGAAAGTTATAACGCAAAAGTTGTTTACGGTGACACTGATAGTTTGTTTGTCGAATTACCGGGACAAACTAAAGAACAAGCATTTGAGATTGGCCACTTGCTTGCGTCAGAAATTACCTCAATGTATCCTTCACCAATTCGTCTAAAGTTCGAAAAGGTATACTTACCTTGCTTTTTACTGGCAAAAAAAAGGTACGTTGGTTACAAGTATGAAAAAGTGAGTGAGGCTGTTCCCTCTTTTGACGCTAAAGGGATTGAGACAGTGCGACGAGATGGCACACCCATTCAACAGAAGATCCTTCGTAGCTGCATAGAAAAGTTATTTCAGTCTAAAGATTTATCGCAAGTGAAAAAGGGGTTCCAAGAAGTCTGTTCCCAAATTATGTCCGGAGAAATTCCAGCTATGGATTTCTGTTATAACAAGGAAGTGCGCATGGATAAATACAAAGAGCTAAGTACAGCCCCTCCGGGGGCTAGTATGGCAAGACGTTTAATGACTAAAGATCCTAGATCTGAGCCTCAATATGGTGAACGTGTTCCATATTTGGTCATAGCGGGAGCACCAGGGACCACTTTGGCGAATCGTTCTGTCTCTCCGGAGGAATACCTTTTGGACAGTTTTTCACAACTAGATATTGATTATTATATACGGCACAATCTAATACCTCCGTTAGATAGATTCTTGAATCTTTTGGGTGCCAGTGCTGAATCTTGGTACAATGAGATGCCGAAGCGACTTCACAAGCTGATACGAACAGGATATTTGGATGACGGTTCCCAAGTTCATAAAAAGACTTTAGATAAATTTTTGACAGAAAGGCTTTGTTCATCCTGTCTTCGGAACATGGTAAGCAACCAAAATTCTTCCGAGAATAAATATCTTTGTGATGACTGTTTGAGAAATATACCAGCGGCTACGACTAGAGTTATTCAACAGAGCAAGGATGTTGCTGTTCGATTAGCAAGATTAGAAGATATATGTCGCGGATGCAGTTGTATTTCATCTTCTGATCCTGTTTTATGTCGGTCAAAGTCTTGCAAAATATATTATGACAGAGCAAAGACACAAAGCAAGGCAAAAGCTCAAGCAGAACTATACGAAAAAACATTCCTTTCCTTAGATTGGTAAACTTACGACAGGTACATTAAGTGTATATGAAATATGTTGAATAGTTGATTGATTCTGTTTACTACCAATAAGCTAAGCTAAATAGTAATCCATTGAAAACATATCAGAAAACGTAATCATAATACTTGTTAATAGATATCTTTCACCATACAAATTCATATGTTAGTGAATATGCATGTTATTTTTAATACTAATTTATTGTCTTCCATCATCATTTCTTTTGTATCGTTACAGCTTGTTCTAAAACAATAATAGCATAACTCGTTCCGCTTCTCAATTTCATGATTTCAGTCATGATGTACGGATGTGGTTCCTTTTAAGAACCACATTCTTTTACGAGGAAAGGCCATTGGCTAATTTTGAACAAATTTAAGGAGATTTTGATCTATTACAATCTTTTTTTGGAGGAGACAATTGGTTAGTTACCATTGGGAAGCGCTGCAATATGAGTTCCTTTCGTTTACAAGCAGACCATATGCAGTCAGACGCGTCTTTGGTCACAAGCGTGCGAAAAGCGACTAGTGTTGATGAAACAGCTCCAAAAAGGAAGCATGTACGTAGTTGCATCGTTTTTACCTGGGATCATCATACAGCCAGGCCCTTTTGGACGGCTGTTAAAGTACAGCCATTGTTTGCTAGCGAAATACAGACTTTTAAGGCTTTGATTGCAATTCATCGAGTACTTCAAGAAGGTCATAGGTGTGCATTAAAAGATTCGCAACCTGAAAGAGGATGGCTGAAAACATGTGCTCGCCAATTTCCTGGAGGAGAAGGAACGAGAGGCTATAGTGGCTTGATTCGAGACTACGTAGACTATTTATTGGACAAGCTTGCTTTTCATGCTCAGCATCCTGAATTTAATGGAACTTTTGAGTACAAGGAATACATTAGTCTTCGACAAGTTGATGATCCTAATGAAGGTTATGAAACAGTTTACGATATGATGAATCTCCAAGACCATATTGATGATTTTCAAAAGCAAATTTTCTCTTCTTTCAAACGTTCTAGTAAAAACGAGTGTCGTATTTCTGCCTTGGTTCCATTAGTCCAAGAGTCATACGGTATCTACCGTTTTTTGATTAGTATGCTGCGTGCATTATACAAGACTATCGATGGTGCTGATACATTAGAACCTTTGAAGCAAAGATATATATCTCAACACCATCGTCTTCGTCATTTTTATGCAGATTGCTCCAACCTTCGTTACCTGACTAGCTTAATTTCTGTTCCCCGTCTTCCCCATGATCCACCAGATCTGGAGGGTGATGATAATTTGCCAGAATTGCCAAAGCGTCCTGCTTCCGTGGCACCGCAACCGACTGGTACATCTTCCATTGGCCCTCAGCAAACAGGCAGCTCTTCTCAGTTGGAAATGAACTTCCCCTCAGCAAACGATATAGAACCTGTTCCCAATTATAGTGAACCTGAATCCATTCAAGAGTTTTGGTCTGAACCAGCATATGACCAACAAATCGCCGCACAACAACAAGCTCTTGCTGCCCAACAATCTGCTGAAATGGAACGTCAGCGCCTTGCTGCTCAACAACATCAACAAGCCATGGAGGCTATTCAAAGGGCTCAGGCTGATCAGCAGCGAGCTGCTCAGGAACAAATGTTTCAACAACAGATGCAAATGCAAAGCCAAGGACAGCTTGCTGGCATGGAACAGCAATTAGCTGGCACTAGAGCTCAATTGGAACAGAGCAATATGCTTCTTCACCAGTACGATGCTAGAGTAAAAGCATTGGAGAACGAGTTAAACCAGTCTGGCGTTAATATTCAGGAACAAATTCACCAGAATGACGATCTAATTGATTCTTTAAGGAGCCAAATCAGCACTTGGAAGAGCAAATACGAGGCGCTTGCTAAACTCTACACGCAGCTTCGTCAGGAGCATTTGGATCTGTTATCTAAGTACAAACAGCTTCAGCTTAAGGCAAACTCTGCACAAGAAGCTATTGAAAAGAAAGAACGAATGGAACGTGAAATTAAGAACAAGAACCTCGAGCTTGCCGATATGATCCTCGAACGCGATCGTGCTCGCCATGAATTGGATACGATGCACCGTGCCCAACGCGGAAAACAAGAGGCTAACGAGCGTGAATTACGATTACTTCAAGAAAAAGCGACATCTCTTGAGCGTAGCAAGTCATCGGAATTGTCGGGTTTGTTGAGCCGATATAATAGGGAAGTCGCTGAGTTGGAAGAAAGTCTTCGTATAAGAGATCAAGAGTTGGATGGCTTCCGTCAAGAATTAAACAAATCTGAAGCTCAATATCGTAAACTTTTACAGGAAAAAGAAGAAGAAGTAGAAATTCAAAAGGCTGCTGTTGATGAATCCCTCTTGCAGTTGAAGAACCTCCAACTAGATCGCAGCGATGTTGATCAAGCTATGGACTCACAGATAGATGATTTGTTGAAGTCACAATTAGAAAAGTTAAGTGATATTGTTGACTCTGTGCTTTTCACTGGTATCCAGCGTTTAGATACTAGTTTGCATGAACTGGATTCTCCTATGCATGCAGGAAATCAATATGCAACACCAGAATTTGTGCTATCTATTATTGAAAATGCCAGTAATGCTTGTATGGATTTTGCAACTGCATTCAACAACTACTTTGCTGATGGTCCTAACGCTGATCATTCTGAAGTCATTAACAGTGTCAATTCCTTTTCAACTGCAATGTCTGAGGTTTCTAATAACTCTAAAGGTTTGAGTCGATCTACTGGTGATGATCAAGGATCTGATCAATTAGTATCTCAGACACGGCAAATGATTGAACTAGCAAAAAGGTTTTTATCAAGCTTATTCTCTCATTCTACTATGAAGATGGATGTCGATCAAAAAACAGAAATGGTCATTAACGAAAACGTAGAAATGCAACAACGTTTGCAGCAGCTATCTCAATATTCTGAAAAGTTCTTAAATAAGGAATCTGAAAGTGCAGTTGGCTTATTAAGTACAGGAGGGGATAATATTGAAGAACTTGTAGACAGACAGTTGGCTGAGACGGCTAATGCAATTCAGAATGCTATTATTAAATTGCAAGGCCTGGCTGCTCAACCAAAGGATGTCAATTTGTCTCCTTCTGAATTGCAAGTACATGATTCCTTATTAGCTGCTTCTATTGCTATTACCGAAGCGATTGCCAGACTAATTAAAGCTGCCACTGCCTCCCAAGCTGAAATTGTCGCACAAGGTAGAGGATCTAGCTCTCGAGGTGCATTTTATAAAAAGCACAATCGCTGGACGGAAGGACTTATTTCCGCTGCTAAAGCTGTTGCTCGTGCTACTGTCACTTTAATTGAAACTGCCGATGGCGTTATCAACGGTAAAGCTAGTTTCGAGCATTTAATTGTGGCATCGAATGGTGTGGCAGCTGCTACAGCTCAGTTAGTAGCTGCTTCACGAGTCAAGGCAACCTTTGCATCCAAGACACAGGATCACTTGGAAGAAGCCGCTAAAGCAGTAACAGATGCATGCAAGGCTTTAGTAAGACAAGTAGAGACTATGGCATTGCGTTCGAAAGAAATGGAGCATGAAGATTTCTCCAGTCTTGGTGTTCACGAGTATCGTCGACAAGAGATGGAACAGCAGGTACAGATCCTGAAAATAGAAAACGAATTGGTTGCAGCTCGTCGCCGTCTTTTCGATATGAGAAAAACTTCGTATCATGTTGCTGATGAGTAACTTATTCATTCTTTTATGTATAGTTACTATGACAAAGGATTATTATATTTTTGCGCAAATATCTTGATTAGATTATTTCTAAGCAGGCTTGTCGCATTTTTTTGTTTTTAGTTATTTTGTAAATGTAAATAAATGCCGAATCTTATTACGTTAATGGAACTGTGTTTTTAAAAACGTTGAGGAATAAAAATTTCATTAAATGAAACTACTGATGAACTTATTTTAAAAAATCTGCTTCACGTGAGTTTTTAAATCTGCTTCTTTTTCTTCTTTAAACTCTGTGACTTTTTTTTATCTTCCTGCTTGCTTTGTCCTTGATTTTTAAACCTTTCCTTTCGTTCAGCTAAAAGTTTGTCATCGTCTTTGTTCTTGCATGCCTGTTCAAAAAGTTTCCAGGTGATAATTAATCCCATGCTTGTTAAACCGAATATAGCCAAGTCAAATGTGAGCAAGGTCAATTGAGAGAGGACAAAAGTTGTAAATATTTTGAAGACTAATTCTTTGGGTTTTACATCACAAGGAACCTCTCTATTGATTGAGAGTGTGGTCCATTTTATGCGTCCTGGAGGTCCCAATGAGACATGGGATTTTGTTTTTTCTCCTTCTTTCGTTTGATGTACATGAAGCAGATTAATCAAACTACCAATGACCACAACAAGGATCCCAATGATGTTGTTTCTGGGATTTGAAAGTGTAGCAGTAAATGAAGCTGGCTGATGATCTTCCATAACTATTTTTTATAGAAAACCCTTGTTTTTCTTTTAAATTTCTATAATTATTGAAATTTTCGAGTCTTTAGGCAGAAAGATGTTGTTCAGTTTTCTACTAAAATTCTACTGACGAAAGATTTACCTAAATAATTACATACACTCACTTTTTTTTACCTTGCTAAAACTTTTATTCTACAGCTCTTGAATTTTTCTTTTTTTAAAAAAGAAAGAGCTAGTTTGATATCTATTAAGAGAACCATTCGGTAAGGTGGTATATCCTTTGGATTATTTCTTGTTTTAACAGGGAACGAACTACATCTATTTATAAAAGAAAGCTATTCATCTTCCTTCTCAGAATGAGCTTAAATACGATTATTGACGCTCATTGCCACCCAACAGATACACCAGAGGATCTTCATTTCGTCCCAGATTTGTCTTTGGGGAAAATTATAGTCATGAGTACTCGCCCTATGGATCAAGAATATGTCTCAGAATTGGCAGAAAAGTATCCCGAAAAGGTAATTCCAAGCTTTGGTATTCATCCTTGGTTTTCGTATCTGATATATGATCCTAATGGGTTAACTCAGTCTGATGAATCGACTATCAAGACTGAACATTATAAAAAAATCCTCTCACCTGAACCACCGGATGATTTTATTCAAGCTTTACCTCAACCTACATCCCTTACAGAACTTTCAGAAACCATTTCCCGACTTCTCGCCAAACATCCTTCTGCTTTGGTTGGCGAAATTGGATTAGACAAGCCTTTCCGATTGCCTGTTGGGCCTTATGATGCTAGATCTTCTTTGCCGCAAGGACCGTTATCGCCTCACTATGTTCGTATGGAACATCAAATCAAAGTGTTTGAATCCCAGCTGAAGTTGGCATCGAAAGAACAAAGGACTGTCAGTATTCATTCAGTGCAAACTTACACTTATATATACGATGTTTTATCGAAATTCTGGGATGGTTATTGGATACCCTCAAAATCTCAATTGAAGAGATACAAACCAGGAGAATACGAATCTATAAGAGAAGGTCAAAAAAAAAACTATCCACCAAGAATCTGTTTTCACAGTTACTCTGGGAGTGGTCAGCAGATTTCCTTGTTTTCTGCTCACAAAGTGCCGTCCGAGTTTTACTACTCATTCTCCATTGGCATCAACAGTCGTTATAAAAAGATGGAAGATACAATTCAATCTGCTCCGGATGACCGAATTTTACCAGAAAGTGACCATCACAGTGCCAATAGCCTTGACAAGCTTGTGGGAGAATCTGTTTCTGCTATTGCTCAAGCAAAGACTTGGAGTAAAGAAGACACTATGAGTATTTTAAGCAAAAACTCTTCTTCCTTTTTATCGTGAGAAATGAAAATAACCTTGATGATGTTACCAATGAATGTACCCCTTCATGAAAAGCGTTTATGACTAAAATTTTGGAAATAGCTACAGATAAATTTGATAATAATACCCTTTATCTACGAATTCTTCTCATAATCAAAAGTTCAAATTAAGCAAAATCGATTATACAAGGGTACTTGCGAAATTTGGATATGCTACTTTTGCAAAACAGCATGTTTATTAACATAGTGAAGGATATGAAATTATCGTAGTGGTAGCAAACGTTACTTCGTAGTGTATGTTCATAAACACAAGTCCACCATATGTAACAGCTGCCTGCAAATGCAGTGGTATTTGAAAATGTTAAAGAAAGGGCTTGACATGCTGAAATGGGCCGTTGAACAGAACGGGTACAGTATATCTGAAAAGCTAGAATTAAAAGATCTTCGATCCGTCCATCCGTCTCTTGGAATCGGTTTTGTCGCTGCTCAAGATATCAAAGTAAGGGCTTTGTAAATAAATGTATCTACTGGTAGCTAATACATTGCAGGAGGATGAAGAACTCGTTACATTTAGAAAAGAGAATGTCCTTTGTTTTACGAATTCAGAATTGTCAAAGATTTCCGAAGTTGTAGATTTGCCCGGTTGGGCAGCACTTTTGCTTACAATGGCTTACGAGAATAGCAAGTCGGATAGTTTTTGGAGGCCCTATTTGGATGTCTTTCCAAACAGAGATCGGATTACGTCTCCATTCTTTTGGGAAGAAGAAAAGAAAAAGAAGTTGCTAAGTGGTACGGTCCTTGAATCTAATCGAGATTATGAAGAGATTGATCATCTTTGGAAGGATTCCATTGAACCTATTAAAGAAAAATATCCGGATCTACTGTCGAATGTTCGCTTTGATGATTATGCTCGTATGGCAGCTGTTATGCTTGCTTATAGCTTTGACACAAAGAAAACAGCATCCAAAGAGGAGTCTGCAGTTGAGGAAGAGGGAGATGAGTCGAAAGATATTCCGCATGAAGCATCCACTAGTAAAGAGGTAAAAAGCGCAAAAGGCTCTTCCTTCCTTGAACAGGAGGGAAATCGTAAAGCTGAACAAGAAGAAGATAGAAATTCCGAGGCAGAAGATAGTGATGTGGAATCAGAATATGATCCTGAAGAGTTTGAAAAGTCAATGTGTCCCGTTGCGGATATGTTTAACGGTGATGATGAATTATGCAATGTAAGAAGTTATTTTTTTGAAGGTAAATAGGTTTCTAACCACTTAGATTCGTCTCTACGATTTGGATGGTCGGCTGACCATGATTGCTTGCCGTGATATCAAGCAGGGAGAGCAAGTTTGGAACACATATGGAGAAATTGACAATTCAGAGTTGTTTCGAAAATACGGATTTACAAAACCAGAAGGGACTCCTTATGATTTTGTGTTGATCAAAGGTGAGGACTGGTTGTCGGAATATGTAAAGAAGATTGGACAAGAAGAAGTAGACGAGAGATTAGAATTGCTTCTATATAAAGAAGTCCTCTCAAATATTGAAGGGTAAGTGATAAAAATTCACTTTTTTATTTCGAGCAAAAGCTAACCACTGCAAAGAGATTTCACGTTCTCTGCGGGTGATTTAGACTTCACAGGCATCTGTTTGTCTTTTGCAACTATGGAGAAAAAGGAAAAGACTACTCAAGTACCCAAAAAGTCAGAAATTCAGCCAAAGCATTGTCGAAAGCTGTTGAAGATTATAGAGAATCGTTTGCGAATGTACCCTGAACTTGAAGATCCGAAAACTCTAGACGAAAAGAACGCTATCGTTTTGATAGAAAAGGAGAAAAACCTACTTCAAAATCTTTACGACAACGTAAAAGACAGCTTGGCAAAAAAGACACCAAGCAAGCGTCAAAAAACAGAAGACTGAGATAGAAAAGATGCTCTCTTAGCGAAAGGAAAGGAAACGGGATTTTGGTGGTTTGTTTATTAGATTGAAATTATGGCTATAAATATAATAAGTTTGTGTATCATATAGTGTTTACTCTCTTTTAATCGATTCTACAATAGGTTCACATTAAGTCAAGCAGGATAAATGAACTGTTTAGATCTAAAGAAATTTAAACATTGATCTATTTCATTTCATGCAAAGAAGAACTTTTTAAGCCTGCGAATGTTCCCACTTTATTCTTTCTGCATTTCTTAATAAAGTAACCATCAAACGTCAAGTTACAAGGATGAACATGCCACGTAGAGCGATATATTTCACTTTCAGCAACTTCATATACGTCTACTGTTTGTTAATCTTTCTAAAAAGCAGGGTTTACAATTAGAAAATGTCGCTTCAGATTCATGTTTCTAGGAACGCACTTTGGCGTTATTTTGTTCTGTCGCTTATTTTTTTGCAGATGTACGTTGTCTTTATTGAGCCCTATTATCACGGAACACGTTTCGAAGAACTGTAAGTTATTCTTGTTAGATATTTTAAGCATAGCAAAGTTAACAAGCCGGTAGCCGTCAACTTTTGGGGCCCAGACTTTTGTATGGTTCAGTTTACTTTCTGGTCATCGTGCATGGGTTAGAAGCTTTCCTTGCCTTAAGAATGTGTCTTGCGAAGAAATTATCTTTGGCAAGTACGCTAAGTTGGGTCTTTTCTGCATGTATTTTTGGTGGTCCTACATTGGTGACGCTTAGAAGCAGTGGCGCAAATAGTAAAGAGCATGCTCAATAGACAGTATAAATAATTTCTTTGTGTTTAGGAAATAAATAATGGATGAAAGAGGCTTTCTACCATGGCGAATCTTGTTTTCTTTATTACCTTAATATTCATCAGATACGTAAATAAGCGAAGATCAATGCTTCGCTTACTTTTACTTTAATTGAAATTAAACTATTTTTTCGTATCATTGGAAGAAGATAAAATAGAGTATATATGACGAGGGGGTATGTTTATCCCAGCTTTCATCACCAAAATCAAGCTTCCTTCTGCCTATAACTTGAATTTCCAACTGTGGGATTGACAAATTCTCACTCGTTCGTAGAAAAAAGCCCTGTCGTCAATAAATGATGGCTGTTTACGCGTTTTACATCTTTAGCAGAAAAAGTACGCATGATAGAGCATGCTTTGAGACAGCAACTAACATTCCTTAGATGAGTGTGTTTTTGCACATCGCTGGAAACCAGCGGATTCCAATTCAATGGAGACATTAGTATCCCAACTAGAGTCTGCAACGTTTGAAGAAGATGTCGAAAAACTTATATTCGGTGTGATATTCTCTCTACGAAATATGGTTCGCAAAATATCTAATGGTAAAGACGACTTTCTGTCGTACACGACCAGTCAATACAAGCTTCATTTTTATGAAACTCCTACAAATCTACGTTTGGTTTTTTTTACAAGTCCGAAAGTCGAACCTTTAACCCATGTTTTGCACCAAATCTACGCGACTCTTTACACTGAGTTTGTAGTGAAACACCCTCTTTACACGCAGGTGCCTCCCCCTTTGGAGAAAGGTGGAATTAATTGCGAAATGTTCCGCATTACGTTAGATCGATTTGTACGCACGCTAAGGTATGATTTATTATCCTAAATGAACGAACGCTGAGATTCATGCATTCGTTATTAGCTTTAACGAAACTGACAATATTTCGTTAGTTGCTTTTAATGTTTACGGCCACATTACTACATACTTTAATGAACTTCTGTATACGTGATTGTTACCCATACTGGAGAACAACTGTCCAGTTTGTGAAATTTCTCTTCCTTTACCAAAACAGGATTGACAATATTCTGCGAACAAGAATGAGTCAGGCTCAGCTTTCACTTGATCTTTCTGCAGTATCAAGGCTTTTGCAGTCTGCAAAAACCAGTTTGCAAGACAAACAAGCTAACCAAACGAGCGAGTTACCAAAGCAAAACTGGGTACCCAAGTATGTATTTGGAAATTGGATTTTTGTTTTTTCTTCTTTGACTAACGTTTTGTTTTTTCTAGAATTCCTCATTTGCTTGGATCTGCTTGTAATTTACCTTCCTATTTTCAACAAAAGAATGTCCCATGTGTGAAGAAGGACGAATTGGTTTCAAACGTGCCCTCTTATGTGGATGAATCTTCTTCCATTGAAGAACCAACTACCCTAAATCCTCACGTGCCTGCTCCCGGAATCACCAAAAAGAAAAAGGCTGTTAAGGACACTGCTGGAGGAGATTGGTTTGACATGCCGGCAACCGAGTTAACTGAGTCCGTAAAGCGCGACATCCAGCTTTTAAAGATGCGTAACGTCTTAGATCCAAAACGTCACTATAGGAGAGAAAATGCGAAACAAATGCCAAAGTACTTCCAGACGGGTACCGTCATTGAGGGTCCTCAAGATTACTTTTCTAGCCGTATTCCCACCCGTGAACGAAAATCAACCATCACGGATGAACTAGTTAATGATACCGAACGTCGTGGTTACTTTAAGAAGAAATATCTTGAGATTCAAAAATCAAAGATGAGTGGTCGTAAAGGACAATACAAGAAACTTAAAGAAAGAAGAAAACCTTCTTACTTAAAATAATAACGATTCTCCTACTTGTTCTTTTGTTTGCTTTTGGTAATGTTAATGCTATGCATGCATATTGGGTTTTATAGCTGGTTTATTATTTTTGGCATTTGGCTCGTTAATAATTATAACTTTCAAATAGAAAGGATGTGTTAATAGAAAATCAAAAATTTACTGTTTCTCTCATTTGGTAATACGCTTTTACTCAGTTTCTACATAATCAAACATTCTAGTTGTCAAGTTAAATGCAGACCACGAAAAAGTATCTTCTATTACAAATGCCGTAACCAAATGAAAATGAATGAAATTAGATAACCAAAAAGCAAAAATGACGGATGACATCGAAAGAACCAAAGATAAAAGAATAAAGAATCAAATGAAAGTTTGCCGTGTATCCTATACTTTTCCCAAGTACTTAAGGCAAAACAAGGATATTCATAAACACATATCTTAATAAGATGAACGACAATTAAAATAAACCCAGTATTGAAGGAAACAATAATAAAAAAAGAAAACACTTCCTTAATATACATCAGCTACAAGCACCATTTGTATCAAAAACAATAGACATATAATCTTCTTCCCTTTGCTTCTGTATAGTGTCATAAGCATCCCATACAGCTGGTTTAGTAGGTTGTTCTTGCTGAGGATGGAGCGGAGATACCTCATTTTGAAATTTCGAAGGAAATTGCTGGGGAATGTGCTGGCGAGAATGTAAGGATTGCGCTAACTGCTCGGAGGATAAGGCATCATTACTATGGAAGTGAGCATGAGATACTTCATCATTGCCGTCATCCAAGAACCCCCCAATTTCAGCAACCCAAGTCATGTATTCATCGACCCAACATCGTATAACCCATAAAGCACCAAATGCTTTACCCCCGCCAACCGTAATTTCCCGAAGTACACTTGTTTGAAGTGCACTTAAATAAAGCAAAAACATTCGCGGGGAGCAAGAAGGGAATCTTGAAGGCAATTCCAAAAAGAAATCGGCCATTCTGTCTAAAATTCCATCGATTTGACGCAACTCTATCCTGTGCATAGCCATGTCATTAACGTTTGACTTTTCTTTTAAAGGATCAAGAAGCTCTGAAGGACTAGAGCAAGTCGAAAGGAGAGAAAACCATTCGTCAAGAGCGTTTACCGCCTCTTTATTATTATACATTACTTCTCGGCACACAATCACTTTAGTATTTACGAATCGTTCCCAATCACAACAAATGAGTTGCCTGTCGGCGGGATTAGCCAGAAATCTAGCTGCAGCATGAGCCGTATCATTTACCCTTAAAAGACGAGACAAAAGATTACTAAAGGCAGCAGCAGTTTCGATTTTTACTTGTGCTAGACAAGGTGAATGAGAGCTGTAAATACTAGATATGTGACTAAGAAGGTTTTCCGTCAAATGACGCAGCAACACCAAGACAGGAGTCGGCACCACTTGTAATGTCATGGGAAACAAAAGTTTTAGTATTTCTCGATACATTATCGTATCCGATTGCTCAATCCATTTCGAAAAGAAGGGCGAAGCAAGTAATGCAAGAAGAGAGGGAGAAAGGCTTTCCGGGAAACTAGATATTTCGGAAAGGAACTGCTTGAGATGCATGTAACGAATTGATTCAATAAGGGTAATGCAATGAGAGGAATATACCGTCATGAGTGCAACCTTTGCCTCGTGATTATCAAAAGCGGTACTTAAATAATAATCAATAGGAGGTAGTGAAAAGGAAGAGATATCTAATGAAGGAATCCAGGGAAGTTTATGAGGGGGTAAAAACTTAAGCTTCAGTTTATAAACCGAATTTTGAGCATACCAAAAATTAGCGTTTGTATCAGAACGCATGGATGGGCCAAGATTTGAGTTTGAAGATGTGAATGGAGATGTAAAATGGTGAACAGAAGATGAAAATGCAGAATTCGATGGCAGAGGTTGGGGAGGAAGTTGAGTGGGTATGGTAGAAGGTTGAGATGAAAAAAGTCTAGGAGAGCTGGAGGAATGCGGTTGCATGTTGACAGAAGAAGTCAACAAAGAAATTGGAGGTGAGGAAGAGGTATATGGGTCGGAAAGAGAGGTAGCGCTGGCTTTCGCTGTTACGGGAGTAGTAGTAGGGTCAACAGAAGGAGGATAAGCAGGAGGCATTTGGCCAGCATCGGTATCGAAGTTAGAAGAGAGGGATTTCGTAAACGATAATGAAGAATCAGGAGAAACACTGGAATCAGATATACGACGATGCTTTCGAAATGGTTCATGACCACGTAGTTTTAAGCCACAATAGTGGTATTTTGAATGACCTCGAGTGCCAAGCCGCCGAGTCTTAATGGTAGGGAATAGCATGCGAACAAGTTTACCAAACGAAGCAGAACTTAGAGTTTTCACATGATAAATATTGCAAGCATCCACATACTGTGCATAAATTTGATTTCTCTGAACAGCGGCGTCTTCTTGGTCTTCACAGGATTGCTTAAGCCAGCAAACTCCAAAAATTTGGCGCAGCTTTTCGGCACTTCCACCATAAGGATCCATTCGAATCTTCTCAGCAATCGAGTCGAGAGAACAATTTTCGAACTCAGAAGCCAGTTTGCGAATCTCATATTCTTGGTCTTCAGCAGACTTACGAGAAGATTGACTGGCAAATGGACGTGGATTAACGAAATCTTCGTTTTGTTGAAACATAAAACGAGGATTAAACCGATTTACAGAATCCAATTGTGATGCATGAGCCATTTCAGGCTGCGGCAAAGATGCCTGACTCGCCAAATTCGAATCCATGGCTTCTTCACTAAAATGAACGTTTTTGAGGACAAAGAAAGACAGGAATGGTGAAGAATGACTGAGCCATTCACTTGCCAAGTTGGAACCTCGTTAGAGCAGAAAATGGAGCTCAACCGGCTGAAAAATCGGGTCCGTTTTCAAGGAAAATAAATAACAAACTCCAACCTCTAAAAAAAAAAGTTACAGCGCACAACTTCCTTCGGTTGAGGAAAAGCACAACCTGTATAATGTGAGAAAATCCTGGTTTCCAAAATCACCGCGGGGCTCGTTCTTTATCCTTATTCATTTTCGAGGAAACCAAAACAAGATGTTGGAAGAGAAGCATGAAAACAAAATGTCCATTTAATAGAAATAAACAAGGAACTTGCAAATGATACGATAGAAAAACGCTTTTTTTAGAATCGAACTCGAATTCTCTCACTTTTGTCCATATGGGAAATCATTTCCTTGTTTATTAGCGAAGTGTAGTGTATTGCTACGCATACCTTTTCATTTCACTATATGCGCGTATGATGAATGGTAGGAAAATACAAAAGTTATAAAAGCCTAAGTGCTTTATCGCTTAGGAAATGTTTGTATCTGCAAAGAATACAATACCTCCTCTTGTTTAACAATCAAAGAATCGCGTTTTTTCGCGTCTGAAAAAGAAACAGAATCCACACTTCCTAGATGAGAAACTGACGCGACGAAGGCACTCAAAAGCTGTCAATTATTTACGAACACTAGGATGAGATAGAATTCCTTAACGGAGAAGAGCCCACACCATATTTTAATGTAACTGTCTTGGTAAAAGGAGAGTTGCCTATCTAAGGTTATGTTTATATTGGCAGCGCGAATTCCATGGCAACGGTTACCATTATTTACAACACGAAATCGTAAACAAACAAACTTTTACCAAAAGAGGAAAAGAAATCACTTGAAAAGAAAATCAAAGAAAAGAGACGGTAATAATTCTTGCTTAGATCATTGTTGACTGGAATTGAGATTTCAATCCATTCGACTTTTTTTATCCTTCAAAAAAATTCCCTTTTTGTTTTGCTCTTATTAACAATCTAAATGAACATAGTAATCCTTTTTCTACCGCCAAGATATATTAACTTGTAGCAGCTTTGCATTTAGAATTCACTCCACCATTCGATTCCTATATCAACACTACAATTCCGACGTTTCAGTAGCAGCGTCCGTTTGTTTCCATTCGCTAGTGTATTCTATTTTGTTATTTCTTTCTATTTTCTAGACTTGTCTTAGTTTTCACTCTTTTCCGCAAGTAATTGTGGTGATTTTGCTACTTTCATGAATACTTCAAATCTTAGACGTTTACTAGTAAACCCTTGCCGGGTGGTGTCTGGAATCCAACCTACAGGAATCCCTCATATAGGCAACTATCTAGGATCACTCCGCCAGTGGGTCGACATTCAAAACTCCATTCCGTCTTCTTCTTCTTCTCAATGTTTCTTCTTTATCGCTGATTTACATGCATTAACCGTTCCTCAAATTCCTCATGATCTCTATCAAAGGCGTATCGATATGCTGGCGATTCTGCTCTCCATTGGCATCGATCCACTAAGATCTACACTGTTTTTCCAATCCGAAGTATGTTTTGTTCGTCCTTGCAAATGAATCATGAAGTAAATCATTTTTTTTGCTTAGTGTCTGTGATGTTGTTGATACCGTTTTCTTCCTTGAAAACGCAGCCTTTTTTGACAATCATCAAATACCACACTTCTTATTGGCTTGACTCATCTCAGTATGCTCTGAACTGATTACTAACGAACGTGTAGGTTCCCTATCACACCGAACTGAACTGGCTTATGGGTTGTCATACCCCAATGGGTCATTTAAATCGAATGACCCAGTGGAAGGTAAGTGGTGCTTATTCCTGTGAACTATTACAGAAAGAAAACTAATACGTTTAGTCTAAACTTCAGCTCCAAGAAATGGACGCTGTTACGTTTTTTAACACAAGTCTTGCTTCTTCTGGTCAATTCAATCTGGGCCTGTTTTCATATCCAGTCCTCCAGGCAGCAGACATTCTACTCTATGGGTAAGCGATGTCCTTTCATTAACATTTCTTGGTCACTAATCTTTACTATCTAGAGCTACTCACATACCCGTCGGAAAGGATCAGACTCAGCATATAGAACTTACACGTACTATTGCTCGTAAAATCAATTCTACTTACAAAAAAGATCTTTTCACAATTCCTGACATTATTCTAAGTAAGATAATTGAAAATTATGCTAACTATTCTCTAACAATCAGATTCATCAAGTTCAATTATGGCATTGAAACAACCCAACAAAAAAATGTCCAAATCCGACCAAAATTCAAAAAATTATATCCTTTTAACTGATTCTGAACAGGACATTAGGAAAAAGATCGCAGGTGCTGCTACAGATAATATTGAAGGTATTACCTATGGAGATGTAAATCGACCTGCAATTAATAATTTAATAAACATAACGGCTGCTATTACGGATTCAAGCCCCATCGCAATAGCCGAAAAGTTTAAGCACTCAAAACACTCCGAATTTAAGTCTTCCATAGCTGATATCGTTGTTGGTAGTCTTTCTCCTTTTACAAAGTCATACCAGCAATGGAAAGCAAACCCAACCGAACTTCAAGCAATTGCGGCAGATGGAGCGAAAAAAGCAACTGACCAAGCATATCCATTTGTAAAGAATTTTAAAAATACATTAGGTCTAGGGGTTTAATTCTGATTTACCCGTTCATTTTCCATACGTGTGAAAGTAAATTTTTTTGTCCCTCGGTTAAATCTCCAAGGATTGACAGTGTTTTTTCCTCACTTCGAACAATCGAGTTTACAATCAGACAAGTGTTAAATGTCGCCCTTCGAATTTCCGCGTCAGGGTGCTCAATATACTTAATGACAACTTCTCTTATTAACCGTTCCATCAACGGATGTGTAAAATCATTAAACCGCTTGATAAATTCAGAAAAGAATAGCAAACATAGAGCTACCTTTTTTTCAGATATTTGCCTTTGAAGTAGCATGTCATGAATAAATATCACTGATTTTTCTGCTTTCCATAAGCTAGCAATTACTGTAACTAGATCCTCCACAGCTGCCATGATAATAGGGTCATCTTTGCATTGTTCTCCCTTTTCTAAGACTATCGAAAAAGTATCTTCGTATTGCTTGTCTTCGATGTTTCGATGGTTTTGGACGACATATTCATGTAAGAGCAGTAAACTGTCAGAAACATGTACATTATGATTTTCAGTCTTTATAAACGCAAGAAGGGAAGAATAAAGTTCCCTATTTTGCATCAAAACGTTAGGAGCCTCCTTACAGACCGTAAGACAGAACTTTATAAGCTTGCTAGAGATGGAACCATTTTTAAAAGCCTCAATTGCACTAACGCAAAGTTCCTGAATCTTTTTAGGTTCCATATTATCTATCTTGGAGGACCCTTTTTCCAACTTTTTCATCCGATTTTGTAACCACTTATTTTGAGGTACTACAGCTGGAATATAATTAGTAGCATTTGCAGCTAAATCCTCAAAGTTAAGTTTCCCTACATTTTGCGGTTCAATCAAGCTTTCTTTCCTAGAATTGCTAATGACTGATGGTGAAAGCGGTGGTGGTAAATCACCAACAATTGTTTCTTCAGTAAGCGATCTTGATACATCCGACATAGGAGAAGATATTGTAGGATCGGAAACGGGAACCCTCAATTCTGAAAAACTTAGACTAATGTCCTCCACAGGAACATTTATTACTCTTAAGTTTTGGTTTGTAGATTCACGGATATCTCCATTGTCATTATTTTCTTTGATGGAACCTTCACTCCTGTGTTCTTTTTCTGGATACTTCGATACTTTCGTGGAGATAATTGAAAGTTCTTCTTCCGAATTGACTGGAGCAGTATGATTGTCTTGCCGAATCGATAAGCCCATCTCCCTATCGTTCATGAATTGTTCAACACCTGAATTTTCTTTTGTGAATGGGTGTCCAATTATCGAATTGTTCGTTCTAATTCCTTCATTCTTTCCCTTGCCAGCTATATTGACATTAATCGAATTCAGTGTATTTGATTTATCTGTCAGAACATTGATTGACTGCGTAGATGCAGTCTTCTCTATACCATCAAGATCAGTAGAAGAGTTTTCTTGTTGTTTTGGCAAACCATCTTTTATTGGTGAAAATTCTGAAGCGTCATAAACCCAAGTATTCGTATTTCCTTTACTTAATTCAAGGAACGGTTGTTGCTCATGTTGAACTCCATCAGCTTCAGTTTCTATATGCTCTTCCATACTTTTATCTTCCGTAATTCCATTTTGGTTTTCTTTAGGTAGATCCTGACTGGAAGATAGAAGCTTATTATCATTATCCTTCTCGATTTGTTCAGCCGTACCTGATTGTGATGAACTTGGTGAATCATGAGCAACATCATAAGCTAAATCGGAAGTGAAAGAAGCATTTTTGTTATCTGGATGAGAATGGTCATTTATGGAAGGATTACTAAGCATATCCAAGTCTTGAGGTTTCTCAATATATTCTTCTCCATGAACTTTTACATTAGAAGTGTCTTCAGAGACTTCAGTTGAAGGAAAGTTTGTTATATTTTGGGGGACAACAGAAGTGGCATCATCACCCTTCTTAACGAATTCTTCAGTAGCTTGATTTGATAAAACGTTTGACGAGCTCAGCGTACTATTATCATTGTTCTTCTTGAATTCGTCTTGATATGCCCAGGAGTGAAGCAGTTTTGTTTTTGATTCCTTATCCATCCTTGTTAATAGCACACTAAATCCATCGGGATTAAAACAGTTGAATGCGTGGAGTAAACCACTTAATGGTAGCCAGTTTTTAGAAGTTAAGCGTGTTTTGGTAATCATAGGAATAATTTTGGAAGCACAAACTTCCAACTGCTCCAGACTAAAACCAGAAGATGGAGGTGAGTTCGCAAGTCTTATGTGCTGGAGTTCACCTTCTAAAATTTCTTTCATCCACAATAAACAACCATGAATTACAGTTCGTTTTTGATTGGTATTAAAAGGAAAGTTTTTGTGAGAAGGCGCCATACTAGATATTTCCATAAGCAAATCAAACAGAATAAAAAAATACTCATTAGGAGGATGACGACTTTTGAGATACGGGAATGAGGTCAAAGCAAAGGCATTACCAGCATTTGATAAATCATAAACTGAAAGAATGAATTGAGAAAGGAATGATTGGGTATCAACACAATGGCACAGAACTTCAATCAAAGCTGGAGTATATAATATAGAATACAAAAGGGAAGTACCGTGAAACAGTATTTGTGTTAAAAATGACACATATGGTGCAAATAATTGAGGGGAAAAAGAATCAGTAGCTCGTATAGATTCGTAGTCCTTTTGTAATGTTTTCAGTTTTTCAAAGGAATTGGCTTCTGAATTTTCACGCGAGTTTGAAGGACTTGGTTTTTTTGAACTCTGAGGAGTGACAGAGGATGGAGGATGATTTAAGCCTATACTGGAGCTAGACGGTGTGCTTAATGTAGAGCTACTCTTGGATTGCGAATCCGCTCTTTCTCGGGTAGGTGCCACCATTCGTTGAGGTAACCCTAGCTTTCGTTGAGGGACGGGTGGTGTATAAGCGTTATCATCTTTTTGAACTTTGGCCTCAGGACGAATACTAGCTGTCATCGACCGTACTGGTGCTCTTTTAGGTCCCGAAAAAGCAGGAGGAGGCAGCTGATTCCGATTAGGGTTTACAAGCTCTAATTGTTTAATAGAAGAAGGCTCGAGTGATTTGAGGAGTTCATCTCTGCTATTTGGAAAATATTCGACATATTTCCAAAAGGATTTTCGATAAGATTCGCGAACTTGTGAATTAGAGTCTGCTATACCTATGCATATGAGCTTTTCAAATAATTTTTGATTAGCAGATATTTTTATATGTGATTTTGCAACGGGATACAAAGCAAGTAGTAAAGAAATCCAACCACTAGCAAAAACCCTGAGTTGAGCATTTGTATCATTAGCAGCAAGAGACACAAACTGCAAAGTTCGTGAAAGGGGTCCACAACAAGAGAGGATGGAGGCGAAGGCAACGTTAGCAGCTTGGGAAACAATTCTCTTGGTGACAGAGCACATCTTCAAGAGATTCGGCAGGAGGGCATCAAGAAATCCATCCATATGATTTTTTAGTATAAAAGCCATTTCTTTGAGGAGCTGCACGGTAGAAAAGCTAAGTGTGGTACGCAAGGACAAGAGACTAACAAGAATACCACGAAGAAGTGACTTTAAAACGGAAAGTAGTTCAGGCAAGTATTGATCTGGAGCATTTCCACGTATATATCGACGGATTTGCAAAATGTTGGATTGACGCAGAGACCAATTTTGTTCGGTTTCACGTCCCTCGAATGAAGAAAGCATGGCAGCGACGTCTTGCTCTAATTGTTTCGGGAAATTAACGTACAAGGGATCGACTTTTTCAAGCTCGACGGCAGGATAAAAAGAAGCAATAATAGGGAAAATTGAAGGTGGGGATAGAAGAGAGCCTGGATGAGGAAGAGACGCAGAGTCATCCGAAGGTTGTGGAGACAATTGATTAGAAAGAAATTGAAGTAGATCCTTTCGGAGACCTTGATGTGACTCGAGTTCACGAAGAAGGTGTGCCTTTGTAGAAGGAGATAAATCCTTGTGAAGGAGAACCAACAGTTCTTTTGTTTCTTCGCGAAGAGACGGATCTGCATGTTCCAAGTTGGCGACTAGAAAAGGGCGAAGAGCTTTCAGGTCGAAAGATAGTTCTGAACGATGTGCCAATGCAAACCATTTTAAAGTTTGCATACGAATCTCGGCATTTTTGCTAGTTGATAATAGATGGTGCAGACTTTTTTCGATTTCTACAGGATTGAACTGCCAGAGTTCGAGCAGAATGGTGAGAATGCGTTTCCTAAGATCACGGGAAGCTAGATGCTCAAGAACAAGATTTTTTAAGAGCGGAACGCGAAATTTAACCCATGAAGGGCATTGTGCCCGAAGTCTTCGAAGAAAGGTTTCATAACATGAAATCGCAGACCGAAGAATCAAGGGATTTACGGTTGCAAGAGAAACTTTGAAGCATTCTATGTAAATAGGGAGGTCTTCATTCTGTGAATACAAATTAGTAACTGATAAAAGGGAGGTGCAGAAAGGTCATTTGTAATCATAATGAGGCATGAGTTTAATTTGCACATGCAGACCTTTCAAGAACAAATAAATAAAGCGCAACATACAGGAATGTTATTTTTATTGAAAAAAGAGCGTAAAGAGTCTAATTGAGATGTTTTTTCGTCGGTAGAAACTGGAAAAAATGGTTAACAGGGGAAAGCAACGAAAGCAGATTTTGCAGGATTCAACGAACCATTGCTTTTCAGAAACTGGAAAAAATTTTGTGCATCTCCTTCGGCCATTGATTTAGCTTTAAAAGGAGGGAACAGAAAGGAAAGCAGTACGAAAACGAAAGGAAAACAAATTACCGTGGTGTACAAAGGAGAAGCGTCGTTAGACGCAATATACGACTTCGGTTGTCCAGTAATTCCTTTATTATGTTATTTATAGTTCGATTATTAAACAGCGGGCATATGATGCAGTGGTAGCATGCTCGCTTTGCATGCGAGTTGGCCTGGGTTCAATCCCCAGTGTGTCCAATTTTTTTATTCTAGTTAACAATAATAATATTTGCAGAAACAATACCATAAGAAGCTTTGTTGATTTTATTTTATTGATTCGTACTTACCTTTTTGATTTATTTTAACTTCCGGCCAAAAATATTGTAGTATTAAGGAGTGAAGGCTTTTATGAATGGCGACATTGGAGCCAACAAGCGATATAGGAACAAAAATATGGAATATATAATCAGCGAAAACTAATTGAAAATTAAAAAGAATAATCCTATAAAACAACATTTTCTTCTTCTTCAAGCAACTTAGATATGGAGATATTTTACCATGAGAAATCTTGTAAACAAAAAGTTTCTTTGATATTATGTCATCGTGAAGATTTTAATCCTACCCCACACAAAAGGTAATATTTCCAATATAATTGGAACCTGTCTATGCGATACACAAAAGCTTATTTAGGGCTCGTTATGATTTTACCAATCATGGCGTTTAAACGAAAAATGTTTACTTCCATCCCATATCACCGCCGTGCCGGATCTTTTTCCATTTGTTTATGGACAAAACAGAAACTGCTTTGGTTCAACATTTTTTTCCTCATTCAAGGAAAATAAATAAATAATACAGAATTGGTTAATTTGGGTTTATCATTGTTTTTCATAAACCTTTTCTTTGGGTTGTTTGTACTTTTTTGTCTTTTTACCCTGGAATAAATCTTTTCATCTGATAATTCTTTATGACTATGAAACCCAGGATTTTATCAACTTTAGTCACCCCATGGGCAAGGCGGCTATAGATGAGTCTTCCACCTACTTTAGCTTCCTTTAAAACGTTTTTTTTTTTTACTAACACATTGGTTAAAAGACTTGCTCTTTAGCATTGGTGGAATCCCCTCAAGTATTAACTCTGGATCTTTTACTCACCCTGCTTCCATTGAGCTCCATCATAGCTACTAAAATTGATTCTGACATTATAACGGCTTCTCAGTGAAAAAACTTTTGCCTAAACTTGCAGCTGTCTTCGTCCTGTCATATTAAAACCACCGAATCCCATTATTTCTAAAGTTCTTCAGAAGGAACGATGATTCGTAAACGGTTTGAACTTAACAATTTCTAGTTTTTTTCCTGCAGACGACTTTGCAATCACTGAAATCTGTATAGCTGAGTGGTATTTTTGAATACCAACTTTCCTTAAGATTGCGAGAACCTCTCAGATATCCTGTGCTTCCATCTGCTGGTCCGTTGGTGCTGCTTTTCCTACTAGAGACTCTGACCGGCTAGATCGTCGTTCCATTTTATTGTCGGTGATTGCTCACTTCACTTGGCTGTCCAAGAAATCTTTATAGTCGTCCGTATTGACCCGCTATTTTTGTCATCAACGACAACGATACCACCCTAGATGGGGACTATATTTCCTCAAGAGTTATGTGCTAAGCAGTCTAGCTTTTATAAAACCACTACTAAGCAAGATGTTCAGCAAGTCTTAATAAAATAAAAGATTCCAAAAGTCAAACTTCACACGCTTACACTGGATGCCCTGTCATTTTGATTACTCTATCCAAAATAATGAAAGAATTGAGCTAGTGATAAAGGACAAAAAACAAAAAGGGCGGAGTGAGCTAAATTAGTATTTTCTTCGTTTTCAGAGATTATTTTCATCACCTGCGATGACGATAACAAAGGTTTCGATAAAAGTATGCTAAAAAATAGTTTTAAAATATTTGACTGAATCATTCAGTCCTTCTTTTAAGATACTGAGAGATTATAACTTGTGAGCGTTCCTTGTTTCAAACTATGGGAAATGTAAGGCATTTGATACAATGTATTCACCATCATGACTAACAGACACATAAATAGGAGGAATAGATAAGTTGTCCTTATGAATATGAATTAAAGGCATTCCTTGGTACATAAAGTTAGTAATCAAAATTTCATGTTCATGAGTCTACCATATTTTCGATGAGTACGAGACGACTATAAATACCTTTCTTGTTATGTTTATATTCCATAAATGGCATATAAATGTAGTAAGAAGGCTGCAAAGCCTTAAATGCAGCTTCCTTCACGGACCAACTGGGCAAGTCAACTGTCAGTTTTCATGTAGATATGTAGGAACCTTCACAATAAACTTACCGAACACCTAGCCATTTCGCTCGCTGATCAATATTGTTCTGTGATCCTTTTAACAATCGATATTGATTGATCTCTTTGGGATGAAGACATTTCTCTAGAAATCGCGACTCTGTATATTTCGATTTTTCAAGGAGCGCCTGAATCCTAGACACCTTAAGGATATCGATTCCAATTCCCATCGCAGCTGTGAATTTTTGGCGTAATCCGTATTTGATCGTTTGAATTCGTTCGAATTGCCTAAAGGTGAGGCAGTAAGCTCAAACAAATGTACAAAATTTTTTTTTTATTAAAGAAGGATTGGTTTATTAAGTTTCTGCCCGAATATGCGAATGGGATTTCAGTAAAGACTAGTAGACTGGTATCCTATGAATGCCTAAAATCACCTGCGACGTAGAAAACTTTAGAGTTTTTTGTTAGTTTTAATTTGAGCAGCTAATTATTGACTTTTAAGATTTATTTAATGCCGCTTTTCCCTAGTTCCATTTTCGATCAGGTTTATTTCCACTTGCCTGAGTTCAACCACCTTTTCCCTTTGCACGTTTGTCAACAAAAAACCCAACGTGGAGCGATTACGATTGAAAACTGCATTTTTGGGTTTTTGTTATCAATGGTATGGCTCTTGATGCAAAAAAATTGAGTGATTACTGACAGTGTTATGTTTTAGTCTCACCTTGAAATTTTATCATTAGAAGGTCTTCGAAATGGTTAGTAAATTATTGTCAAAAGGTCTTTTTTAGTTTTATATTTAAAGAGGAGAGAGGAATTGGGCTTCTAGCTTGAGGGTGATGTCTGATTCTGCAGAAGCTGATAAATAAAGACCTGTTGGAAGCGCTCTATAAAGCCGTGACTAACTTATGGAATTAGATGGCCGAAGATGGAACGAAATGAGAAATTTTTTTTGTCGTGTTGGTATAGAGCCTTCTGAAAATGGCTCTTCTTATGTTCAACATGGCAACACTCGAGTTATGTGTATTATCAACGGACCTTCAGAGCCCGCGGTCAAATCCAAATCAAGGGCGGATCGAGCCTTTGTAAATGTAGATATCAATATTGCTCCTTTTAGTACAATTGATCGGAAACGGCGGTTCAAGTCGGATCGAAGGATCCAATTGCAATGTTTAGCATTACAAAGGACGTTTGAGCAAGTGCTTCAAATAGAGCTTTATCCAAAAAGTCAAATTTCTATTAATTTGCATGTGCTGCATGATGATGGTGCTGTTGTTGCAACATGCATGAACGCTGCTACGTTGGCACTCATGGATGCTGGTATTCCCATGACGGATTATGTCTGCTGTAGTACAGCAGGAATTGTTGACTCTGATATCCTCTTGGATTTGAATTCTCTAGAAGAATCAGATTTGTCTTGGATGACAGTTGCTGTTATGGGAACAAAAAACAAAGTCACTTACTTGCAATTAGAGACCAAAATGCATCTTGATTATTTGGACTCGGTAATGAATATAGCCATTGCAGGAGCTGAACAGATATATCACATGATGCAAAGTGCCATTCGACAAAGTGCAAAACCGTATTTGGCCAAGCTCGTATAATTAGTGTATGTGACGATGAATGTTACAATGAAAAAATATCAAAGGAACTTACTACAACGAATGCTGGTTGCTATGTTGGAATAGAGGAATGGGAGAACTTTTAAACAGGTGATGCAGTTTTTTTTCATAACTTGAAGTTTTTCAATTTACTTTTTTTTTGGTTTAGCAAATTGGTTTAGCAAATGGATATTATGAATTGATTGTACTCGCAAATACGAATTATTATTGAATACATTATAACGATAGTTTTTTTCGGTAAATGCTTTTAGAATTAAGAGGGATGGATAATAACTATTTTAGTTCCATTCCATTTCAGTAGTACATTGGATTTTTCAACTGTCCTCTTGAAAAACAATGAAACTGGATGGATGGTATTGAGAACAATGAAAAGAAAGGGCATGGGAGAAAAGTCGATGTAAAAGTTGTCAACATGCGAACTCTTAAAAAAGATTAAATTTAAGCAAGTCAAATTTTTCAATAAGCTACATAGCATTTATATCAAGGGATAATAATAACCAAGGGAAATGGAAGAAATGAGCATTGTAAAAAAAAAAAATACGAAAAATAAGATTAAAAAAAATTAAAAATTAAAAATTAAAAATTAAAAATTAAAAATTAAAAATTAAAAATTAAAAAATTAAAATTATAAACCAGTATAGCCAGAGTACAAGCGAGTTTGTCGTTACGTTTCCTGACTAATTACTTGGACTTAGTAAAGGTACTGGGAAAATTGCCTTGTCTTGGAACTCCTTCGGCATCCACATAACTTCCAAATAGCCAGCCGTCTTCATATTCAGTAAAGACATCGATTTCTTGACCTGGGTCGAATTCCAAGTCATCAGTAAAGCTTCCACGGAAAGGATATAAGGCGACGACTTTGAAAAGAAGCTGGTTGGTCATGTTTATAAACAGGAAAGCAACAAGTTAGATAAATGAAGAAAAAAAAAAAACAGAATAAAATAAAATGAAATGAAATGAAAAATAAAAATCCAAGACACTAAAATAATGTGATGGAGCTCAATGAAAATGTTTGTTTACTTTCTCAAGATGGATGCAAGCGTAGGTAATTTATGGCGAATAAGAATCGCTACAATTCATGTAGACAAAAAATGAAGAAGGGCGGCTTCTTAAATAGACTCAAGCTACGGTCGGCTGTACCCAAACTCCTAAGAAGCGAGTGCGCGGAAAACTCTCGAAGATAAAGCAATATTTACGAGACCAACAACGTCAGCTGTTCGTAATCAATAATCCGGCTTGTTAGCGATCTCCACCTTGGAAATAGACGATGCGATGCAACTGATATTGTCAATTTTGGGACCCGGAAGTAACAGAATGGTCATTCCGGATAATTTTTCTGACATCGTCCTTAGCAAAAATGCCCATCTTTATCCAATCGTTTAAAACTGATAATACTGATTCGCTCATTTATACGTTTTGGAAAACCAATTCAGCGATCCGTAGTCATCAAAAAAAAAGCAGAAACCCTTTGAGGAAACGGGTCGCTTGGGTAATCTATTTGCAGAAGAATCCCATGCTCCTATTCTAAATCGATAGTTGATCGCTTTTTCTTTCGTGAACCAGAAAAAAGACAAAGAATAACCCAACAACAAGCAGGAGTAAAACTTGAAAACAAAAAAAAACCCAAAAAAGCATCGGCTATTGCTTTTTATCGTATTTTGTAAAAATCTATAATGATATCATTTTATTACAGTTTTATTATATTCGGGTAATTGCCGAATATGGGAGGGGATCTAGCGGGAGAAAAAAAAAAAAAAAGAAGAGAGAGAGAGAGAGAAAGTGACATTTTTGTTGCCTCTGTAATGTATCAAATTTGAGATTTCGGAGGATAAATCAATGAGATATTCAACGTAATCTTTATCTGTTTGTCAAGGATTTGCCTCCCCGATAAACAAAAAAACGATAAAAAACAATAAAGAAGAAGGCGTTGTCTCTGAGCACATGGATCTAAGAAACAAGCGAATGAAACAAATGAAAGTGAAACCAAGGACAATTCTTGTATTGAAAATCTTCACTTTGCTAGCGTTATGTTTATGGTAGTCATATTTGTTATAGATACTATAGGGATAACAAGTCCCGGGTAGCTCAATCGGTTTAGAGCGTCTGACTCTTAAGAAGGTTATCAGAAGGTTGCGAGTTCGAGTCTCGCCTTGGGAGTTCTTTTTCTATTTTATATTTCTAACTTTAGGCAATAGAAATCTAGGTTTTTGTACCATTTATTTATTTTTTACATGTTTCTTTGGAATAGCAAACGCGTCAATTAAACAGCAAAATTCCAGTAGCTTTCTCTTGAAACCAAAGACTATAAGGTAGGTAACCTACGTACATCTAAAATCGTCAAGGAATGTTTGTTTTCATACGAGCTCCACAATTCCTTTGATAAATGGATACAAAGGATTGTAGCAGCAACATATCTTTTCCATTGAAAAAGGCATGTCAAGACTTGTACTTTAAGTTTGTTTATTTACTGTTACTTGGAGTTGGAAAAAAAGAACCCCCCCTCCCCAATCTTAATAGAAACAAGACACATGAAACATTTTTAAAAGATAATAAAATGAAATCATTGATTTGAAATTTTTTTCAACGACCAACGACCATAGCAGTCAGCAGATGTTGTCGAAAATAGTAAACGAGAGAGGTATTGACTGTAAGTGTTTTCAGTAAATGATTCTACCAAACGAATTGTAATTCAAAATTCATTAATCTTACCAAGTTTTGAATTTGTTGACTTTCTCGTATTTATTGGAAGAAATGTTTGCAATCATAAAAAGCAAACCATATCGATTTTTTTTCACTCCACTTTCTTCAGCAATAATTAACCAGCCTTAGACATTTGTTAAATACTGCTATGTTTGCTGCTATACCAACAAGCTCTTGTAGCTCAGTGGTAGAGCGCCTGTCTCGTAAACAGGAGGCCCAGTGTTCGAGTCACTGCTGGAGCATATCCATTAACATTTTTTTGTATCATTGAAGAACCAAGTTTTTACTCGTTAAACAATAAACAAATGTACAAGAGAAAAACATTGTCGTTAATTTCACTTAATCTTTATTTATTTATTTGCTTACTGAGTTTTCTTTTTAGTTATAAAATATTTTAGTTTAATAGAAAATTTGTTTCTTCATAAAGAACGATCTTTGCTAGAATCAGCTATGAAGGAATAGTGGATTCAGGTAGAAACAAGAATTCTGTATAGGAAAGAATAGAAAACAAGCATTGTACGGCATCAGTTTCTATTTTCTTCTGAACAAGGATTCCTTTGCTAATTCTTTTCTTTTCAATGAAAGAATTCTCACTGGAAGGTCAAAAGTAACCATTTCAAGCTGCAAAAATCATAAGTGTCGGACAAGAGAAAACATTTCCTCTTCCTTGATTTTTTTCTTAAAAAAAATTTTAATCACAATCCTTACGTTTCAACCTTCAGACTTAATATTTGTTCTTTATTTACCTTTTCGCCATAACGTAGCGAATCATTGTATCATCCATTGAGCATTCGCTCCTTATTTCTTTGAGAATTATTTGACAAAAAGTAGTAGCAAAACAAATTCTAAAAAGGTTCAGGATCGTGTTTCGTTGCTACATTCATGAAACTGGATCTTTGCTTAGTTTTGTCAGATTACAAATGATCCTCCTGTAAAGACACGCAGGCAATTTCACGTAGCAATATCGTAGAATCATTCACAGTCGTCATCGCTTGAAAACGATAAACCTTTGGTGTCACAGCTTCGATTTCCTTTGCAAATGTTGTACGTTTTTTCGAAAATAGCAGCATAATGTTTTGTAGTAGCTTCCAAGTTGAAATAACTCCTTTTTCCATATATTATACTCATGCACAGCTTCTTTTTTCCATCAAAACGTATATTCCATGTTCAAATTCCAAACACTCGCCAATTGTTAAAATCATGAAAAGTTTCTACTATACAAGTTAAAAATAAGAATTCAGTATCATCTATTTCATAGTTTAGCCTCGTTTTCTCCCATACACGATTCGCCTACACGTAAACTGAGAGGTGCGACTCACTAGAAAAATTTGCCAAAAACCAAACACCTAACGCATAGCCAAAATGTCGACGACAAGCTGCCGAATGTACGAGAACCGCTTCCCTGAAGTGGATGAACTCGTTGTAGTCAATGGTAAGTTGTAAATTTGCGAATTTTGCTTTCCTACTTGGATAATTTGCCAGTTAACTGACTCGTAATGTTTAGTCCGTCAAATCCAGGAAATGGGTGCTTATGTCAAGCTTCTTGAATACGATAACATTGAAGGAATGGTTTTACTCTCTGAACTTTCCAGACGTCGTATTCGTTCCGTTCAAAAGCACATCCGTGTTGGCCGTAATGAGGTCGTCGTGGTTTTGCGTGTTGACAAAGAAAAGGGTATGCAAGAAATTAAAGAAAATTTTTTCTTTAAATGCTAACAAACATTAGGTTATATTGACTTGTCCAAACGCCGTGTCAGTCCTGAAGATGTAATCAAGTGTGAAGAACGTTTCAACAAATCCAAGGCTGTTCACTCTATCATGCGTCACATTGCTGAAAAGCACAATGTTCCCTTAGAAACTATGTATACCTCAATTGGTTGGCCCTTGTACCGTAGATACGGCCATGCTTACGACGCTTTCAAGTTGGCCATCTCGAACGCTGAACATGTGTTTGAAGGTTTGGAAGCTCCCAAGCCTGGTATCATTGATGACTTGTTGGGACAAATTTCTCGTCGTTTGACTCCTCAACCTATTAAGATTCGTGCCGACGTTGAAGTTACATGCTTTGGCTACGATGGTATCAACGCCATTAAGTCTGCTTTGAAGTCTGCTGAAGATGCTCGTACCGAGGAAGTCCCTATTAAAGTTAAGCTCGTTGCTCCTCCATTGTACGTTCTCTTGACAAATGCTCTGGACAAGTCTCTTGGTTTAAAGAAATTAGAAGAAGCCATTACCAACATAGAAAAGAGTATTTCCGCTGCTAATGGTACTTGTATCGTTAAAATGAAGCCTAAGGCCGTCAGCGAAACTGATGAACTTGAGCTTGCCGATCTCATGAAAAAATTCGAAAAGGAGAACGCTGAAATTTCTGGTGACGAAGAGGATGATCAAAGCGGTTCTGAGTAAATCCTATAAAACCAGCATAGTAAAAATTATGTCTCTTCCCCTTAACCATACGTTGTGAGTCCTTCTTTTGTGGGCAAACCGGTTGTATTGTTCTCTTTTTCTTCTTTTTTGTTCAAATTTGGAGATTTCATCTAGGGTGTAAATAATCTACCAACGTTAAATTAGCAATGAAATGTACTAGCATTGGTATGCCAATAGGTATGAAAATTCTTCCTTTCTCTTACGTAAAAGTATGCATAATAAGTATTCGACAGAGAAGATTGTTTATTTAGGATTACATCTCATTCAAACAACCATTAATTACAGAAAATTATTATTAGTACATGAAAAATTATCTAGTAGTAAAACAGAGTTGTGCAATCGCAATGCAAAACTGAATGAAATGATGCTGTTCTGAAATCTAGTCAATTTCTTATTTAGTTTCCAATTTTTTCACGGCATGCTTCGCAGTACCAAGTACCTTCTGGAGGTGCTCTTAGACCGACACACTCCATATGGAACCATTCTCGTTCGCAATCTTCATTATCACAAGCCACCATCTGACCATAAGATCCTTGCTGGCAGAAACAATATTTCTCGTTATCCTCCTCTTCCTGTTCTTCCTCATCTTCAGAAACCGCTCCACTGTACGCAGCAGCTCCGGCTTTGACGGGAGCTTTGGAAGCTGCACCAGAGGCTTTCTGCGTTCGACCGGTGCCAACGCCATCCACCATACCATACTGGAAGCCTCCATTTTGAGAGGTAGTCCGACCGAAAGCCGAACTTTGCCGCCGTCCAGCACCATGGCGAGCCTGTACCGGTGTTTGACGAGCACTCGAAACGCCAGCAGGGGAATACATGGAACCAGAAGAAAGAGATAAGTCATTTGCTTGACTTAATAATTCCATTGGGGTAAATCCAGGACCTAACTTAACAAGCTTGTCGTCCAATCGTTTTATATGTCTCATTAATACTGCTCGTGCGCGCTCTGCAAGTTGGACTTTTTCATTTTGAATACGGATGGCCTTTTCATAGTTTTCTCTTATAGCAGTGTAAAGAGACTCTTCTTTGGGATGAGGAATATGGGAACCTTGAGATTTGACATGAGATTGAATCTGTTGGTCCGCCGTTTGGATTTGTTTGCCCAGATCATGAAGCGCCATTTCCTTAACACCTATTTCATCAAAGATGTGCTTGGTCTCATCTGGAAGATTATCCAAGGACTGCAAATAATCTGTTAAAACGTAAACAGCCTCGTCAGCCATCGTTACTTTTCCTTTTTATGTATAATGAGTCGAGTCTCTGCCAGCTAAAAAAAAAATTTCCAATATAGATGAATAAATATTTTTTTCCACCATAGAAATTGAATCTTTAAGAATCCCAACGCTCACAAACGAAAAGCAAACCAGAGACAGGAAAATATCAATCAATTTGCAAGAGCAAAGATTTTCGTAAAAAAGATTTTGCTATTGTTGGTAGAAGACAAGAGAGCTTGTTTTAGCGGTCTCTTTTCTGGGCAGACTTCAAGGGAGGCGACTCTTTTTTAAGGTAAGCAAAGTAACTGCCCTTCAAAACACCTCAATACAAGTACAAGATGGATTAATAAAGGAAAACAGAAATTTACTAATATACAGAAAGAATAACAGGCCTCAAGCTCGTCTTATAAACTTTTTCGTTTCTTTTGACGATTTTTCTGGTGGTTAGTTTGGCCACTCTTCTGCACTACACAACGCAAAAGAATAAACAAAAAGCAACGACGAAAACCCTTCGCAGAAGAAACGTGTATGAATATAAGTATTATATCTCTATAGAGTCTTTTTCCTTTCTGTTTTCGTACATTCAAAAGCGTTTTCCAGCTGAATCTTTCTTTTTGAGAATATTCGTGAAACGTTCAGTAAACAGAATAACAAAGCCAGTGAAGGTCACTAAACGATTATCGCGATGTAACAGATAGTTCTGTAAACCAAACAGTTGTCAACTACACATTTCGAATTGTTTACAAGAAAGCATGAAAATGTGCTTTATCCTATAGATTTTGTCTGATATTTATTTTTAAACCTGTCTTCTTTATGTGAATATTGAGATTCTTTGGTTCAAGTTCCTTATAGTCGTGGATTTGTCAATTGACATTGTGAATACGTATTCATAAGATTTGGAAGCTTCTATTCTTGTTTTCTCGATAATTTTAGAGTCGGTCTTGGTTTGAGGAAAGCTCAACGTTCCTTTTTTTTCGTTTCTTTCTAGGAGCAACCTTGATTTGAGCCTGTTTATTTTCTGTTTGATTTCAAATCAATTATTTCAATTTTCATCCTTCCCTTTTCATAGGTGGTTTTTATCTCTTTTGTCTGGTTTTTATTTGTTTGTGTATTATTTGGGAGAAGAAAATGGTTTTAGAAGAGACGGATACTCCTTTCAAAGACGTCGAGTATGGCTCCTTCTTCAGCTTTCGCCCTCAAAAACGCAGGGTCACGTACCATCTAGATGAACAAGTGGGGAATTATCATTATGGTGACAAGCATCCCATGAAACCACATCGTATAACAATTGCAAATCACCTTGTGATGGGATATGGTCTTCATAATAAAATGGACGTTTACAGTCCCAGAAAAGCTACCTTTAACGAAATGGCTAGTTTTCATCGAGAAGATTATCTAGACTTTTTACAAAGAGTCACTCCCGACGATGCGGAAACGTACGCGGACACATTTCAAAATTTTAATATCGGTGCCGACTGTCCCATATTTGATGGTGTGTACGAGTTTTCCCAAAGGTCTGCAGGTGCCAGTTTAGATGCATCAAGGAAGTTAACTCAAGGACAAACGGATATTGCCATTAATTGGAGTGGTGGGCTCCATCATGCAAAGCGAGCGGAAGCTAGTGGCTTTTGTTATGTCAATGATATTGTTTTAGCTATCCTCAATATGCTACGATATTTTCCTCGGGTTCTTTATATTGATATTGACATTCATCATGGGGATGGTGTACAGCAGGCTTTTTATGAATCCGATCGTGTCTTAACCGTCTCGTTTCACAAATACAACGGCGATTTCTTTCCTGCAACAGGAAATTTTGATGAAAACGGAATTAAAGGCGGTAAGTACTTTGCAATGAATATACCATTAGATGATGGTATAGGTGATGATCAGTACACAAGCTTGTACAAATCTATCATCGAGCCGACGATTAATACATTTCAACCTTCGGCCATTGTGCTTCAATGTGGAGCTGATTCCTTAGGTTATGACAGGTTAGGTGTTTTCAACCTTAGTATTCGTGCTCATGGTGAATGTGTAAAGTTCACAAAGTCTTTTAACATCCCCATGCTTGTTGTTGGTGGTGGAGGATATACTCTTCGAAATGTCGCCAGGGCTTGGTGTTATGAGACCTCTATTTGCGTGGACGAATCGGTTCCTTCACAGTTACCAAAAGATACTTCTTATTATGAATTTTTTTCACCTGATTACACTCTGCATCCAAAATTAATAACCAAGATTGAAAATAAAAATTCACCCAAAATGTTAGAGGATCTTAGGATACGCGCGTTAGAACAACTACGCTATCTGGGTAGCGCTCCAAGTGTTCAAATGCAACAAATTCCTCCAGATTTAACTGGTCATTTAGACGAAGAAGATGAATGCCTTAATGATGAATTTCTTGATAAAGTATTAGATGTCCGGGTAAATGGGTAAACTCAGAGATATATTTGTTAGATTTATGATTGAATGACATGCCTTTTTTTTCTTCAAATACAAATACAAATACATTTATTTGACGTTCTTCAGGCAAATTGAACGTATACGATTTTTTTTTTTATAACCTGCATAAATGCAAAAATGTAGACCAAAATTAAATCTATGCGGCGAACCTGCCAGAATTATCTAATCCTCTCTATCTAAACGAACAGCAGGACCAGCTTGGATCAAGTCCAAATTAACCTTTGGTCCCATCAATTGGCGGATATCAGAAATACCGTACTTAATCATTGTAGGGCGTTCTAAAGAAAGACCGAAACCGAGACAACGAACATCCTTAGGAAGGCCCATAGGTTCCAACATCTCAGGTCTGAACATACCACTATTTCCGACTTCAACCCATTTGCCAAGTTTTTCGTGATAAGAGAAAATTTCCAAGGAAGGTTCGGTATAAGGATTGTAGGCAGGCTTGAAGCGTAAGTTTCGAACATTCATTTTTGCAAAGAAGACTTCCATGAAACCAATTAAATCTCCAAGAGTAAGGTTTTTATCACAAATGACACCTTCGACTTGATGAAATTCAGCCAGATGTGTAGCATCAACGGTCTCATTGCGGAAGACACGATCGATAGAAAAATATTTTGCAGGACGGAAACCGTTTTTAGCAAGCTTATACAACATATTGCCTGAAACAGCAGTGGTATGGGTACGAAGAATAAGCTTGCGAGTTTCTTCTTCTGACCAGGGAGCACGATAACCAATACCCTTTGTTTCGCCTCCATTCTCATGGGTGGCCTTGACACGAGCAACATAATCAAGATCAGGTAACTTGTCTGTAAAAGCAGGCTTCTTCAAAAAGAAAGTATCCTGAACATCACGAGCAGAGTGCTGCTGAGGAACGAATAGAGCATCAAAGTTCCAGAAACCGCTATCAACATAATTGTTGGTGGGCATTTCTTCGAAACCTAATTCAAAGAAGAATTTGCGGAATTCCTCACGAACTTTCATCAAAGGGTGCAGACAGCCACCGTTAGGAGGAATACCTTCAGCAGAAAAGTTGTAGTCTTTGAATTTGGCATTTTCCCAAGAACGAGAAGTTATCATCTCAGCAGTCAAATCAGTATTCAGCTTTTCAATGCGAAGAGAAAAGTTCGGACCCTTCTTTAAAGAAAAGTACATTAGCTTGTTGCGTTCTACCAATTTACGCTTTTTCAAATCATTAAGGACCTTTGTATCTTTGTGGCTACCAAGTTCTTTGATTTCAGCCAACAACTTGGGTGTACTATCCTCAACAGAGTCAGTCTAAATAAATGGTTAGCAAAACATAACTGGGAATAATGAATTTAACTTACGTTTTTCACCAGTTTGTCTCCATCCTTTTTGATCCAACCAAGCTTAAAAGCTCTACCTTGACCAAGACCAGCTGTATTTCCTAATTTATCCTAAAAAAGTTAGCTAGAACGTTCCATAAATATTTTATTCGTCTTGTTTCATCAGGACGTAGAAGAGTGCTTGGTTTTGATTTCATCTCAAAAAGCCAGTGCCATTTCTCTATTTAATGTGCACGTAGAGCTAAGAACGAAATCCATAAGTATAGATTCATTCTTTCAAATTCCTCTGTTCAACAACGTACCTTCAACTCACCAATGCTGAGACCACTCATAGAAGCACAGATTTCGTTAAACACTTTAGCCTCATGCGATCCGTTTTTTAAGATTTCTTCACCTTCTGCAGTTAAAGTGTAAACCTCAACATCATGACGCTCAAATTCAACCATGTTTCTTGCTGCCAAAGACAAAATTGCCGACTGAGCATCTTGAACGGTCAGCTTTTTTCCTTCAAACTCTAGATGACTAGTGTTTGCAATTTCATTTTGTTCGTCAAGCTTTTTAAGTAGAAGAACCTGAAGTGCTTCGACTTTTGACATCCTGTTGGTCTTGTGGTGTTGGCAGTTGGTAAATTTCCAACCGTGCAGGATACCTCACCAAGATTCCAATGCTCCCTTTTCTTCTTTATAAAATAGAACTACTAGAATTTTACTTTGATAAATTAAACGACATGTCTTCTCTTTGACCTTACTTCATCAGACTTTTTCGAGGAAATTTTTCAATAGTAGTATGAAAACTACAACAACAATCGAGCAAGAATTACTTGTCTATATTGTCTTTGGAAATCTTTCAAGACTTTGTATTCTACATTGAATAATGTAAATCCTGATCTGTTTGCTTTTCTGACTAAAAGAGCTTTTAGCGTTTACTACCTCTAGTATTATTCATTTGATTGCTTTACAAGATATAAACCCAAACATTATATTAAAATCATTAGTAAGGAGCAATACTTAAACTATTCAGCTAAGGTCTAACAAACCAAGAATAAATTCACTTTCCTTTAGGAATTGTTACTGTACAAGTAAAGAGCGAAAAATTACAAGCAAAAATTTTGTCAACCGGTCCCCATTCATCATCCATATCTTTGGTATAACTAGATGACTCTGAAGAAATACCTCATTTACTGGAAAATTGGGTTTTTTGGACGGTAAACTCTGCGTCTTCAATTGACCGAAGAATGTTTTTGAAACATTTAACAGTCGTGAAGGCAAGATCAGTGAGCGGAGGAATCGTAGAATCGGAAGGCTGCTCATGCCTCTCGTATTCACACAACAGCATACAACTTTTCCGTAATTCTTGTAAGGATACATGAATAATTCCAAACGCATTACGGTCCCTCATCATCTCCAAAGGAGCAGAAACATCAAATAAAGTATCTCGGATAATGCTGGTTGAAATGTGAATGAGTTGTTGCACTTCATAAGTAGCTCTGCCATCGCTGATGGCATTCAACACTTGTTGATTTACTTCATTGTATCGTCTTGTTTTATCAGCAAGTATAACCTTGGCAGCAGATAGGGCCTTTAAGTCATCAACCGGATGCAGAGAAGTCCTTGCATAAGAAGCAATAGATTTACCTGAGTCCAACAGACCATACTTTTTCACAATCTCCAACAAAGCAACACTAATTGAACAGGCAGAAGCATCGATATGGCCGATTGGCAATGCACCATTAGAACTAGTAACTCGAACTTGTTGCATCAAATTATTAGTAAAGGTACATAAATCATCTATGCTACTACGTAAATCTGGTAGCTCATCCGAAAGAGCTGCCTCTCGAAGACTGGAAACAATAGCCTCAAGCGTTAAGGCAAGATCCTTAGCAGTCAACATCCACTGCGAAGGGTTATCTTTCCTCAAAGATGACACAAATACATTCATCTCCACGAAATAGCGAACGTACAGTTGTTCATCTACAATACCCTTAGGAGATATCAATTCACGAACCGTTTTCATAGGAACAGTGTTCATTGTGAATAAACGAACATCATCATCAATTTTGGAAGCTTTAGCATTGATAGCAATTCTTTTCCAGCGTTCTGTTTCACCCTTTTGAGCTTCAAATGATTTTTCCAATTCATTTATGTGATGCACCTTTGCAGTCTCTGACAAGATGAGCCCTTGCATCATCTTCAAGCTTCTTTCAACTTCGGAGTCCAAGCCTCCAGGAGAAGAGCTTCTTTGATTTTGAGCTTCTTTCAATTTTTCATTCAAAGTCGTGACGTGCAAAGACATTTCATGAAGTTTCTCCTCCATGTTAAATAATTGGCCTTTATGGTGAACAGCTTCAGAATTCAGTTTCGTTTTCAAGGCCTCTAGTTCTGACTTTGAAATATCCAAAAGAGAGTTTGATTTGGCGAGACTGTTCTCCAACATTTCAATTTTAGCTAAATACTTGGATGGTGAATCCTCTGTCTGCGGCACTGGTGCACGATGAGGACTCTTTGGTGTAGCATCGGGAACCATAGGCAAAGCATGTGATGACGGGGATGGTGTTTCGCGGCTCGCTTTTTTGGGGTAGACAACATTCGGCGAGCTCGTAGTTCTGCGATCTAATGGATGTAAAGAAGAAGATGAAGGTCCCTCAATTTTGGAGCCATGGGCTGCTTGGGTACTCCTTTGGGAAGATAGTTGAGGGTGTGAAATAGTTCGATTAGGTTGGGCCATAGTCGGTGTTGTATCAACTTCCTTAAGTGCGTTATTATAGCGAGCCTGCACTTCGAAATAGACATCCATACATAAATCCCTGAGCCGAGAAGGAGCCAGACTAGCTAGTTTCTGACGAGCATGGTTACGCTTTGGATGATATGATTCCACAGGAGGTAAGAACGGAACTAAATAGATATTAGTATTCTCATTGATCAGAAAAAAAAATTATCGGTTACCTTTCGGATCATTATTGATCCTTCTTTGCAATTCGTCGGCAACGTCTGTTAAAAGTTCACTAAATTGGACATGAGACAATCGCTGAAGCTTTTCACGAGGTCTTGCATTAGCATTTCGAAGTGTAGGTTCTGAAGCATCTGTTAGCATCCTCTCAAAACGGTTGATCGAAAATAAGAAGAATGAAAGGCTTACCTTTGAAGAATTCAGGTTCCAGGTACTTTGCAAGAAAGCGGTACTGACGAATAATGATATTTTGCATTTTATGGCAGTTCTGAAAAGGGAAGAAGGGCGTTTAGTCAAGTACTGAAAGATAAAAGTGAAAAACAAAATCTCCCTTCAACCCTTATAATATCCTGAAACAACTGAAGTAATGAAAAAGAAGGAAGTTGCAGTCAACGTTGCGTTTTCAACACAAGAGTACCCTAAAAGGTGCAAAATTCCTTTACGGATAGTTACGTTAACGACAAACAAACGAAGGGCGTCAGATATTTAATAATCTCAAGATTCTCGATTTAAGATCAGTTAGGCAGAAAGAACTTTTCATACAGACATCACCATGAAAAGGACGCAGGAAATTTACAGGAAGTTGCTGTGCATTATAATCCACTACCGATTCCATAACATAACGAGGCGAAACAAAGCGTTACGAAATTGTATGATACCAACGAGGTGGAACGAACTAGCATAGTACGTATACTGAGCCGTAGGAATAAATTCATTAAAAGAAATGAATCGTGTAAAGAGCAGGAAGAGTTGGGTGTTTTGCTTGCCATTCAGCCATTACGTTAGTAAATTCATCTTCAAAAGAGTCCTTAGCATCATTAAGCCGCTGCACAAGATCGAGAATGGCCTTGCCTCCAACACTGGCTTCTTCGTGGTTATCTTTGATGTCGACATTAATTAAGTATACAGGTCGACTCTTCGATTCGCCTCGACGGTACAAGTCTTCACAAATCGCATCATAACAGCGTTCTTCACAAGTAATCACCACATCGTAAATTGACTCTTGGTCTTGCCAGCGATTCGGAGCACGTTTGATATGTCGATTCCGGTCTAACATCTTGAGGAGTCCATTCGCCGTGTAGAGACGAGAATCCTGAGACTCCAATTCTTTGTAAATGCTGTCATAAGGATAACCAAATGGGTAAATGTTCGGCTTATCGATACTGGGACCCGGAAGGCGTACTGCACTTCCTGTACCAAAAGAGTCAACCTGGTATCCAGCATTTCTACCACATTGATTGTTAGCAAGCTTTTTTTAACTAAAGAAATATCCTAAGCTTTCATACTTGAGCAAATTGTGTGCCTCCATACTCCGGTTTTGATTTGAAGCACAAATCACACTGATCTCGAGTTGTGTATTTGGAGCCATCGTTTTCTGTCAATTTCAACAGTAAGCTGATAGAAGTTCTGATTTCTTATTCTTTATCCCAAATTAACCAAAAAACGCGTAATTCCTCCTGATTTTCAAGTTTTATTTACACTGTACTGTGTGTTACATACAGAAAGCGTGATGCTCTTTCTCATTGTTTCCCTAGAATAACGCACTATGACATCCAACGCTATGCATATAATATAATGCAACGATGTAGAGAAATGTGACTGCTTTTGAGCAAAATAGTTCTATATATTGAGATTTTGGTTTCTACACAAACAAACGCGATATGATGACTTTTGGCATTTGTCCAAAGGATGCAAACTCAGTCATTGAGTTTGTACCGCTGTAGACAAAACCCAAGCTACCTTATAACTTTTGTCTGATCGTGTTTTTTTGTTAGAATTTGTAATGGTTTTAGGATAGAGTGGTATAGTTTTACAGGAGCTATGGAAACCACAAAATAAAAAATTGTTTGATGATTACCCGCTGTTTCGAAAAGTAAAAGTAATAACAAAATAGAAAATAGGATCTGAAAGCTTATCAGTTGAACACGTGTATGTACGATATTTTAAAGTGACTTCCGTCTATAATTATTATGGTTTATACAGGGAGCAAAGCTAAAACATTTTCGTCATTTCTTCTCTTCTTTTACTTTATCGTGCAATGTACATTAGAGTCTCGTAATCCCAAAATGTCATTCATGGAACAAGTTTAAACTACAGTGCCTGCATTGGAAGCAATACGAGGCCAGAGATCAGCACACTCCTTGGCAACAGGACCAGTGATGGCAGAACCCTTCATTTCGCCCTTGGGGTTGACAATGACACCAGCGTTGTCTTCAAAATAAAGGAAGACACCGTCCTTACGGCGCCAAGCCTTGCGTTGACGAACAACGATGGCAGGCATAATCTTCTTACGCAAGTCAGGCTTACCCTTCTTGACGGTAGCAAGGATCATATCTAGAAATTGCATTAGCATCAATATCGTCTTTTGTTTATGGAATCGAGTCTAGGAAAAGAGGTTTACTACGAGAGAGCATTTTTTGGTAACATATCCCAGCATTGCAAAATAAAATTGCCAATTTTGCAAAACTCTCATCCGTTTCATTCAAAATACTTACCACCACAACTGGCAGCTGGAAGACGGTTAAGACGAGCACCAGTACCGAAAACGGAAACAATGTAAAGGTTCTTGGCACCAGAGTTATCAGCACAGTTCAAAATGGCTTGAACAGGAAGACCCAAGGTCATCCTGTACTTAGTACCGGAAGCTGCACCGCGTCCACGAGACATCGTTATGTTGTGTAGAGTAGAAACTTGCTATCCTTGTTTTGTGTTTGGTGTGACTGTCTTTCATTTTTTGGCATTCTTTCCTTCTTCTTCGCAAATCGTTTATAACGGAGTGCAACGGAGGACCTTGTTAGTTGTGTAAAGCAACAATATGTAAATAAAAACAAAAGGCAAGAAAAGCTGATGCTTTCAGAAGTCTGTAAATTACTGAATGTCATCTAGGTTGAGTATAGGAAATCAGATAAAAAATAGATTACGTCCCGATCAAAATCAAAAGGAGCTAGAAAAAGGAAAGCCGAAATTCTGGTAACCAATTTTCGTAATTAATGAATAGAACATTTTATCCTGTGTCTTTGGATTTTCTACGTATCGAAGAACTCAGTGCGTATCTAACAATGTAATCTTTAAAGTCCTCCATGAATTGGTAAGACTGTCCCTGTTGCATATGAGTTTCTTAACAAAAAAGTGCATGCGTCTGCCACCTCATCAGTAGAAGCTAGACGCCCTAGTGGAACACGTTGTTTCGCGATTCGACGCATCTGTTCATTCAACATAGAGGTGTCCGTGTAGCCTGGTGCAACAGCATTCACCCGAATTCCCCGGGCGGCAACTTCGGTAGCCAGTACTCTTGTAAATGCCTCCAATGCTGCTTTCGATGCTGCATAAGCACTCGTCCCAGGAAGAGAGTAGTTGGATAACCTAGAAGACAGGAAAAGAATAAGTCTGTCTTTTGGAGCTCGTTGCCGCAACCAAATAGATACAGCAATCTTTGAAAGTTTCATAGGAGCCAACAAATTTGTATTTATGATATTTTCCATTTCATTGTCGCTAGTACGTACACAAAGGCTTGTTTGAGTAATCCCGGCAGCATGTACAACTGTGTCAAATGACTCTTTTTCAACAAGATTTGAGATGCTATTCATGTCCGTGCAAATGTCTGCCACAGTATACTTATGCAGCTGACCCTGTAAACTGGACAATGTGCGAAGTGTATCTTGGAGCCTTTCCTCATTTCTGCTTATTAAATGGCATTGATGACCTTGTTGACTCCATACTTGAGCAATTCGTTTTCCTATTCCACTACTTCCACCTGTTATTAAAACTCTGCGCATAATTTAAAATGAATAGTTTACTTTTTTCATATACTCAATATATCCAAAAAGTCTTTACATTTAATCAATTGAATGAAAGATTCAGTGGGAGTAGTAAACTCAGACAGCACAGTATGCCGATGAGTGAATAATCGAACCTGAATCGCTTTAAAGATGATAGAATAAAGCTGCTGTCTACTATGCATACAGAATGATATATTTAAAGAAACAAAAATTTACTACAACACATATAGCTTGTACGATAGGGAAATAAACAACATCTAACAAACATATCCAACCCGTGGTTCATAAAAGAAATCTCGGCCTTAAGTGAATAATCGTAAAAAAGAAGACTATGAAATGTAATACGTATCTCAAAGACCATGAGACTTGCATAAACGACGTAATTCTTTTGAAATAGAATATAGCCTCAAAGTATTAAGGGAGAAAAAAAATTCAATTCTTTACTTCATTTCAACCATGACCATTAGATTTGTAGCAAAAACATTAACTGAAATGAACATTCTCTCACTTTCAATTTCATCGTGAAACAGCGCTCGACAAAATTTACTCACCTTAGAATAACTATACAGCTCAGTAATTAGCGCAAAATCAAAGAAAAATGTTAGTCTCTTAATTTAGAAGCAAGACAGCTTTTGGACGGTTCTGACTTTGAAGGACGAGACGGGGAAGTAGGTTCCGTATCGCTGCTACCATGCACCAGTTTTTTGGACCATTTCACTTTGCGCTTTGAATTAGAGGGTGATTTTTTGGCATCAACATTGACAGGCTTCTTATTAGCGGGATCGCTTCGTCTTTGGGAAGGTTGGGCACCATTTTCCTCTCCGAACGGCTTCCTTCTTGACAAAGGGTCAACATTATGCACATCATTTTCTTCAGCTCGTTCTTGCGGACTAAAAATTTTATCAGGTGCTCCCGAGCTTTTTACATTCCTTTGTCGCAATGCTTTTTCTCCATGATTGCCATCCGAGGAAGTTAATTCTTTTATCTTCTTTGAAAAACTTGTCTCCCCTTTTGCGTGAGGAACTGCATTGATCTTTGCGGAATGATCTGAGGCCAACTTTGTTTGCCTTGATGAAGCCAAAGCTCTTCGGATGGCGGGGCTTGCTTCCATAGCAGCCAACCGCCGAGGCCGGCCTAAAATAGAGGGAAGTTTAGGTGGTGGACTGGGAGAGGCTGGGGTAGGAGAAACAGGCTCATTCTTAGCACGTAGTCTTTTTCTGGAAGGTGGTGACAAAGGCGTACGTAACGGGGAACGGACTGGGGAGCGTAAAGGTGGAGAATGAATAGAAGATGTACTTAATTTCGGAGAATTTTTTAGTTCCACCCTTGAAGGTGGAGAGTTAAGCATGGATCCTGTTTTGGTAGGACTTGGAACTCGCGAAGGAGTTCCAAGGACAACACGACTAGAACCGTTTTCATCTACAAGGAAAAGATTGTTTTTCCGTTTTGAACGAGCCGAAAAAAAGTTGTCTTGTTCAAGGATTCCAGGCGGTGTTAATGTCGAAGAAGGACTTGAAGGCATCTTTGGAGTAGATGTCGGATTTTGTTCATTACCAGCTGTTTTGGTTGGAAGAAAGGTCTTTGGTGAAGGAGAGCTATCTGAGGAAACGTCTCGTTTCTTTGAAGGCGTAGAAGTTTTCTCTTGAAGGGAACTGATAACGGAAGGGGAAGTAGCTTTTGATGGACTCCCTACTCGTGGAAATGAAGAGGATGGTGGTTTAAAGGGAGACAAAATCCGAAGAGGTGATGAAGCCAAACTACTGTGAAATGAAGGACGACCGTGCACGGAGACGGATGATAAAGGAACGGATGGGAGACTCAGAAAAGGTGTTATATCCGTATTCGAAAAGCGTGAAGATCCTGACATAGTGAAAGCTTATAAATGGAAAGAGAATGAATGATCCTGAACGATTTAAATATGAGTAAACAAATAAAAGACGACGGTGAAGAACTCGTTGAAGTCGAAAAGAAATGTAGCAATGTAAAGCAGCAGTACACTTTTATGGTGCCTTCTTCTTTCTTTTCTTCTTTCAAGAAACCTTAAAAGAGCAAAAAAAAAAGACTAAGGATGAAGGCCTTTTCAAAGGCGAAAACAAGCAATTTCGGAGCCTACTCAAGGATTTCCAATATTTAGGGAAATACTGCCTCGGTGAGAGCAAGAAATTGATAGATTTATTTAATAAATAGGGCTAAATATGGGAATTCGAAGTTGTGAGGGTTTTGGTTAGTGCGCTTCAAAATCACATAACTACACTGGAGATAGCAAAGGATCAGACTCAGATTGAATGTAAACAAGGAAACGAAGGGAGCTAGGTTGGTGGAATAAGGGCTGCTTAATTTTATCTAAATTTCTTAAAAAGTTAAAGATATTGTTTTAAGGCCTTGCGAGATGTTACATATGGAATAGCAAAACTACCCGAGCCAACATTGTGCTTTACCAAACGTACCTCAGCTAGCAGGGAAAGCTTTAATAAATGGATTGAGACATATAACAAACCAACTTCCGTCCCATACCAGTTCCTATGTAGATATTAAATATCAAGGATAGGTTTGCTATGTCTTGTCTGACTTGTTGTACACAGTATGTCGTCTTTTGCCAAACCGTTCTGTCTACTAATGCTAGTCAATCATTTTATACTGAATTGGCCTGTATGGTAATAAAATATATTAAAAAGACCACTTTCGTCAAGATTTCTTTCAATGTTTCTACTAAACTACAACCAGCCCATAAATTACGGTCCATATAGACATGAATGATCCCTTCTAATTAAACCTTGTTTTATAAAGTCAGTGTAAGAGGTGTATAAGATCGCGACTCTTTCTTTTTTCGCTTTCTTTCAATGTTGTCGCATTTGAAGCAAATATTGATAATTCTTCTTCGCTTACCCTAACTTAAATGTCCAATACGGGGTTCTCCTTAATAATTCTAATCGAACTTTTCGATGTCTAGTTTCTTTATTTTTTACTTAAATTTAATAAAAAAAAATGTAGACAATAATCTAGAAAATCATAATATAGTCCAGCAAAAGAAATCGTATATTACCATTCTTAACATATTCGCTTAACGGTAGATTATTGCTGACGTAAATTGTCACCCACTTATGAAACCAAGAGAACAAAGCTACTTTTGATGGTTACGATTGGCACAGCAAGACGGTGGACTTGGGTTCATTCAATGGAAAGAAAAAGAATGATAGATGCCGGCTATGGGTTTGATGCATACACTGCGAATACACCGAAAAAAATATGAATCATTTTATTCTATTGACGTCTCTCTGTATATTCCCTGTATTCAGTTAGCATCATCTCCTGGAACCAGTTGATGACGATAAATATAGATACATCATGAATTGGATCCCTTTCAAACTTAACAACTACCAACCTCCCCTTGATTTAAACTGCATTTGCAAGTTTGTTTCGTTGAGCCTGTAAAGACAGTTGGTAAATTTTTGTAATTTTTTTTTGATCTAGGTTTGATTATTTGTCCTCGGGACTTATACACGCTTCCATTCAAGAACCATGTTGCGCTTTGCTTCCAAGAACGCTACTCTTTTTGCTCGTAACTTAACCGTCTCTGGTGCTAGACAACTTCATGGCAAGGCCTCTTTACCCCCTTTGCCTTATGCTTACAATGTAAGTAAACACTTATTGCTTGTGATATATATATACGCATCTTTTTTATTAGAATGTTTGTCTTCTAACCTGTCCTTTTAGGCCCTTGAACCTGCCATTTCAGAAACCATCATGAAATTACATCATGATAAGCACCACAACACCTACGTGACCAACTTAAACGCTGCTCAAGACAAATTGTGTCAGCCTGACTTGGACTTGAAGTCAGAGATTGCTCTCCAAGCCGCTATCAAGTTTAACGGTGGTGGTCATATTAACCACTCCCAATTCTGGACCATCATGGCTCCTCCTAGCGAAGGAGGTGGTAAGCCTATCACTGACAGTTCTTTGCACAAGAGCATCGTTGAGAAGTGGGGATCTCTTGAAGACTTCCAAAAGGAAATGAATGGTGCTCTTGCCGCCATCCAAGGTAGTGGATGGGCCTGGTTGGTCAAAGACAAGGAAGGTAGTCTCCACATTACTAGCACCCAAAACCAAGACACCGTCATCAACGCCAAGGTTATCATTGGTATTGATGCTTGGGAGCACGCTTATTATCCTCAATACGAAAACCGCAAGGCTGAATACTTCAAGGCTTTCTGGACTGTTATGAATTGGAAAGAAGCCCAACGTCGTTATGAAACCAATTAAGTTAAGTCTCTCTTTTTTGCTTGATGTGGATGCTCACCAGCTTTTTCATTCGGCGCAGTCTTCTTAAATGACACAATAAAGTTCAACGAATCTTTGTTGGGTTTGTCTAGCCTCAGCGACCTACTAGCCCCCCTGTTTTGTTATAAACTAAAAAAAAAAGAAAACGCACACAATTTTTCTAACGTCACCTTTGTAACGTCCTTTTAAGAAAAATCTAAATAAGATTTTATTAACATTTTTGAATTCTAGTTTAGTAAACGAGATAGTTTGCTGACATGATTATTTGAGACCAGGCCATATTAATAAATGTAGAAAAACCGTTTCACCCAATTTTAATAATAAAAAAACCATGAAAGACTGACTACATAGAAGAACGTCGTCAAGAAGGCCAATGATTTGGTGGTGATTTGAAAATTGCAATAGTCATTGAATGCATCAAGTAAAGGAATAAAAGGCAGCTTCATTTAATATTAGAAGCAAAATACATAAATACCATGCTGTCAGAAGCATCTACACGGGATAGGTAATGACGAAAGCGGAAGAGGAAGTAAGGAAACAAAAAGGAATGACATATGAGTTCTAAGATTCGTAAGACTGCTGTTCCAATAGAAGCTCAACAGCCCGCTGAACATCGTTGGTTTGTGACAAGGCTTGGACAGCTTGCGTTCTTGTTGTTTGCATAATAATTTGAACAGTTTCAACGTCTTCTTCTCTCACACCAGCCAATTCAGGACGTTCCGACCGACCGCTAATCATATCATACAACTGAGACGCAGGTCCCGGTGGCAGAACAGACGCAGAAGACTGACGAGTAACAGAAGGTCGATTTCGGGAAGAAACGTTTCTTGATGAGCTGGATGTGAAACCTGCTTCAGCGGCAGGATAAGGTGTATTTTCTCTTTGAACATTTGGAACAGTTGCAGAAGCCGTTTCATCTGTATCAGGTGCATCTGCTTGACGATTTGCATTAATATTGGTCGAAAACGCAGAAAATAAAGTAGAGGGATCAAACTCCAAAGATGCTTGGGTATCGGCATGGGGTGGACGAATGAATATATGAGGCGACGAAGAAACGGAAGGCACAAAGCGAGCTGGCAGACGCCAAGATGTATAGGGAAGCAAGCCATGATAATAAAACATTCCCATTGTCCATCCAAAGAGGGCGTTGAAGAGTGAACTAGGAGAGTTGAACAATGCTAATCCCATCAGAGGGAACAACATTTGAATTTTATCTGTGATTGAAATTTCAAAAAAGCGAATATAAATCGTAGAGGGAACAATGTAAAAGTATTGATAGAGGATGGCGAAAACAAGAAACGTAGGACCAGGGTGAACGTATTCGAAGCTACGGAATAAGTAGGTTAAGGGAAAACAGAGAAGTGGAGTCAAAAAGGTTCCTAATACAAACATATAAGTACAGAATGAGGCATATTTATGAGCTCCTAGCAACCGTTCTACATCTCGTGCTTGATACAGTATGAAGAGAGCCTGTAATACCTCCGTCGAGTTCCAGTACACCAATTGCCAAATGAAAACTCTCCAATACTATTAAATGGTTAGATATCTAACTGAAAGTGCTCCAAATGTTGTTTGTAGTAGCTAGAGGTCATCTAACTCGCAAATAAGTAAGTACCTGATAATAAGATGCTAGATGCAAAGTATAATTGACATGAAAATAGGGCTTCAGCCCAAAGACCCCCGCCACAACTGCAGCGGTAGAAATTCCAATTAACAGATATTTCGTAATCTCCATATTCGCAGGAACTGATCATAGCACACCAGTTAGCTTTTCTGCCAGGATTATGCAACGGTATTCCTTCAATTTGAAGACTTTTCGCTTCCACGCCATAACTTGGCTCTAAACTTACCAATATTACTGCTACTCGTCATGATGGCTCTGGAATTGCTTTGCTTTTTTAAAGCAGATGGCCAACCCTTGGCCTGGCTGAGGATAACGAAGATTGTTATGAATCGTTAAGTTGGAAGAAGAATAAAGAAAACAGACAGGAACAAGTCGAAAAATGAGTTTATGTAGTATGTTTTGTTTTATACAGCTTGTCAGTAAAGTAAAGCATCCAGCTAGGCTCTACTTGTGAACATCAATCCATAGAAAAAACGTATAAAAATATCATGCATTACCAAAAAATCATAATCTCATATCAACAGAATAAAAGTAGGTTTATCAAGAGGGACGAGGTTGATTCAAAAGGGTAGGGATCTCTTCAAACCCAATAGGTTGAAACACAGCGTCCTCTGTAGCACCAAAAGGTTTCATCCAGATAATGTCATTTTTCAAGTAAACAGTCATAGATCGAGACTTTGCAGCCTGAGCAGAAACTCTAAAAAGAGCATTTCCACTAAGTGGATGTGACTTTCGTAATGGAACCAACAGGAAACCATGATCACTGCAGTACTCTTCAACGATCTCTCGAAAACTAACGGTTTCTGGAGCCTGCCGAATACTTTCATCTCGCAGTTGATTTGCTAACTTCTGCGCATTCAGTTTCTTTTCGTTGGCATCCAATTTCTGTTGAATTTGTGCGCCCACGTAATAAGTTGGCGGAGTAATCGTTTTGTTTTCCAAAGATTCGTTCATCATATCTAAACCTTTGGAAAATCCTTGCTGTACATAAACATTTGCTGCTACATCCTCTGGGAAAAAAGACTTCCACCATCTATACCATTCGCTAGCTTCTTCAAAGTTGGGCGAAATCGTAAGCCATTCATACAAAGTCATAAGCCATTTCGAAAAAAAGTGGTCGACTAGTAACTTTCCAAACACAGTGGCTCGGAATGCATCTTTCCATGAAAGGACAGTCAATATCACATTCATGTCCTGATTAGAAGGGTCAATCACTAATTTTTCTTGCAAAAACCGTTCCAGCTTTGGCAGGATTGTCTTTTCCAATATACGATCTAGCATATCATCCGTGAATGCAAATCGCCAAACGCTAAAATCATCTGAAGGCCCAAACTCAATATTCCATCCAGAAAGTACCTTTGACAGACGTGTCAAAACCACGGACAAAAGTTCATCAGAAAAATTCCCTAGATACGGTAACCATGGAAAAATCCAGTGATGCAAGGAGTCGGCGGATCTCTTTCGTAATCTCGTGGATGGTTTCCATGAATTTATCTCTTCTTGAAGTTTTGGGAGAATAGTATCCTTTATTAATACTTCCTTGACCTTAGATGGTACTACGACATCCCAAGCTTCTAGTAACTGTAACGCAGTTGATGTATCCCGGCTACTCCAATGGTCCCGAAAAGCTTGAGAAACCCTTGTTTCCCACAGTGCCATAATTAGTGATTCATAATGAGTGAAATTTGTTTGGCCTGCTTGATTTTCATCCATTTCCAGTTCTATATCCATAAAAGTATCAGGACGTTCTGTCTTTGGGCGATACACATTGGATTGAAGAGAATTTCTCCAAGACAAGAAATGCTCCAACAAAAAGTAAGGATGTCTAAAAACATTCCAATTCTGAAAAGGCTCCGATAGTACAGCCACTAAAATGCTAACAGCGACGGAATCGAGTTCATAATGCATACTAGGTTCAGCAAACTCGACAGGGAGCGTCTCGATCAGGTACGTCAGAGGCTGTATTGCTTTTTCTAATTCATCCACTGATTCATTAACATTTTCTACAGTCAGATTATCAACACCAGCATGGATATCGCTAACCTTTTCAAGTAACTTTTCCAAACGACTAATTTCCATGTTTTTTTGATCATACTCATTCGAAATCCGTTCTTTTTCCATTCTAATATATGCTTTTCGGGCTTGGAGCTGCTGCCAGTTTACTACATAATTTTCTGACTCCACACGAGCTAAGCGGGAAAGTTGGTCTATCAATTCGTTGAGATTTTTTTGATTTACTTCAGTTTCACCTTCAGAAAGGGCTGAAGTTAGCTCTATTCTCTTCGTATCATGGATACCAGCATCTAGGAGACTTGCAAGGGCAGGTGGAAGCGAGAAGTCACCTAAGGCGTTCGACAATTCAGAAGAAGATTTCAAATTCTCTCGATTCTTCTTCTTCATCATTCTTTCTCTTTCTCGTTTCTGGTGAACCTCTTCATCTTCACTGTCCGAAATTTCTCCACGAAGAACAGCTTCGCGTCTTTCTTTTTCCGTTCTTTCTCTAACTGCACCTAAACCAATTCTTTCTGGGCGTAATTTAGATTCCACGGGGGCCGCTATACCTTCGGCGTTCGCTCCTAAACCTTGTCCCTTTTGATATCCCATTTTCTCTAGCATTTTTGCACCAAAACCTGTAGTATTAAACTTCATCCTTGGTATCTCTTTTTCCCGCTCTGTTTCTTTTCTGGGAGCATTATGAGTTCCCTCGAGTAAATCACTGGAAGTTATCGTTTGTTTTGACTTGAGCTGTTCATTTTTGCCAACGAACCTTATATTCTTTGGACGAACACGGAAATTCTTTAGCTCGGGATTGTAATATCCGTCTTCTTCCTCATCACTGCCAAAAACGCCCAACATGGCGCGTTCCTTTTGTTGAGAGCGTCCCTCGCGTGTCCATTTTCCTCCTAACCCAGATCGGCGAGTACCTAAATCAAATTCCTCTTCAAACTCTTCAGATGAAATGTCACTCATACTGAAAATTCACTAAACATCTCGCTTGCAATTACTTGCAGCTGGAATCATGATCATTTACTTCGTTGAAATTACAAGGTCTATAGTTTCGTTGAACCTCACTAAATAGTTTTATCTAGAAGTAAGATATTTCGTTACAAAACAAACAGAAAACAATCAAAGGCTGAGGTTCTATTCCGCATCAATGTCCATCAACATCTTAAAAACCTTTGAAATACCAGTAAGAATCGTTACAGGAATTTTATGACAAATATAGTTCTCTATATAGATTATTTTATTGTAGGAAATTACATAAACAAAAATTCACAAAAAGTTGATCGTAAAATACAAACTTTAGACTGTACATATATGTGAAAAGAACTCATCACTTTAGTTTCTTTGTAGTTGAAGAGGAATCTTCATTTTCAGCATTCCATCGAGGACGCTTTAAGGAAGAGTCACCAGAAATTGACTGATCACCGTTAGGTTCCACTCTAGACTCACCAGTTGTTGGAGCTATCGTGTTAGACTTGTTATCTGTTTTTGGTTGCGTTATTTCAACTGAAGAGCTCTCTTCCTTTTCGGCATTCTTCTGCAGTTGTTCTCGAACTTTAGCTAAATTCTTTTCAAGCATGCTAAGTTTTAACTTGTTTCTCATTTCCAATTCAGTTCTGAGGTTCTTCAATTGTCTTTCATGAGTCTGCTTGGTATCCTCCTGAATTTTTCTCATTAGTTCTTCTTGACGTTTTCTCCATTCCGTCTTCACCGTATCGGAAAACTCGGACTCAGAAGTTACTATTTTCTCAAGGGGCTCTTCAAACACAATCTGAAAAGTACTGGAAAGCATGTTCTCCTTTTTTTTTTAGAAGAGCTGTCAAATTGTGCTCAATAGATGCTTTTGAATCTCCTGAATCACTCGTGTCTCGTACCTGCGAGTCTAAAGACGCACGCAACTTCCCTATTTGCGTTTCAAGTTCTTGACATTGCTTACTTACAGCATCACTCTTTTGTACTTCTTGAGTAACTCGAGACCGTAATTTTAAAACTGCCTGCTTTAAAGCCTGGTTTTTCTTTTCCAATTCTTCACCACTTGTCGTACCGGAACTAATAGATTCAGACGATTTTTCTTTACTGAGTTCATTAATCCTTTCTTTCAGTAAATCAATTTCCTTCTTGGCAGCATCCAAATCACTTGTTGCTTCCGTAAGTTTTTGTTGGGTTGATAAATATTCAGCGTTCTGAAATTCATCGTTGACTTTTTCGCTGTCTTGACGGTTTTCAGCATTCTCACCAGATGCTTCAGTCTCTTTAAGCTTTTGATCAAGTTTTTCTCTGAGGGTGTTACACTCTTTGATCTTCGATTCAAGCTCTGAAGTCTTCTGTGAGAGCTGCTGACGAACTTGATTGTGCTTTTCCAAACTTTTGGCAACAAGTTGATCATACTTCGTTCTCCAGGCCGAAGCAACGCTTTTGCTTCTAGTAGTCAACTGTCCAATAGTATTTGAAGCCTCTCCTTTTTCAGATTCCAATTTTTCAATTGTCTCTTTAGCTGAAGCGAGTTCAGTTGTTAAGTACTCAATATTTTGGCGTAACTCAGCCAACAGTTCTTCTTTTCCTTTTAAATCCTCTGCCGAAGTATCTACAATTTTATTTTCCTTCAAAGATTGAAGGATTTGTTGATTGTGTTGCTGTAATCTCTGGTTTTCTTCTTCAACTCGACGGACCATCTCTTGCTCTCCCGAGATCTTATTCTCTAACTCCCGCCTGCCATTCTTTTGGGTTTCTAGTTCATGTTCAAGAGATTGTATTTTATCCCGCAAGCTGTTGATCATGCCATTAAGTTCTTCTTCCTTTTTGCGTAGCAATTTGTTGCTATCATTTAATAACTTCACCATTCTAGAAAGACTATTATCAGTGATTGAACCATCGGGCTTAGTTTTAGTTTGAATGGCTGCTGAATCCTTATGTGCCGATTGAAATTCCATAATAATTTGATTTGACTGTTCAATCAGCTTTTTTAACCTCTTATTTTCAATCGAAATTAGCTGTCTTTGATATGCTGAAATGTTGACCTCATTGAATATTTGCTTAATATAAGCTTGAAGGTCGGGTAATGAAAGCTTCAAAACGGAATCGAGTTTCTCTGAAGTAATATTTGGAATAGATGAATTAATATCTATTGGGGTTTGTAACTGAGCAAGAAGTAAAGCATTTTGCTTTTTTAGTGCAATCATTTCAGATGTTGCAGAAATTGAGTCTGACATATCTTTAGCCTCCTCTGCTGGATTATTGTTATCAGATTCATTGGGTTCTCGGTTAGTACATTTCAGTAGAGAATCATAATCGTTCCTAAGCTTTTGAAGATTTGACATAGCATTAGCATGTCTCAATAACTCTTTTTCATAAGATTCGCGAGCTTTGCGGCAATCTTCAGATAATTTCACATTCTCTTGCTGTAGCAAAGTCTGTTTCTGAAGTAATTCTTTCTCTGAAGTACGAGCAGCTGAAAAGTCATTTGTTAATTGCTCATTCTCTTTTAGAAGTAGGGAAATTCTGCAATCCTTTTGCTCATTATCATAATTATGTTGCTGTTGTACGCTATAGATTCTTTCTTCAAGATCTTTTCCTTTCTTTTCCAACTTATTGATAGTACTACGAGTTTCTTCAAGCTCTTTCGAAGTTGAAAGCCGCATTTTTTCATATTCCTGTTGAAGTTTTTCTAATGTTTCTTCAGCTAAGCGACTCGCTTCTTCAAGGTGTTTTATATGATCCTTCGATGTATCGAGACTAGTCTGAAGAGACGAATTTTCCATTCTCAAATTGTTAACAAATGATACCAATTCAGCTTCACGCTCAGAAGCCGTCGTCGCTCGTTGGTTAGATAGTTTTGTTTGGAGTTCTTCTAATTTGGTGCTTTTTATATTCAGTTCTGACTGTAATGCCTTGTTCTCCACTTCTAAAGATCCTTTAATCTTTAAATAATCTTGTGTGGCAAAATTAAGTTCTTCAATCCTCTTGTGAAGAGAATCAATCGTTGTATCCTTCGCGTTGGCTAAGTCATTTGCTGATTGCAAAGCCTGTTCTAACTTCTGATTTGAATTCTGTAATGAGTTTACAATTTGCTCCGTCTCATGATTTTTAGCTTCAAATGACAGCTTATTAGAGGAGAAAATCCTTTGTTGCTCATTGAGAAGAGATTGTAAATTGGACACCAAAGTCATCAAACGTTCCCGTTCAGCTAACGAATGACCATTTTCTGAAGCCAACCGTTCTTTAATTTTACTAAAAACTTCTTTTTCACCTGTTAAATTTGCAATTTCGCTATTCATTCTCGAACACAGGGATTTTAGCTGGACGTGTTCTTCGGATATTTTACTAGCATTTAGATCTTGACGGTTGAGGACCTCTTGAAGATAATTATTAAGTGACCTCAACTCCTTCATTTCTTTTCCAAGAGATTCGACGTTTTCTCTAGAAACATTCAGCCGTTGGAGGCCTAACTGTTCACGGTATCTTACTTTATTAAGTTCCTTTCTCATTTCTTCAACCTGATTAATCAGATCATTAATCCTTTTTGAAAGTGATTCATTAGTCGCAACCATCTCATTGCGGTACATTTCAAATTGTTTTTCAATATCATCAACGGCAGTTTGCGAAGAATGATTTGGATCAGAAGGCTTTTCGGATACTTTCTGGATTGTCTTCTCTCTATACATGTTCAACATTTCTTTAAGGACACTTCGTTCATGGATAAAATTGTCCATCTTCGTATTGGCCAACTTTAGCTCATTTTGTAAATCTTGTGTCATTTTTTCATGTTTTTCATTCAATTCGTCTGTTGCATTTGAAAGATTATATTCAGAAGCTTTCTTCTGGATCTGCAAATCACATTCAAGGCTTCTTATTTTTTCTCGTAATTGTAAGACTTGTGCTAAAGCATCCATGACGGAAGTAAAGGTAGGAATCTCAGCTGAAAGGACGCTTTCATCTTTAGAAGGTTGCTTGGAATAAATATCCAAAGCCTCTTGTACATTCTGAGGTAAGCTCCTATTTCCCGTACGTTGCAAATGATCCAACTCTAGAAGGAGGCATTGAATCTCGCGTGTTAAATCACGACATTGAACTTGAGCAGCCACAAATCTTAAGTGAGTTTGTTCTTGTTGCATTTTGGAGACATCATATTTTTGTTTTATGTCATTTAAAACTTCCTTTGATTTGGATAACTTTTCACTCATGTCAACCATATATACATTATTTCTCGCGATCTCTTCCCTTTGTTGTTGAACCACCGGTATACGTTGCTTGACTTGATAAAAAAACCAGCAGAACTTATCATTAGCACGATCAAGCCGTTGTTGTAAATTCAGAACATCTTGCTGCAGCCGCATATTATCCGAATACACTTTAGTGAAGGATATTTCAGGGTGTTGTGACGCGCTCAACTTCTGAGCTACAGTTGAAAAGAGACCAACACCTGTAGGCGACACCTCTCTTCTCTCTTTTGTAACCTGTAATTCGCTTGCAAGCCTGTCAACTTCAGATTGTAACTTGCTGATTGTCTCGTTGGCGACTCTTAACTGACCTTTGTTCATATTCAATTGTTCTTCGATTGTGGCAGATGAAACCAATCCTTTAGTAACACTCTGGTTGTTGAGGGCTTTGTCTAGTTGGGTTTGTAATTCTGAGCATTGAGACTCCCATAATGCCGTTAAATTCTGCTGAGCTTCAAGCTCTTTCTGTAGATCCTCAAGAATTTCACTTTTGTCATCAATTTCCATTGTCGTGGTAGAAGTCTTTGACCCTTCATCCATTAGGTTGGTCTGACTTTCATTAACAAAGCTCATATATTTTTGTTTCATCTCGAAGTTACTTGTTTTTAGTGCAGTAACTTGCTCCTGCAGCATGTTCTGGCTTTGTTCAGAAGATGCTAGTTCTTCGGTCATCTTCTTATTCTCGTCCTGCAACCTTTTCATATCTGAAATAAGAGCATTCTTTTCTTGTAAGTAAAGTTCTTCTCTAAGAGTACTGCTACTTTGAGTTAATGTTAGGTTTCGATGTGTCTCTTCCATCTCTTGCATTTGCTGCTGCAAATTTTTGATTAAAGCTACATTGTTTTGTCTCTCTTCTTGAAGAGACCTAATGATACCCTCAGAGTCACTTAATTTCTTTTCCATATTTAGAATTCGAAAATCCAATTGCTGTTTCTCCACAACTAATGAATCCTTGCCTTGCGAGCAAAAGTTAAGCTGAGACTGGATTTCCTGATTAGCTTTATTCGAAGCGTCAATGTCCTTTTGAAGCTCCCCGACTTTCTCCTGGAATTGTTTTGCTATTTCATTTCGCGAATTGAGCTGTTCTTCAAGGTATAGTACTCTTCTATTTGACACGTTCTGTTTGTGTTCAGAATTCACCTCCTGCAAAACCATCTGTTCCTTTAGCGAATTCATGTCGCTTACCTTTGATCGCAACGCGACAACTAGCACTGAAAAACTGGGTACTTTAGCTAGAGGCTTCAGGTCTTCAGGAGACACGCCGAAGCGTTCGTGTACGAACTGAACATCATCTTCATGTTCACCTGAAGCCATTTTGGGATGAGAGCTTTTGACGGGTAAAAATGTAACAGCTCTTCAAGTATGCTAACTTACTAACTCCCTCAAATGAAGCTCTTGTGACCAGTATTATCAAACGAAGGCACCTTCAGGTCAACAAGATCAAACAAATCCTATAAAACTAAACTTATTTACAAACTATATTAATCTTTAAGACTTTTTTATATTAAGATCAAAGGGTAGCATATAATTTGAATTAATGCTGAGTAGCACTTTTTTTCAGTAGTAGTATAGAGGAGCGTGGGTGGAGTCCGAGTTGTCCTCCACACATATCATCCCAGGTGACCAACACCAACAAAATACTAAGCATATAGTCCTTATAATGTTTGGACAAAATAATTCTTCTGGTTTCGGCGGAGGAACTGGGGGTTTTGGACAAAATAACCAACAGACCGGAGGTTTGTTTGGGTCCAATACTAATACTACAGGGAATAGTTTATTTGGTTCCCAAAACAATACTACAAGTGGCTTTGGACAGAACACAGCTCAACCTCTTTTCGGATCAAACTCAGGAGGGAGTTTGTTTGGTAATCGCAACCCAGCTCCTGCTTCAACAGGTACAGGGTTTGGAATGTCTTCGGGAACCGGAACCGGGACCGGGACCGGTTTATTTGGTCAATCTAGCACTCCTGCGTTTGGCGGTACGAACACATCTGGTGGCGGTGGCCTTTTCGGTAACACAGGCGCTGCTGCTGCTCCGTCTACTGGTAGTGCATTTTCATTTGGATCGAACAACGCAGGAACGACTGGTGGATTTGGTAGTGCTCCTGCGAACACTGCTCCTACCGGTGGTTTCTTTGGATCACAAAATAATCCTTCTGCAAGCACTGGATTTGGTTCTCAGCCTTCTGGTGGTGGCTTGTTTGGATCAGCATCGACTGGTCAAGCTCCTGCTTTCGGTTCCTCGGGATTTGGAGCAGGAAGCACGAATACGATCAATGGTACGGCTAATCCTCCTTACGCGGTAACATCTGAGAAGGACGCACAAACTAATGGTACAAGTGCCTTCCAGTCCATAACGTGTATGCCGGCGTATAGGCAGTATTCTTTTGAAGAGTTACGCTTACAAGATTATAATCAAGGTCGTCGATATGGAAATCCTGCGAATGTAACTTCTACTCCGTCGACTTTCGGATCAACTCCAGGATTTGGTACTTCTACTACTGGTTTCGGTCAGGCAGCCACTCCTACTTCAAATTCTATCGCTCCCTTCGGATCTTCTAATACGAATACTAATGCTGGTGGAGGTCTTTTTGGTGGCGGTTCTGCATTCGGTGCTAACAATACGAATACCACATCTGGATTTGGTGCAAATACTGCAAACACTGGAGGAGGTGGTGGTTTATTTGGCCAATCAAATCAACCATCAACAACTCCTTCAACTGGTTTATTCGGCGGCGGCTCGACATTTGGACAACAAAAGCCAGCTTTCGGTTTTGGTTCTAATACAAATACTGGTGGCGGAGGGCTTTTTGGCTCTTCTACCTCTAACACCGCTACAAATACTGGTACAGGTACCGGCGGTGGTTTGTTTGGCAATACTGGAGGTGGCTTCGGAGCAAATAATACAACTACGGGATTTGGTAGCACAGCCCCAAGTAATCCACCCGCATCTAATACACCTGGTGGTGGTTTGTTTGGATTTGGTAACAATTCAGCTTCCGGACCAAATGCGCCTCCCAGTACAGGCCTCGGCACTGGTGGTGGGTTCTCTTTTGGTGCCAATAACGCCGCTTCTAAGCCATCGGGATTTGGATTTGGCTCCACTGTGGGTACCGGTACAGGTACAGGTACTACTGCTCCTGCGTCATCGGGTTTTTCTTTTGGTCAACCCTCTAGCACAACTCCTAAGCCTGCATTTGGGGCTAGTCCTGCCGCACCCTCTACTAAACCTGCTGGTAGCGGTTTATTTGGTGGATTCGGTGCTGGTAGCGCGCCTTCTGCAACTACAAATAATACAACTGGTACCACAGGTTCTACAGGAGGTTTGTTTGGTAACGCAGGATCTACTGGCGGAGGTTTATTTGGGAACACCAATACTGGTACTGGTGGTTCAGGTCTTTTTGGAAATAATACGAATAACCCTCCCAGCACAGGAGGCGGTTTATTAGGATCTAGTACAAATAATACCTCGGCGCCGGGTACTAGTCTTTTTAATAAGCCATCAACAGGAACTGGATTATTTGGTTCTAGCAATACATTTCAGCAACCTTCTACTGGTTCGTCTGGGTTATTTGGATCAGCTAACGCCAATAATCAAACGCAACCATCGACTTTGGGTTCTGGATTATTTGGAGGTGCTTCTCAAATCGGGCAGCAGCAGCAGCAGCAACCTCTTCAAGCCAGCATTGATCAGAATCCATATGGCAGTAACCCATTATTTTCTAGCACGGTTTCTCAAGCTCCACCAACTACGATACAGGAACCTATTGCTTCACCTTTAACAACCAAGCCTGCACCAAAGAAGGCAGCTTCATTACCCCAGTTTTGGTTGTCACCTAGATCCAGTAATCGTTCTAATGTTGCTTCGATTTCTCCTTTTGCGAAGTCTGCAGTAATGAATTCGGCTAGTGCTCCCAGCAAGCCAAAATCGTTGCATCTGTTTGATTCATTAAATGATGACGTTTTATTAAGTAAGGATGCTTTCACTCCTAGACAAAATATTAAGAAATTGGTTATAACTCACAAGGTCTCTCGAGGTGAAGTTCTTCGAAATGAAAACCCATCTGAACCTTCTGAAGTACCAAAGGCAAATGGAATTGTGAAGGAAGAGACACCAAAGGTTGACAGTGACCGAACTTACACTTTACCTGACGGCTACTGGATGAAACCAGGAGTCGAAGAACTGGCTAAATATCCTAAGGACAAGTTAAGTTCTGTACACCAGTTTTGTGTTGGGCGTGCTGGTTATGGTCAAGTTTCCTTTTTAAAACCGGTCGACTTGACTAAATTCGAAAAAGTTGAGGATATCCCTGTTAATGTTGTTCTTTTTGAGAAAAAGATTTGTTCTGTTTATCCTGAGGAAGGGTCTAGTCCACAGATTGGAGAAGGTTTGAATGTTCCAGCTATTATCACTCTTGAAAACGCATGGCCTTTATCTCGAGAAACAAGGGAGCCTATCAAAGATGTCAATCATCCTAGATACGCTCAGCATTTGAAACGTCTTCAACGAATTAAGGAAACGGAGTTTATTGATTTTAATGAGGGTAAATGGACCTTCAAAGTACAACATTTTTCTAAATATGGACTGTTCGATGACGATTCTGAAAACGACGAAAATTTAGAGGATGAGCCCGTTAGTAGTGAAGTTCCAATGAAAAGTGATTCAGGTAATTCAGAAATGTATGAGAAGTCGGATCATCAAGGTTCGCAATCTAATAAGACACAACTTACTCACAATACTCCAGGCTCTTTTCCTCCTACAAATAATCAATCAAATGCTTTACGTAAATTCAATGATCAAAGTGAAAATTTTGATGAACTTTCAATAAAGAAAGCAAAGTTACGGACTGATGAAAGTGGACGTTTATCCCAAACGTCTTCAAAAGAAAATGAGATAAAGAATGAATTTGAACCAAATGATCTTCTACTGAACATGACGGATGATCCTAACGACTCGAATGATTTGAAAAGTCAGGATAATATGGACGATGAGCCTGATGAAGTAGTTGGTTCAGATATCCAAAATTCGATGGTGACAGTCAGTAATTTGATTAATCCGGATACGTGGCTGGAGCACCTGAATTTGGGGTTACAGAGATCTGTATTAATAAAATCTAAGATGGCGAACACCTCCTCGGTACAAGACAATAAGGAACAAGCTGGTAGCTTTGCTTATGATCAATATGACTTAGAAAAAGACCTTTTCGGTAGTAGCTTACCTACCAAACTCGTTTCATCGGATTCTGACGACTCCAGTATAAAGTTTCTTCCGAAGTTTCATTTTTACCCTAATGGATCATACGTACAAATAATAAATGGAAAGCTTAAATTAGATGCATTGGAAAAAGTATTCCGTCTCTCTATCTCAGCCAATGAGGATTTTATTAAGCCACTTGAGTATCAGCTTTCTGAAAGCGAAATATACGTCGATGCTAATGATATATGCTCTGTATCACCACGCTTATCAATGGCTATTGGTGACTTAGCAGCCTTTACAAAAAGCTCTGACGAAATAAAAATATGGGAATTAGCATCAATTTTATTTGGCATGAAGGATTTTGAGGTCCCGACGCCTTTGTCTCCTGAGGCTCGAGAGCTGCTTTCCGAAAAGTTTATTCGCGATCGTGTGTCTGAATGGATTACAAAGCACGTCAAAGAGGAAATTTTAGCGAAAGCTCAAAAGGCAGCTAGTTCAGAAGAAAAAATATTTATTTTATTAACTGGAAATCAAATTAGCCTTGCATGCGAAGAAGCAGTAAACTCGGAAAACAACCGTTTATCAACACTGATACCCCTTGTAGATAGTGATTTTGATATTCAAGCGGAAGTTAAGCAACAATTGGATCAATGGAGAGAGCGAGGTGATCTTGCTTATATAAATAAGTATACCCGTCTTATTTTTGAACTTCTCTCTGGTAATACTGATTTAGCTGAGGGTTATGGAAGGCCTGGAGAAGAGGGTTACGTTCCTTCGATGTTTGTTTCTCAAGGGTTAAGCTGGTTAAGCGCTTTTGGACTGAAGTTGTGGTACAACGTTGATATTAGTATTACAGAAGCGATGTCAATGTACATGAATTCTTTAAAAATGTACGAGAAGGACTTACAAAGACCGATAGTTTGTGGTGGTTCCAATGGAGAAGTTTATGACCTTTTGTTTTTATTATTGAAAGCTTATGCTATTGGGGCAGTTCTAGAAGAATTAACGCTTCCAGAAAGCGCAAAAAGCAATGGGCTTGACTATCGAGTGGTTTGGCAATTAGCAATATACCTCTCGAAAGCGCGAGCTGTTTTTGATTTTTCGGACAGAGATGGCCTGGATGAAGTATTAGATGAAAACGGTGTACACTTCAAACCTCAGAGCGTAAGAGCAGATACTCTGACACCTTCATTTGCATCTCAACTTGAATGTATGGGCCATTGGCAATGGTCCATTTTTGTGCTACTGCACGTCGAAAATGTTGAAACACGTATATCTAGCATAAAAGAATGCCTTGGTCGTAACGTGAAATCAGGTTTAGCTGATAAGGATGAAAAACTAATGACCAAATTACTTATCCCTAGAAATTGGATTCATGAAGCAATGGCATTAAACGCTCGTTACAATGGAGAACATGCCAAAGAGGTAACTTATCTTCAAGAAGCAAATCTATTTGAAGAAGCCCATAAATGTTTAATCCGAAGCATTGCTCCTCAAGCCATAATTAGCAACAACTTTGAAGAGTTAAGATGCTTATTGGGAGGATTCCAGGAAAGAATGGAAGGAATAATAGGCTGGAAATTTGGTGGTCAATTGTACTCAGATTATCTTGACCTGGTAGAAGGGAAGTTTGAAACTGATGTCGAAACGTTGAAATTTATTTTACAAAGAATTACTGTTGCATTAAAAGAAGCTGAATCACAAACAATTTATCAAAAGGCCTCTTTGCACAAGATGATTCGTTTTGTTAACAAACTTTGCATAAATCAGTCGTTAGACGATGTTGCGTTTAGTTTGCCTCTCACTACTGCTAACAGTCTTCAAAATTTGCAGTATATTTCTGTTCAATATTGAAGCTATCTTCTTTGATGTTTACGTGAGTTTATTTTTGACTTAGAAAAATGTTATATATATATATATATATATAGGTGAGACTTCCTGTAAATAGTTTAGCTCTCTCAATGTATTTTTTCCATAGGTTGGTTTTCGTGTAATGCAACGGTAGCTGAAATTTCTAAATTTTAGAAACAGTTTTAAGAACTAGAATTCTAATAGCGAATTATATATCAATTCAATAATTTCTGGTTACTGAGTCAATGGGCCGCTATGTTCAGACTTTTTCCAAATTCACCTGGACGTTAGCCAACTTTGTGGAAAAAGAGAATAAAAATTGGCAAGCCATTTTGTTTTTATAATTAATCAATTTGAAAGATAGATAAAAAGAGTATTACGACGCTAACATGAAGCAAGCTACTACGGTTTTCAGAAGTATACTTCGAGAAATGCGCCAAATGGTATAGAAGAGTTTCTGAAATATGTACTAACCAGATGAAATAGAATGGCATCTATAGGTCTGCAAAAGGACTTACATCTACTCAAAGAACGGCAATCGAATCCTTAAAAACGTGGTTTCGTAACGGCTCTTCGGATGACCTGAAAAAGTCAAAAGAGCTACTTTCCCTTATTGACTCTGGAAATAAACATGAATTAATTTTTCAGCAATATCATCCACTGGTTGGTTTGAGTGAGCTGGACAAAGCCAAGTTAGCTGCCAACAGAGTAGGCCTTGATTTTTAACTCAGAACACGATTCCAGACGTATGAATGAGATATATTCAGGAAACTAGATGAACTTTATTTAACGAGTGTATTTCCATATTTGAGTACTAGCGAAGCAGATAAAATCAGGCGCTTAATTCATGTTCGATATGAACGAGAAAGAACAATTTTTCTTCCTAAGGTGCAGGTTGCAACACTGTTGAGAAAGACTTTGCGTGCTCACATTGCTTTGCTACCTCATCTGCAATTAATTCGCATTTTATGGACACTCCTGCATTGCTAGTTAGATTCAAGTTTTATAGACACATTTTTTCGGACAATGAAATTTTGTTCTGGGATTCATTATGCCTCTGCTCAAAAATGAATGAATTGATCAGTTCTTCCTAATAAACCATACTCTTCCTCTAATAAATCCCCTTCATTATTAGTCACACTCTTGAACGATTGAACTTTAATTTTTTCAATCCAAATTTTAAGGTACAAACGCTGTTACTTGTCAGCTTGCGGCCGACAAAGAGTTGAAATCGTACTTAAAGACATCAATTTACTTGTGGATTGTATTTGTTTATAATTTTCCTCCTTTTAGAAGGATTGATCAATAATGTAAGTGTTTTAGAAAGGATCTGTGTAGATCTCAGATTTTTAGTACCTACAGTTCCCTCAAAATGCAAGAAATAGGAAATTGTCGTATTCTTTGGTGAAGAGCTTAAAGAAAAGGGGTTACTTATCTTTTTATGATTAGAAATATGTTCTGACAGATGATTCTTAGCATTTGAACGTCATCGTTCCCTGTATTTAATCCTAGAGCAAGAAAAGTTTTGTATTCATATTCGAAAGATCTCGAGCAAAAAGTGAACTTTTCTCTACTACTGTACTACTAGGGGATTCAAGCTCTTTGGTAACTTCTTCTCCAAAGCGTCAACTTGACTTTCAAGTGACTGAAACAATTGATGCGTTATACGATACATTGCAAGTCGGTTCCAGCTAATTGTAATTGTGTGTTTTAACCCTTTTTTGGTGTATATCTTGTTTGGTATGAAGTTGAATGCTTCTTACGTGCTAATAACTATAGTAAATCACTTTTTTTCCAAATTTTCTTCGGTCTTTTTTAAACCAAATTGACATCGCTTCGTAAAAATGACTACACAAGCGGTGACTTCTATTCTAGACACTGACCTTTACAAGTTGACCATGTTGCAAGCTGTGTTGGAACATTATCCAACAGCTGAGGTTTCCTATGTGTATACAAATCGTTCTCCTGAAATGGCACTAAACGAGGAGGCCGTAGCATGGTTAAAACAAGGGATTTCAAATTTGAAAAACCTCAAGCTACTTCCTGAGGAAGAGGCTTGGCTCCGTCATCGTTGCCCATATTTGAAGGATTCCTTTTATGAATTTATGCATGCCTATGCCTTTGATCCAGAAAACACGGTTTTCCTCGAGTATAATAAGGATACCAAGGATCTCGCCATTACAATAAAAGGACTCTGGAAACACACCATTTTTTATGAAATTCCATTGCTTGCTCTTGTTTCAGAGGCCTACTTCAAATTCGTTGACACCGATTGGTCCTCTGAAGGACAATTTGAGAAGGCTTACGAAAAAGGAAAACGCCTTATAAATGCTGGATGTTTTTTTACAGACTTTGGTAGTCGTCGTCGTCGTGATCACCATGCTCAAGATGTTATGTTGCAAGGGTTAATTAAAGCTCAGCAAGACGTTGAAGGACCTGGCCGTTTTCTTGGAACCTCCAACGTGCATTTTGCACAAAAGTATGATCTGCAGGTGTCTGGTACCGTCGCCCATGAGTGGTATATGGGCGTTGCTGCTATTACGAAGAACTATACGGATGCTAATCGAGTTGCTTCAGAAAAGTGGGTTCAGACATTTGGTAAAAGCCTGTTAATTGCTCTCACTGATACTTTCTCTACCGATGTTTTCTTACGGAACTTTACAGCAAAGACTCCTGATGATTTGGCCAGTGTCTTTCATGGTGTTCGACAGGACAGCGGAGTTGCTGAAGAATACATTGAAAGGATTGTTGAGCATTACCAATCACTAGGTATTGACCCTTCCACAAAAATGATTGTTCACAGTGACGCTTTGAACGTTGATCGTTGCATCAATTTGCACAATTACGGTAAGAAGTTTGGCATCAAGTCTTCATTCGGGATTGGTACAAATTTCACCAGTGATTTTAATCACGTTTCAAAGCCAGACCAAAAGAGCAAACCCATGAATATCGTAATTAAATTACACAGTGCCAATGGAGCCAAGGCTGTCAAGATCAGTGATGATATCATGAAAAATACTGGTGACAGAGATGCTGTTGTGGAAGTAAAGAAGCAACTTGGTCTTCCTTTAGAGTAATCGTAAAAGTAGATGGATCGGTTCTTTGAAGTTTGTTAAATATCTTTCATTTTTGTTGCGATTGTTATAATACGATGAATAAATCGAAAGTTCTAAAAGCTTGAGAGGTGATGCTTGCAAATAGATTCGTGCGCGCGACACGAAGAGGTATATGTACCTCCGTATCACAAACCAAAAATTTTAGTAAACTAGTAGAAATGAATTGATTAAAAACGAGATCGAAGACTCGAAACAGAATTTGTTATTATAATTATTCATCAAACTTTAGATTACTTGTTTTGAACCAAAATGAGAGTGAAAAAGAGGTGGGAAATCAGAAAACTATACAGAAAAAAAAATTGGAGGAGAAAAAACTTTATCCACTTAGGAGAAGAAGACGGTAGGTAGAATGGAAGAGCTTCACTTTACAAACTTCTACAGAACAACTTGAACCCCCATGCTTTTCGCTGTTCCAATGACGCTTTTACATAATGATTTCAAGTCTGTTCCTTTTAAAGAAGGATCTGTGCTTTTCAAATTTGCAATTTCATAAACATGTTTCAAGCTAAGTTGTCCTTTGATGTCATGTTTTGCTGAACTAGATCCTTTCTCAATGTCCAAAGTTTTGCAAATCAACCAACTAGTAGGAGGTGTATGGATTGTGAATGTGAATTTCCTTTGGGGAGTTACTGTGACTCGACAGGGAATAGGAACGGTAGGAACGTATCCTACAGTACGCGCATTGAATTCTTTACAAAAGTCGATACTTTTCACACCACGAGCACCCAAGGCAGGACCAATTGGCGGAGTAGGAGCTGCCTTTCCGGCAGGAACAATAAGTTTGACAAGAGACGCTTTTGTAGTCGCCATTTGGTTCGTTCCAAGTTCTTTTTGGGTGCTCTTGGAGCATTCATTCAGGTGTAAGAGCGGTAACAACCCACCAGGTAACATCCGAAGTAAACAAACATAAAACTGCTGGAAAAGACATATATATAGGCTTGAAATGCTTTTCTAATTCAAAGAAGGATGAAGAGAAATAAAAGCTAAATGGAAGATTAATATTTTTCTTGTAAGAACGAAGGTACAGAACGAGCAGGTATGGCAACCAAAAGGCCTTAAATATGAACAGCATCCAACGGTTTTGTAAAGAAAGAAAGCAATTAATCGACTCTTTCAACAGAGTAGCAAAGAAGTGAACTTTGCCTAAGGAACAGAGAACTACATGTTGATAGTTTTATGGGTTCCAAATGGAGTAAAGAAAAAAAAAAAGAAATTGAAGACAGCAGTCGTTGTTTGTAACGTTTCATCCTACTTTCCCTTTTCTTCTTTCGCCCTTTCATTTTTGTTTCAAGAGAAAAGAGAGCCAAAGTCAAGCATAAGAATGTAATTCCTCGATGTACTCTCCCTACCCAAAAAACAAAAAATAAACAAAAAAATAGAGGAAGAAGAAAAAGAAAGAAGAAATTAAAATAGATAAAAAGAATCATAAGTGGTTGACATATTCGTTTTCTTGTCTCGCTTGATAATTGTCTTCCTCCGTACAAAAGCCCGAATATTGCTTAGTTCAACGAATTTCTAATTTTGGATTCAACAATTTTTCAAATCTAGAAACCATGCCAAATTTTTTTGAATGGAAACTTTGGTATCGTAACAAATCCAAGCGAAACCCATTGCTTTGGGTGGGTGCGCCTTTTATAGGATCCATTCTGTTGGTTTGGGTGTTTGCAATTCCAATTGCTCAGATTAAATTTACAAGGAGAGATGAACAAGTAAAAACCCTTACAAAAGAAGAGCAACTGGATCTTAACAAGAGAAGACGAAAGGTCAATGTTAACGAAGAATATTATGTACGTGAAGTCCACAGCAAGATTTTCCCAATTCTTTTCTGTATCTAATGTTTCTTTAAAAGCAACCAGTCACTAACAACGCAGAGGATCTTGTTGGATAAAATGCAACAAGAAAGTGGAGACTATGAAAATAAGCGTGTTCCACGTTTACCTGGAGAACCTACGTGGGAACCAAGTTCTTCTTCGAATGGACCGGAAGAAAAATAAGGCATGTGTCCAAACTGGCTAATGAAGCCTTTGACTGTAGACCAATTCCGTTAGCTTTTAGATCCAGGAAATGGAAACGCTTTCCGTTCTACGCAACCTTTATGTGAAATTTTTATTTTGTTGCTGATGCCTTACAGAGATAAATAAAATCCAACATGACTGGTGCAAACGACATCCTAAATCTTGAATTCAGTCAGACTATTTGGAGAACTGAGAAGGAAAGCAAGTGTCTTTTTCTTTAGTGTTCATGTTTTGGATTTACTCCTTTCTTTACATATTCATCTTTAAATTCATTGAATTCCTGGAAACGATGCTTACAAGCAAGTATTAGAATATTTACCTCAAAGGTAAGAAATCGATTTGTAATAGACAAAAAGCTTAAGCGCATACAAATAGTATTGAAAAGTTTTTATCCAAACCTTTAGGGAATATTTTGACTATGTCTAATTATTACAAGGGATTCAATTCATAAAAAGATTCTTTTTCCCAGTCATTATCATTTCGTTGCTTTCATTCTAACTTTTTAAAGAGAATAATGTCTTTAGCTTAAACTACTCAGTGTCTACGGCCATACCTAGGCGAAAACACCAGTTCCCGTCCGATCACTGCAGTTAAGCGTCTGAGGGCCTCGTTAGTACTATGGTTGGAGACAACATGGGAATCCGGGGTGCTGTAGGCTCCTCCTGTTCTTTTTGAATTCCTCTTGTTTTGTCTGATAATGTTTTTTAACTGATTCCCATTCATCATATTTGAGCTTCTTATCGCCATACTTTCTCACTTATACCAAAAAAAACATATCTCTGCAACGTTCTTTTTTATTACAATTAAAAAAAATAAAGGATGAAAAAAATAAATTATATGAATGTGGTAACGTAGCACCAAGGATTTCTCTTTCATTCATTAGGGTGAAATAGACGGGATTTCTGGGAGGAGATATCCTATATTACGAATTCCGCGTACATCCAGAAATGGGAATGGTCCTGTTTGGTACGTAGTAAAGCAAAGGGCTGTGCCAAAATAGCTTATGCTTACCCTCAAGCGAGATTGGTATATGGGAGTACCGATAATGTAGACTTAATTGAAGAGGAAGCTTCCAAGGCTGATATTGTCTTTCATTCTGCTGCTAGTGATGAATGTACCATCGGCAAGAGCAATCGTTCGAGACTTGAGTTGTCGTCAAGCCAAGAATCCTGTCTACTATATTCATACTTCTGGTGGATTCGCTTTCGCGGCAGAGACTTTATCCACCGGAAAGTATGGAGAGTGCTTTGACAAGATTTACGACGGAGTAGGATCATGTAGAGGAGTTGACCTCACTTCCAAAATCATGCACCCCATTGCAAGGTAGATAAAGTTGTTTGTCCACGGATCCTGCCAAGTCATAACGGCCATTGTCGCTCCGGCTGTCATATATGCCATAGGTCGGGGACCGGATAAGAAGAACTCGTTTCCGTTATTTGAGTTATTTTTCAAACAAAAAAAGGTGGTTGGAAAAGGTGATAACATTTGGCATAATATTCATGTGCAGGATTTAAACAAGCTCTATTTGCTATTAGCCGAATCTGCCGTGAATGGTGACGGACGCGCCACCTGTAATTGAAAAGGGAAATTACCTAACAGAAAATAGTTTTTATGTGAATCGAGAAATGCTGCAGTTGGCTGCGAAGACCTCATACAAGAAAGGCTTTATTCCGCCGCCAGGTATTGAATACATGACTACAGATGAAAGTGAAAGGAGGCTTCTAGGCTGGGAACCCAACATGCCAAGCTTTAAAGATGGGCTCGAGAATGCTTTGGATACGGACGCACGGCAATTGGACCTCGTCTAGAATGTTATAAAAACCTTGATATAAAACCATCCTAAATCTACACAGATCTGGGATTCCATACTTCTTCGTGATCGTCTCTACCTAATCTTAACATTCAGGGACCTGCTATTGTGCAACTATCTTTTGCAGGCTTTTCTCCTACCTTTGTTCTTTCCTTTTTATTGAAGGTTTATGCCTGTCGTTTTGAGAGGCATGGACTTTTGACTAAGGTGATACTAAAGCGGCAGCCAAAAAAGCAATGGTTATCCTTTATTCAATTATTATATCCTTATTAGCTCTATTAATAAAAGAATCAGGAATTAAAAGCTTTAGAATAATAAATAACAACCAACATGTGAATTAAAAAGAACCAACTAGAGAGTCAACAATCCATATCATCCCGCGACGACCTCACTTGTTCATTGCTCAAAGCCGCAAAGCCACGATGAAACCAATAGGGCTTCAACAACAACGGCCTATGAAATGTGTTTATATGCAAAAGCTCGATAAAAATAAATACAACGGGAAACGAAGGAAACAAAATAAAACATTAAAAGAAAACACAAGCCTGCATAGAGAATATATGAAAAGACAGGACATCATCATAAGAATGGTCAAGCATGAGATTCGTTTCCAGTGCTTTCAGCATCCCTAGCCTGACTCGGTTTGTGACGTGTCCTTGAATGTTGCTCAAAACATTCAGATGATGGTTGTCCGGCAGTATTATCACTACGATTGTTGGATTGATTTTCAGACCCTGCTGGC